TAGTTATACAAATATAAATATTTGTCTTTTCCATAATTAAATAATAAATATACATTTAATGTACATTTATGACAGTGTGATCTGTTCTTGATAATTCCTACCTTTCTCTGAAACCATCTGTTAATTTTATCCCTTAAACTAAAGTATTTCAAAAACAAATAATGTACCCTGGCTGGTGTAACTCAGTGGACTGAGCGCAGGTCTGCGAACCAGAGGATCGAAGTTCGATTCCCAGTCAGGGCACATGCCTGGGTTGCAGGCCAGGTTCCTGCAGGCCAGTTCCCAGCAGGGGACGCACGAGAGGCAACCATACATTGATGTTTCTCTCCCTCTCTCCTTCCCCTCTAAAGATAAATAAAATCTTAAAAAAATAATGATAAATATTTTTATATGCAGACACAAAAATGAAATCTCACAGAATAGAATTATATAGTCTGTGAAAGTTAAGCTCATCTAATTTTAGCTACTTAAACACAGGGACATTTTACTAAATCTGAATATATTCTCTTACTTTTGAAGTACTGCTCCTAGATGTTAAACAATGCTTAAGAAAATTCTGGTATTAGGGTAGAGGGGAGGGTTTACATACGCTTCTCAAATGTTTATGTTAAGAATGTTATGTAAACTGTTTAAGAATGCACACTTAAGAATACGTACTGGCAGTGTGCTTCCCAGACAGAATCATCTGGGGCATTTTTTAAAAGTATTTTATTTATTTATTTTCAGAGAGAGGGGAAGGGAAGGAGAAGGAGTGGGAGAGAAACATCAACGTGTGGTTGCCTCTCATGTGTCCCCTACTGGGGACCTGGTCTGCAACCCAGGCATGTGCACTGACTGGATTGGAATCAAACTGGTGACCCTTTGGTTCACAGGCCCGTGCTCAATCCAATGAGCTACGCCAGCCAGGGCTGGGGCATTAAAAAAAAAAAAAGGTTTCTGGGCTCTAGGCGTAGAAGTTTCTGACTTAGTGAAGCTGACAAAATGCCTAGAATTAGCCAAAAAGTCCTTAAATGATTCTGATTACCAGCCAGGTTTGGGAAATATTAACTATATATCTGGAAACATTGAGGAGATAAGTAGGTTTACATTAATCCCTGCCTGACCCAAAAAAGTTGCTACCCTGAACCCATATAAACACAAAATATGTTGACCCATGTTGACCCACCGTGGAAACTTACATTCTGCATTGCTTTTCCAGCTAAACTTTTGACTTGTGTTGAATAAATGAAATTTGTACACCATAAATACAGAGCTGTTAAAAACCACTCTTTACCAGATTATGGTGAGGCCCAGTCAATTTTCTTTCTTAAGAACACCTCCTGGCCCTGGCTGATGTAGCTCAGTGGATTGAGCGCGGGCCTGCGAACCAGACGATCGAGGTTTGATTCCCAGTCAGGGCATATGCCTGGGGTTGCAGGCAGGTTCCCTGCAGGCCAGTTCCCAGCAGGGGACGTATGAAAGGCAACCATACATTAATGTTTCTCTCCTTCTTTCCTTCCCTTCCTCTCTAAAGATAAATAAAACCTCCTATCTGCCACAATTGAAGAAAAGATCTCCTGCGCCACATGTAATTAAGGGCTAAGAAAAAAGGCAGGAGAGTGGGAGAGAGAGACTATTGGGAAGAGCTTAGATAGGTGTTCAGATGGGGAGGCCAGCAAGGCCTCACTGTGCAGTATGAAGGTAACACTTAGCAGAGACTTGGAGGTGAGGGAGTGTGCTGTGTGGATTCCTGAGGGAAGGATATTTCAGATGAAGGGGCTGTGAAGTGCACAAGCCCTAAAGTGGAATGCCTAGTGTGTTTGAGGAACCATTGAAAGTTGGTGTGGTTGGAGTGTAGTGAATTTGGGTGAAAGTAGGAAGAGTGGTGTGGGGGCAAAGTGTCAGACCTTATAGGCTCTTGAGAGGATTTTAGCCTTCTTATCTACGTGAGGTTGGAAGTTTTGGGAACAATTTAATCAAATTAGCGATGTCATTTGACGTAATGTTTTACTTAACCAGGTCACTGGGGCTCCTCTACTGAGAACAAACTAAGGGAGAGGGCAGGGTGGAAGCAGAGACCATTTAGGAGCCTGGGGCAATGACCCAGTCCAGACATATGGGTGGTGTGGACCAGAGTGGTAACAGTGGGAGTAGTGAGAAAGGCTCAGATACATTTGGAAGATACAGGTGGCGTTATTTACTGGTAGATCAGATATAAATTGGGACAGAAAAGAAAGGTCAGTGATCATCACAGTTTTGGGCCCAAACAGCGGAAAGAATGGAGTTGCCAGTGACCGAATTGGGAAAGACTGCAGAAAGAGCAAGTCTCCTGTGTGGGGGAGAGGTGAGGTCCTGAGCGCTGTTTTAGAAGTGCTCCCTTTGAGGCGCCAGAGGACAGCCACATGGAGCTGTAAATTACACAGTGGAAGATAGGTGTCTGTAATTCAGGGAAGCAGTCTGAGCTGGTATAAATTTGGGTGTTACCAGCTTACAAATAGTTTTTAAAGCCATGAATCTGGATGAGATTACTGAGGCAGTGTAGATAAAGGATCTAAAAAGAGACAAGAAAGAATGGACAAGATGTGGCCAGAGGAGCAGGAGGAGAAAAACAAGAGTGTGGGGTCTTGGAAGTTAGTGAAAAGCGTATTTCAGGAGAAGGAAGTGATAGCTGTACTAAGTAAAGTGAAGAATGTTTCATCTTAGTGGAGATGTTAGCTGTGTTGCAATAATTGTATGTACTGATCACAAGACACTTCAGGAGACTGTATGCTCAGGTGAACAGGGAGAGCAGAAAGATGTCGTCAAAATGAGTCATGTTATTATTAGTATACAAAACTGACCTAGTTTAAGGTTTGTCCCAGTGGCTTCTAGCTTGCTTGGTTATCTGAAAAATTACACGTGGCTGGCGGATCTAGAGCCTTGCTGCTTGAATGTATGGTCCTCGGACAAGCAGCTTCAGCCGTCCGTCACCCTGCAGCTCCTTAGAAATGCCTCTCTCCAACCGCACCCAGACCTGCTAAATTAGACTCTGAATTTTAACATTCTCAGGTGATTTGCAAACATATCAAAATTTGAAAAGCACACTCTAACTAGATCACTGCTTTTCAGAGTGTGATCCTTTAACCAGCAACATTAGTGTCAGCTGATAACCTGTTAGAAATGCAGATTCTCAGTTCACCCCAGATCTAGTGAGAAACTCTGGGTATGGGGTGCAATAATCAATTTTAATCACCTCCAGGTGATAATGATGTGTTATAAAGTTTGAGAACTACTGCCTAGATTTCTGATTCTCAATGCTGGCTGCATATTAGAATTACTTGGAGAGTTAAAAACAAAGCAAACATAATAAAACCACCAGTGGCTGAGTCTCATCCCTACAAATTTGATCTAATTTGTTTAAGGTGGGTCTCAGGTATAGTTTCTTTGTTGTTTCCTTCTGTTTTTATTTTTTAAGCTTTGCAGATGACTCTTATATGCAGCCAGGGTTGAAAAACACCACTCTAGATACTGTAGTAGTCCATGGTTGGCTGGTGGGCTAGGAAGTCAACCTTAAAAAACTCAGGGCTTAGACAAATTTATTCATTTACTATTATGCATAAATATTGGGTTGGCCAAAAAGTCCATTTAGTTTTTTCCATAAAATAAAAGACACATTTTTCATTTTCACCAATAACTTTATTGATTTGGATATTTTGAGTATGTCTCAAACAGCGGGAGCCAATAGTGGGAGGGGCTATCTCCTGCCATTGGCTTCTAGGGAGTAGAGGCCAGGGGTGCTGCTAAACATCTTCCAATGCGTAAGACAGCCCCACAGCAAAGAATATTTGGCCAGAATATCAGCAGTACCAAGAAACTTTGCAAACCACTTTTGACACACTTGATCTGTCACAACACCTCCATGCACTACACAAATCTTTTTTGTGTTTCAGTTGCATTTTAATCTTTCTTGAAGTAATAAAACATAATACGCTGAAAATGTTGCGTATCTTCTTCAATCTTCAGTATTAAAATGGCTGCATAAAAATTCACCAGTTTTGCTAAGTTTTTAAAAAATGCATGCTGACACAACAGCTGTTGCAACAGCTGTTGCAATAGAATCTAACACAATGTTTTGAATGAAGCTAAAGAACACTAAGCACTACTAGCGCCAGGGTACAGAAAAAACTGAACAAACTTTTTGGCCAGCTCAGTATAAGTATGTGCATACTTTGCTAAGTGTTGAAACCCCTTTAAAAACTTTGGTCATTGTCCTTGCTGGTGTGGCTTGGTTGGAGCATCATCCTGCAACAGAAAGGCTGTGGGTTTGATTCCTGGTCATGACACATACCAAGGTTGTAGGTTTAATCCCCGGTCCCGGCAGGTACGATCCGTGGTCTGAGTGCATGGGAGGCAACCAGTGAGTGTATCTCTCTCACACCAATGTTTCGCTCTTTCTTTTGTAGAAATCTACTTGTAGAAAAATTTATCAAGGAGAAATTTATATTCATTCCTTGCCTTCTGTTGATGTACACAAATTCTTACTATTACGTGTTTGTCTTGTTTTTAAAGACTCATAGATTACTTTTTATGAATTAGTGAACTTTCCGTTTGTTAAAATGTGACTTGTACTTTAAGGTTGATACTAATGTAGGAGTGCTACTAAATACTATTTTTGGACACTAAGATTTGGTCTAACTTTATTCACTAAAACAGTGAAATAGGAAAGAGGGCTTGAAAACAAGTGAACACCAAATGAGAAAATGGAATGTGGTAGGGTTGCCGCTGACCTGTCACTGTGGTTCAGCTGATCCTTGTGCGAACCCCTTTGTTGCAGAAGTTTAACACACACTATGTCACATTACAGGGATTTTGAAGTCTGTCATTGACTGTTCAGCACATAGACTATTGAAGTAGTAACTATTAGCATGGATTTTTATAGAAGTTATTTTAAATGGATAAAGTCTCATTTACACATTGGTATATGATATATATACAAAGTACTCCAGAAGCTCTATGAGTAATTTTAAGTATTTGTTTTGCAGCCTTGCATTGCATCCTGAACGAGTGCTGGTGGCAACAGGACAAGTTGGGAAAGAGCCTTATATCTGTGTTTGGGACTCGTACACTGTACAGACCGTATCAGTTCTGAAGGACGTTCATACCCATGGTGTAGCTTGCCTAGCGTTTGACTTAGATGGACAGGTATGTGATCATTTTTTAAACCGTGTTTTAAGTGTGTGTACTGCAAGAAAGTATTATAAATCTATAAATATTAAATCAGAAAACAGTTGAAAAATATTTGTTCAAGTAGGGAGGTGGGTAGATGGGATGAGTGATTGTTGTATTTGAGAAAAAATAAGAACAATAAGGGGCTTTTTTATTTTATTAAGAACTTTTCAACTGAATAAATTACTACCACGAAAGCCAAAGAGATTCCGATTCAGTGGACTATTACTTGGTTGTTTCAAAAAAATTTTCCAGGTTGTGTTTATTGACAAGACAAATGGAAGACATCTTAGGAAAATTAGGTTTCTCTGAGTAGAGTTGCATACATTTTAATTCTTAGTTAAAGTTTTCTATTAAAATTACAATTTTTACTGGGAAGAATGAGGCAGTTCCTATATGAACTATTTTCATACAAAATCAAAGTTCAAAACAAAGGATATCATTATTATTCCACTAACTTTACTACTAATCAACTCAAATTATTATTTAATTTTAGTCTGATTTCTTAAAAATTAGACAAGGCAAGGGCTTTTTTTTTGGTGCTTTAATGGACTTTGTTATACCTAAGACATATTTAAGAAGTTGGGTTTTGCAGATGTGGTTAATGTATAGATTTAAAGGTTCGATGTTAAAATTAGACTTTAAAAATTATTTTCACTTAGGAAAAATTTCAGTTATCTGCATTTCAGTTCATAAAATTTAATTTCACAGACCTAGATTTAACAGGAACAGATTACATTGTGTTCTCTTCCCTTGAAAATGATAGCCATAGATGTTTTATTCATAACTCTGAGGAGTAGCTCCTTTGGGTAGCAGAGAGACATACGACTTTCTGATAAGAGTCTGGTAAGGGATCTGTAAAGACTTAACCGGAACCTCTCATTTGGGGAAAAATGTGCTTCTGGGTTTAATATTGCAGGTAGCAGTGATTAGCAATTACAGAAGCTCAGTTGGTGCGCATTTTGCTGTTATTTTTCAAATCCCTTAATGTCCTCATATCAGAATTTTGTTTTCTTTTTTAAAAGGAAGAGAATCGTGTTCTACCTACTTTACAGGAGATTTTATTTTATGAAACAGAACTACTGAGTTGTTTTTAAAAATCATGTAGGAAAGGTGTTACGAAGTCCAAGATGTTTTAACTGTATATACTTTAAATATAGATGCTTTCTTCTTAATTTTAAAATTGTGTTTTCTACATGTAATATACTGTATTGCTGAGGAATTTCTCTTACGTGTTCATGGAGAAATTATGCTCATATCTTTTCTTAGTTGAAAGCCTTTAATTTCACTTATTTTAAGCAACTTATAAGACAGATCTTGGGTACATATATTTTATTGTCACAGATCTTCATGAGAACATGTTACTTAAAAAGGTAAACTTACAAAAAACATAATAGCTAAAAGTTATTGAGCACATACTAATATAAGGCGTTGTGCTGAGCCCATATGATCTCATTTAACCCTCACAACCCTGTGAAATAGACAATGTTATCTCTGTTTTACAGATAAAGAAACTGAGACTTAGAGAGGCTAAATAACTTGCCCCAGGTTACACAGCCAGTAAATGGAGCCATTGTGCCCTCCCCCCTCAGTCACACTCTGAAGCTCAGGTTTTAACAGCAATGTGCAACTGCCCCCCAAACGTGGAATGTAGGGCATCATTATTTATATTTTGAAAGCAATTTGTCCATCTTAAACACAGTGAAAGCTTGTAAGGAACACTGCCAGTTGAAGATTAAGTTAAGAGTACCTTTGAAACTATGTTAATGAAAAAATGCTTTAGTTTAAAATATTTTTTAGAACCTATCTGTTCACTAATATCTATAAACTATGAAATACCAACTAGGGAGTACTGTATAGTTTTTGCATTTTCTGTTGTAATTGAAACTCTGAATGACCAACTAAGATTCATGCAATGAATGAGTTTCCCTGCTGGTAGTAATGCTGGGTGTTCTTTTCCTCAGGGTTCTTCTGAGTGGATTGAATATCCATGTTAAAACTGGAAGGAGGTCTGCCTCAATGAGAATAATTAGGCCCTAAAAAGGCTATTTATGTAAATCCACATAAAACAGGGACTAAAAGTTTATAGTAAATGGGGGACGAATATGAGGAAGGGGAATCAGACTGGTACTTTATCTTGAAAATATAACCATAATTTAAAATGATAAAAGGATATCTCCCATATTTAACAAAATCTGAGTTATAATTACAACTTTGATAATTCATGGAATGGACCAAGAATAAAGTATTAATATTTTTAACCTAATTTGTCAACTGTATGCTGGTACAAAATAAAATGCTTTAGTTTACCATTTACTTTTGGCATGTGATTATGAATGGGGTCATTTTTTAATACATATTTTATTAATTATGCCATTACAGTTTTATTTCCCCCCTTCATTCCCCTCCACCCTGCACACCCCCTCCCCCACCATTTCCCCCCCTTTAGTTTATGACCACATGTCTCAAGTTCTTTAGATTCTATATTTCCCATACTATTCTTGCCCTCCCCCCTATCTATTTTCTACCTACCATCTATGCTACTTATTTTCTGTGCCTTCTCCCCCCTTCTCCTGCTCCCACTCCCCTGTTGCGAACCCTCCATGTGATCTTCATTTCTATGGTTTTGCTCCTGATCTAGCTGTCCTCTTAGTTTGCTTTTGTTTTAGGTGTGGTTCTAATAACTGTGAGTTTGCTGTCCTTTCACTGTTCATCTTTTTTATCTTCTTTTTATTAGGTAAGTCCTTTTAACATTTCATATAATAAGGGCTTGATGATGATGAACTTCTTGAATTTGATCTTATCTGAGAAGCACCTTATCTGTCCTTCCATTCTAAATGAAAGTTTTGCTGGATAGATCAATCTTGGATGTAGGTCTTAGGATTTCATGACTTGGAATACTTCTTTCCAGCCCCTTCTTGCCTGTAAAGTCTCTTTTGAGAAATCCGCTGACAGTCTGATGGGAAGTCCTTTGTAGGTGACTGTCCCTTTATCTCTCGCTGCTTCTAGGATTCTCTCCTTCATTTTAATCTTGGCTAATGTAATTATGATGTGCCTTGGTGTGTTCCTTCTTGGGTCCAACTTCTTTGGGACTCTCTGAGCTTCCTGGATTTCCTGGAAGTCTATTTCCTTTGCCAGAATGGGGAAGTTCTCCTTTATTATTGTTCAAATAAGGTTTCCACTCGTGGCTGTTCCTCTTCCCCTTCTAGTACCCCTATAATTCAGATGTTGGAACATTTAAAGATGTCCTGAAGTTTCCTAAGCCTCTCCTCATTTTTTTGAATTCTTGTTTCTTCATCCTTTTCTTTTTGGTAATTTTTTCCTTCTTTCTGGTCTGCTCCTTTGATTTGAGTCCCAGTTTCCTTTCCATTACTATTGGTTTCCTGTGCATTTCCATTCATTTCAATTAGTTTAGCCTTCATATGTTCCTCTAATTTGTGACTAAAATCAACCAGTTCTGTGAGCATCCTGATCACCAGTGTTTTGAACTGTGCATCTGAAAGTTTGACTATTTCTTCATCACTTAGATTTATTGGCTCTGGGGCTCTGAGTTGTTCTTGAGCCATGTTTTGATCTGTTTGTGCCTGTTACTATGAGGAGAGGTGCCTTAGATGTTCACCAGGGTGGGGCCACCCAGGTCGCTGGTTCGTGATGCTGTATGTGGGGGTGGGGTCAGAGAGGGACAATGGCGGTTCCCTCTGTGGCTTTCAGTGCCTCCACCGCCTTGCACCCTCAGTGGGTCCAATGCCTTGCACCCTCACTGGGTCCGCCAGCTTCTCCACACCTGGGATCCACCCACGGCTGCTGGCGCACCTGGGTGGCGCACCTGGGTCTCGCGCCTGGGTCAGTCTGGTGGATCTTTCCTGCCCAACCCTGCTCTGCTGCTGGCTCTGCCCCTCTTATCGGTTTAGCTGAAAGGTTTGTTGTTGTCAGACTCCCGTGAAGTTCAATTTTCTGTGGTTTGGCTGTGTGTTTTTTTTTAAATATTTTATTTATTTATCTTCAGAGGGGCAGGGAAGGAGAGAGGGAGAGAAACATCAATGTATGGTTGCCTTTCGTGCATCCCCTGCTGGAAACTGGCCTGCAGGGAACTGGTCTGCAACCCAGGCATGTGCCCTGATTGGGAATCGATGGCTGTGTTTTTGTTGTTAAAACTTTGTTGTTTTTAAACTTAGTTCTGTGAGAAGGCCCAATGCTTCCACCTATGCGTCCATCTTGGTGAAAGTGAATGGGTTCATTTTTACAAAAATATTAGAAGAGTTCACTCATTTTTTCCAAGGGCCTTTCTGTAATCTCTTGATATCTAGACATATCTCAGTTGCCTATAGCATTATTTTTTAAGGTTTTTTTTTACTGCTCTTCTAGATCCCAACTTCTAATGGCTTAAGGGCTTGGTGATGATGAACCCCTTGAATTTGGTCTTATCTGAGAAGCACTTTATCTGTCCTTCCATTCTAAATGAAAGTTTTGCTGGGTAGAGCAATCTTGGTTGTAGTTCTTTGGTTTTCATGACTTGGAATACCTCTGCCCAGCCCCTTCTTGCCTGTAAGGTCTCTTTTGAGAAATCAGCTGACAGTCTGATGGGAACTCCTTTGTAGGTGACTGTCCCCTTAGCTCTTGCTGCTTCTAGGATTCTCTCCTTCATTTTAATCTTGGCTAATGTAATTATGATGTGCCTTGGTGTGTTCCTTCTTGGGTCCAACTTCTTTGGGACTCTCTGAGCTTCCTGGATTTCTCGGAAGTCTATTTCCTTTACCATCTTGGGGAAATTCTCCTTTATTATTTGTTCAAATAATTTTTCAACTGGTGGTTGTGCCTTTCCCCCTTCTGGTACCCCTATAATTCGGATGTTGGAACGTTTAAAGATGTCCTGGAGGTTCCTAAGCTTCTCCTCATTTTTCTGAATTCTCATTTCTTCATTCCTTTCTGTTTGGTCATTTTTTTCTTCCGTCTGTGAATCCCAATTTTCTTTCCATTACTATTGATATCTTTTGTATCAGCATTCATTTCAATTAATTTAGCTTCCATATGTTTCTCTAATTTGTGACTAAAATCCACCAGTTCTGTAAGGATCTTTATAACCAGTGTTTTGAACTGTGCATCTGAAAGACTGGCTATTTCTTCATCACTTAGGTCTATCGGTTCTGGGGCTCTGAGTTGTCCTAGAGCCATTTTTAGTCTATTCGCGCTGTTAAGTGAGCGGAGCGAAGCCTTAGTTGTTTACCAGGACCGGGCGACCCAGGTCGCTGGTTTGTGACGCTGTGTGTGGGGGCGGGGTCAGAGAGGGAGCAATGGCGTTCCTCTCCGCTAGCCCAGCGCAACCAGTCACTCAAACGCCTCGGGCTTGCTTATCCGATCCTAATTTTGCGAGCCTGCTGCACCGGGAGGGTTTCCCTTCTCACTGGTTTCTCCGCACGTAAATGCGCCCGCCCCCCCCCCCCCCGCTCCTGATCCCCTCGGTGCCCCGGTTTTCTCTGGCCGCCGCCGTCGCGGGTTTCGGGTGTTTTATTTGATTGGTTTGCTCCCTCTAATGGCTTTCTGTATGATTTGACCAATATTTACTTCATCAAGTTCTGCATCTTTTGCAAAATTAGTGATTTTTTTACTTTGTAACATTATAACAATTAGTTCTTTTTTTTTTAAGATTTTTATTTATTTATTTTTAGAAAGTGGGGAAGTGAGGGAGAAAGAGAAGGAGAGAAACATCAATGTGTGGTTGCTTCTCATGTTCCCCCCTCCAGGCAGTGCCGCCTGCAACCCAGCATGTGCCCTCCCTGCAATCAGACCTGAGACCCCTTGGTTTGCAGGCTGTCACTCAATCCACTGAGCCCCAGCAGCCAAGGCTAACAGTTAGTTCTTATAAGAAACACTGAGATCATAAGGGTCCTCAAACTAGAATCTTTTTGAGGCTTAATTGTCCATTATTTGAAAATGTTTCACAGTTACAGAAACTAATGGGGTGTATCTAGTTGTGGCCAATGGAATATTTTTCTTATTTGATTATTTAGTATGCCAGAACTTTTTACTAAATACTTCCAATTCAGTTAGTAGACACAGCCAAGATTTTGTTTGGGAATAGGATCAGGGAGGAATTTGGGGAGCTGGATAGAGGCCTTTTTTTTAAAAAAATTCAGTATCCTTTTTCCTTCTCTCCCTGTACTTCTTAGTTATCTTTGAAGGAGCCTTTCCTTCTGTCCGCTTCTTAAGTGCCAGCATGCTGTAGGAGTCTGTGAGCCGTCTTTTCACTGCACTTACTCTCTCTAGGTGGTTATCTGGATGCACGACTTTAACTCCCACAGCAGTTACAGTGGCCCCAGCTTCTCCCTCAACTCTTCAGATGTCATGTAGAGATACCATACATTGCACATTTAAAATGGAATTCTCTCTTTATCCCAACTCTTTATCATGGCTACATCTATATCTCTCTTTATCATGGCTACAGAGGAAGTGCTCCCTCTTCTGTTTAGTTACTACCTGTACAGAGCTAGATGCTTTGAGGCTCTGTTGAGACACAGGGAGTTTTAAACCTTTTGGCCAGTTATGGTTTGTTGTGTGTGAATGATGAGCTGAGCCAGAGAGAAGAGGCATTGGTGGAAAGGACAGAGCTCCTCTATTGCTCACTTTATCGTTGTCTTGTGAGATTTTCATCTCTACACAGTTTGCTGTAGCAGGAGGTAGAGAGCTTTGTTTTAGTTAGGTATTTGCTGGTACCCTTTAGTTCCCAAATATTAAGGACCTCAGGAGACACAGGTTGTCTCCTCTTGTTCCCTTGAGCTTTGTATGAGTGTGATTTGCTGGAGAACCATAATAAACTATTTATTGTCTTTTTATGTGAGCCATTCATTCTGCCCATTTGGGTGTTTAAATAGTAACTAGACTTTGCAGAAACTGTTTCTAACTGGGTGTTAGATGACATTTCTCTTCGGACAGGGAGATTATGGTCATGGTAAACTGATGATGGCGATGATAGCAAACACTTTTGTAATAGCTGTAGTCCAGCCACTCTTCTAACTTCTTAATATACAGGGCGGGGCAAAAGTAGGTTTGCGGTTGTTCCTATGAAAAGGATACGATGATTAATAAATAATAATACAGAAACAAACTCTGTTTTGTGTACTCATAACTATAAACCTACTTTTGCCCCATCCTGTATGTATGTTAATTTTCATATTAACCCTACAAGGTACTTGTATTATCCCAACTTAACAGGTAGGGGAATTAAGGTGCAGAGAGGCTGAATAATTGGCCAAAGTCATCCGGTTATTGAGCGGTGGGGCTGGTGTTCAGATCCTGGCAGTCAGGTGCAGGATCTGTGCTCTACCAGAGATTGGTGCACTTTCTGTGACAGGTCGGATGGTAAGTAGTGTGAGCTTTGTGGGCCATGTGGCCTCAGTGACAGCTACTGAGCTCGGCGCTGTAGTGTGAAAGCAGTCATAGGCAGCCTGTGAAAGTGTGTGGCGAGTTCCAGTTTGGCCGAGAGTTAAGAGTTTGCCACCCCTGCTTTGAAACCAGTGCTTTTTCAAGGTATGTGTTGTGGGTTGGTCCTTGCAATTTCTCCTTTAACCTTTCAGTTACTTGTAAGTGTTTGTATTATTAATTTCCAAGTATTTGGAGAATTTTCTGCACAAGTTTGTATTAGTCTGATTTTTGTTTTCATCAGAAACTAATATTAAGTGAGGATAATAAAAGTACCTCATAGGGTAATAACTTCATGTTATTCTGATTTCTGTTTTTGAAAATACAGAAAATACTTTTTATTTTCATTCTTTAAAATCCGTCTAGGCTTATTTTGTAGTTCAGAGTTTTGTGATCTTAAGAATCACGTGCACTTGGAAAGGGTATGGAAAAATACATATTCTTCTGTTTCCTTTCTCTCCTTTTGTTTACGGTACTGTTGTTGTCATTCATTTTCTACATATTTTGTAAATCCAATAATGTGTTATTTTTTCCTAGAAGACTTCGTTTTAAAAGCAAACTATTAAAAAAAACAAACTGTTTACTGCTTGGATGCTCTTCATTCATGAGTAAGTTAATTCACTTCCTGTTAGGAATGTCTGAAAACACTTGTGTCCTGTATTTTGTACGATTTTCTAGTTTTTTATGCCAGGGGGCAATAGTTCAGACCCTGATACTCATTCACAGCCGGGAGTTCGTTCCTCCTGTGTCCAAGCCCCTCTCTGGTTTTCCATCGCACTGTCTCCTCTTCTCACCTCTTTCTTTTCCACCCTCCTATTTAACTCTCCCACTGAGTTTTTAATTCCATTTCTTTTTTCATGTTTGGAAATTACTTTTGCTTCTTCAAATCTGCTTGACTTCTTGTAGTCTCCTGTTTGCTTATATGAAGATATTTTGAAGTCCTACACTTATTTTCGTAAAATGTGATGATTCCAATGTGTGATGTTTTGCAGGACTGATTTGCTGTCTGGCATGACTTTTGATTCTCACTAGGTCCCTTGTTTCCTGTGGTTCCTGAGCAGGGGTGTTTATTTTTTATTTTATTTTTGTTGATTGCTACCTTTAGGAATTCTTTGAGGACGGAAATTTTAGTCCTCTGCATAGGATTGGCCTGTGCACCATTGTGGAGGATGCTCGAAGATTCCGCAGTCCTTAGGACCACTCTGAATGGAAGTGTTTCCACTTGAGGGATTCACGATCAATGTGGATTTAGGCCTTAGAGCCACAAGAAAGCTGCTTGTGGCTACAGATTTTCGGGGTCGATTTTCTCCCCTTCATGCATTGCCACCCCTCTTTTAGAAAGGGTGGTCTCTCGTTTTCCCTTCTCTGAGGAGTTCACTGCTTTAGTCAGAGATGTACAACTCATATCCCTACCTCGGGCATGTTCTAAACTTTATCTCCTACTCCTGTTCAGCCTGCAGAGCAAAATCAGGCTTTACCAGGGTTTAGCCAATACCTTTAGAATAAGGTGGATATAGAAGCTGTCTTTCTGTTCAAAATTCCCACAGGAAACCACTTTGTTTTTGTTCAGATTTCTTAATTTTTGACAGCGCAGCAGTGCATTTAAAAATGTTTTTATGTTTTATCTAATATTTTCAGTTTTGACAGGAGAGCTGTTTAGGGCATTTGTCAGTCTTACTGTTAGACATGGAAGCTGTTCTTCTGTTTCTTACTGTGATTACACATTTGTGCAAATATTAGCAAGATGAAATATGAGATATATTGAGCCTTTATGAGGTCTATAAAATATGCCTGTGTAAGTTCTGATGTTTCTAATGCCCACGAGTAGAATTTGTTTGCCATTTATAATTGGTTCCTTGTTTATTTGTTTTCCTTTTTATTCCTTCTGGACTTCTTGGACATAAATCAGCGCTTGGTTTCAGTTGGACTTGATTCAAAAAATGCAGTTTGTATTTGGGATTGGAAAAGGGGGAAAATGTTGTCTATGGCTCCTGGTCACACGGATAGAGTGAGTATTCCCCTGCGGGGCTTCTAATGGGCACAGGATGGGAAAGGGCCAGAGGGTGTGGGGGGGGGGGTTTCTCCTTCTGTGATCTGTTACTGACAAATGGTTCATGTGTAATTAACCATGTAAAGTACAGTTGTAATTGGAATACATATGTATTGTGGATTCAGTAGGGATAGTGTTGTTAGTATAAAACTTATTTCAATTACTTCAGCAAAAGCGATGAATTTTATGTAATTGAAACCTCAATTTAAAAATTGAATGGTTCATGCCTAGGGTCTGTTCGGTTTGGTTTACCACCAGTTTGTTACATATGTATCGTAGTTAAGGTAAAAAAGATATTTTGTGTGTGAATTTAAAATTATCTATTAGGATTCATATTTTTAGGAACCCAACATTTTTACTTTTGAAACTTTTAAATACATTGCAATTTGTTTAAAATTACTGTAAAGAAAATGTTGTAGTCAGCTTTTAAATGAGATATTATACTACTTTTATAAACATACGTCAGAACTTTGTCTTAAACTCTTAGAAATGTCTGAGCTTTCCGTGTGTGGTGAAGCTCAACCAGCACAGGAGGTGGAGGCCTTGAGTCTGCAGGGAGCGAGTCTGTGGGAGTCGCATGAAAACGTTTCTGTGGGTTTGTGTCGTGGTTTCTCACAGGTCCTCAGAGAGGCCTGTTACAGACACACATGATTTAGAAAATTAAAGTGTTAAGTGTATATATTTTATTAAACAGTTGTGTATTTTGCTGAGAACAAATCATTTCCCACATTAGTCCTTTGGATTTAGTAAATGGGCTGATTATTATGAAAACGATGCTGCCTTTCCATGGGAACTTTTAAAAGTATTTTTGTAGTTAGTACTTCAAAGTCGTATCAGTGTGTCTTTCATATACTGTATTGTGGTGAGTTGTGGAACACTGTCGGGCGGAACTTCCTTCCCAGAGCAGAGCGTCACTTTGTCCGTCACTTTGTCCGTATCCAGAGGAAGTGAGCCTGTGCCTGCCCGTGTGGCAGGTGCCAGAGAAGGGTGGCCAAGACCACCAGGGAGCAGAATTCTTTTCTGCTGTGAAATCACCTTTCAAATATTTTTCTCTTGGTTATTATTAAAGTACATGTTTCTAATGAATATGTTGTCTCAGCTCTCTTTTTCTTCTTCACTTTTGTAACAAAAATGGTTTGTGTGTATATAGAATTTATGGAATCTTAGCAAAGAACAAAACCTGGGGATCTCCAAAATTTAAGTATAAGTTAATTTTGCGTGACCTGTAAAGAATAAAGAAAGCTAAAATATACAGAATTTTTGCTGTGAAATGTTTGTATTCTTTATGTAAGTCTCTATTTGTAGCTGTATGTGGTAAGTGCACGTTCCATTCAGACTTCTCTGTTGTGGAAATTGTGCAGGTTCCTTCCTTGTGCCCTCATTGTGTTGAACCGGTCTTGTTATTTATGGCCTTTAAAAAAATTAAAAATAGAGTCGTTTATTGTTATTTTTACTAGTAGCTTCATAAGTTCATAGAAACTAAGAAACAGTTTTTGTTTCTGTTCATTTATGTATTCTTCATAAGATTTTGAAGCATAGGATTCTGATTATTATTTGTTGAGGAATATTACTTTATGATAGGTGGGGTTTGGGAGTTATTTGATCTTTCAGACAGCATTCTTAAATGATTCAAAAATAAGTGTTTTAACCATGAATCTGATTTGTTCACAGATATTTGATATTTCTTGGGATTTGTACCAGCCAAATAGACTTGTCAGCTGTGGTGTAAAGCATATCAAGGTACTAGAAGGTTCTTATTTTATAATAGTCATCTGTATTTATTCTCTGCCACTGAGTACATATCACACTATTTACAATTTAGGGTAGGTTTAGGGCTTTGACAGTACTTATTTTTAAATGTCAACATTTAAAATTTTTTAATGTTCAATCTAATAAACACTTATTGTGTAGTTACTGTGTGTGTTAGGAACTGTGTGAGGGAAATAGGTATGAATAGAAGATTAATAAACAGCTAGTAAAACAGCTAGTAGGTGGCAAAGCCAGTGACTGGGTGAGTCACTTAACCTCTTTGATCTTTCTTTCACATCTTCAAACTGGCCGCTGTTGCCACCATTGCCACCTCGTAGAGCTGATGACGTGTGTCGTAGTGCCTAGCACGTGGTCAGCTCCCTGAAAGGGTCATCTTTTCTTCTCTACACGTTTGCTCTCTTACTTGATCTCAGCCTTTGATGGACACTGTGCACTGTGCATGTGAAAGCCCGTACGGTTGGTGGTAGTCACTCTGTCTGTCATTACTTTTGAATTCCTGATGCAAATTGGACGTGCTTGCCTGTTTCCTAGTATCTGATGTTGTCACTCTAACAGTTCCTATAACTGTGAATTCCTAGTACATAAGGTTTTGCGTGCACATTCTTCTGATACTCCCGCTTCCATCCACATTTTCTCCAGAGTATATTTAGCTACAGTTGCAATTCTGGTTTTCATATTCTGGTACTAATTTGATAATGGATACTATTAAATTTTAATTTTTTTAGTAAATATTTAATAGCAAAAGCCTCTGTGCTAGGCTTAAAGTATGTAGTATAAGCATTGCGAAGGTAGAAGTTTTCATCTTGTTTGTCTTTGATGAACAAGATGATGTTTGACACAGTACTTGATATATATTAAAATCTTTTTTGTAAAGACTTTTTAAATTTATTTTTAGAGAGAAGGGAAGGGAGGGTGAAAGAGGGAAAGAAACACTGATGAGTGAGAGATACATTGATCAGTTGCCTCTCGCGGGCCCCCCAACTCAGGACCTGGTCTGCAACCCATGCCTTGTGCCCTGACTGGGAATTGAACTGGTGACCTTTCAGTTTGCAGGCCGACACTCAGTGGACTGAGCCACACCAGCCAGGGCTGATTCATACTAAATTCTTAACAAATTGTTGGCAAGTCGATAAGTAAAGAGACCTTACTGCTCTTTTATATTGTCAATAAAGATGAAATTTCCACTTTCGCATTTTTAGAAAACTTCTCAATTGAACTAAACAAACTGTATTTTTTTTTACTCTGAGTATCTTTCTTTACATTTGGTGGAGGTAATGAATGGCATGGTAGCTATCTTTTCAGGCAGAAGATGGTTTAGAATGGCTCTCGCCAGTACAGTAGCAACCAACCACATGTCACTATTTGAATTCAATTCATTAAAGTTAGATAAAATGTAATATTCATTTCTTTGGTCACACTGGCAGTACGTTCACGAGCCACCTGTACGAAGTGGTTTCCATGTACACATGCACACACTTTGGTCGTCATAGAAAGTTGTACTGGGCAGCACTGATCTGGACTCTAGAGCAGTGGTTCGTAACTCTTGACAAACGGTAGAATTATTTGGGTACCTGGGCGTCTTCACTCTCCAGAAATTCGGTCTCACTTTATCTTAGTTGAGGACCAGTTATACTACGTTTTATAATTTCCCCCAGGATATTCTGTTGTGCAGCTAGAATTGAGAATCGCTAATCTCAAAGAAAGTAATAGATTGAAATTGGAACTTGCTGAAAGAGAACCAGCTACCCTTGTGCACAAGATTATGGAACTTTTAAATTTAAAAATCATGACATTTCTTTGATTAAAACATTCATTAGTTATTTGAGTGGATCAGCATCATAATTTTTAGTTCTTTAAAACTTCATGTTTTAAATTAAGATCTTTTGGTCTTAAAATAAGATCTTGAAGATCAGGTAAGATTTTTAAGTATATAATATCAACAAATTATATTAAATAGTAATTTATTTAATATAAAGTTGAGTTTATTCTCAGGCCCTAATTTCTTTATGCAGAGCTATTTAATATGTATATTAAGTACTTAATATATCTATTCTTGCCTTGCCCTGTTTTTGGTTTTTTATTTCTCTTTGCAAACTTTTACAGTGTACCTGAATCCAGATAAAAGAACAAAAACTCTGGTCACAAAGATTTATGTTTGAATTCTCTGTGTTTACCCAAGAATGAACCAGTCATTCCAAATGTGTATCTTTCTTATTTTTAAGCTTTAAAGTAAAGGAATTGCTTGGCCTTGAAAATACCAGTGAGAGCAACGCACTAATCCTTTTGTTTTTCCCTGTCTTTGCTATCTTTATCCGAGACAGAACATTCGTTTTGGCCCCTTTTCCTATTAGTATATGGTGTCTTAGCTTCATATTCATTACTAACTCCTTCTGAACTTTTCTATCTAAGTTTCATGTAGATTTTTTTCAGAAACCTAATGGAAGCATAGCATATTTTAAATGTAATGTAGTTCATCCCCCCTTTAAGGACTTTGAGGAGTGAAACCAGTGACTTACCTGCTTACCTACCTCTATAACGTAGCTCTTGACAGCACTGGGGTGAGGATGCGAACCTTGGGTGCTATTGTACCATTAAGGAATTTTTTAAGTACTTCCTAGTCTGCTGCTCTAATATAGCCTCAAAGAATTAGAAATGTTTTACTTTATTTTATAAGCATTCTTTGGTGATTCGATTGTACTGTGTGCCTTTTAGTTCTGGAGTTTCTGTGGAAATGCTCTGACCCCAAAACGAGGGGTCTTTGGTAAGACTGGTGACCTTCAGACAATATTGTGCCTGGCCTGTGCAAGGGACGAAGTGACATATTCTGGTGCACTCAGTGGGGATATATATGTTTGGAAAGGAATCAATCTTATACGAACCATCCAGGGAGCCCATACTGTAAGTATATTTAAGTATTTCACTTTTAGATGTTAATTGCTTATTTTCTTGCCTTAGAACAAAAGATTACATAATATAGCAAACTTTCTAATCAGTTACTTGGAAAATGTAACTGAATTAATTTTTTTTCAAGATTTCAATGAAGAAACATTATGCAATTAGACACATGGGTATTTATTAAGTTACTATAATTAGTATCTTGTTCATACCATTTCCTTAGTATAGTATCTTTCTCAGAGTAGAGTTTAAAAAAAAGCTCGTTTAAAATCAACCTAAAAGTATTCTCACTTAACCACATTAGAATAAAGGTACTGCTCTTGTGGCTAATTTACTAGTGGGAAAAGTAGGATACTTCTAGAAAAAAGCGACTTTGTTGTATCCTCACCTGAGGATATTCTTTTAGAGAAACATCGATGTGAGAGAGAAACATCAATGTGAGAGGGAAGCATTGATTGCCTCCCTTTTGCACCCGTACTGGGGATTGAACCCGCAACCTATATTTGTGCCCTGACACCCCAGCCTCTCTATTGTGAGATGATGCTCCAACCAACTGAGCCACACCGGCCAGGGTAGAAAAAAATACAACTTTTAAATTTTAATATTATTCATTAAGTGAGTGGCAAAAGAATTTTTGTACTTCATGAGATTGTCATATAAACAAATCATCAAATCAGGGAAAAATCTGTTGTTAGAACCTTTCAGTGGTTTGATTTGGGCTTGTTAGCAGTTAGGTCCCCCGCGCGGTATGAAGGGGCTGGAGCGCACAGGGCCGCTGCGTTGTTGGCAGTGAGTCCTCAAGTGGGAGAGGTGGTGATACGTTGGGTTGGCCAGAAAGTTTGTTTGGCTTTTGTTGTGAGATGGCTCTAGTACACTTAGTTGTCTTTAACTTCATTCAAAACAATTTTGTTAGACTGTATTGTGACAGCTGTCATAGCAGTGTGCATTTTTAAAAAACTTACCAAGTTGGTGAATTTTGGGGTAGCCATTTTAATATTGAAGATGGAAGGAAATATGCAACATTTTTGGGCCTATTATGGTTTATTATTTCAGGAAAGGAAGAAACACTACTGAAACGAAAGAAAAGATTTGTGCAGGGTATGGAGAAGGTGCCATGACCGATCAAATGTGTCAGAAATGGTTTGCAGAGTTTTGTGCTGAGAGGCTCCATGGCTGGGCAGACCAGCTGAAGTTGATAGCGATCAAATTGAGACATTGAGAACAATCGGTGTTCTACATGCAGCAAGCAGCTGACACACCCAAAGTATCCAAATCAGTATTGTTATGGTGAAAATGAAAAATGTGTCTTTTATTTTATGGAAAAAACTAAACAAACTTTCAGCCAACCCAATATTCACACGAACCACTATTAAATATACATTATGTATTAAATATAGTAAAGAAGCATTTACACAGAACTTGCCTTAAGCAAAATGCCTAAAGACCAGAAATACCAGACTCTTTCCCACAAAGGTTGTGGCACTTCACATTTTTGCCATCGTAAAAACAGTTTTCCTCTCCTCATCAGCACAGGCTGTGACTGCGTCTGTCAATTTTTGCTTGTCTGCTGGTAAAATACAGTAACCTCTTGTTTTAATTTGCTGCCTGTTTGTGAAATTTCCTGTCTATCAACTACTTGATTTCCTTTTCTATTAACTGGCTTTCATATGCTTTTTGCTTGTTGTTTTTGTTGAATTTTCTTCCATTTATTCATTTGTGTATTAGGGATACTAACCTCTTGACAGTCATATACAGTGCAAGTATTTCTGCAATCCATTTTTCTTTGCTTATGATATCTTATATGAAAATTTAAAAACTTTCCTTTATACCTTGTGGGTAATCTGCCATGCATTAAAAGGTTTTTCACAGCCCAAAGTTACATGCGTTCTGACTCTTTGCCAACATTTATTTTCTGTTTTACATTTAGAATTTTATGCTTATGTGTAGTTTATTTTTATATGGTATAAAATTTAACTTTATTGTCTTTTATGTTATTCCCATACCATTAAATACCTCCTTGGTCATATATTGAGTTCCTATATATACATAGGCTTATTTCTAGATTTTCATTGGTGTTCTGTGATGCATTTGTTTATTCCTGGGTCACATCGAAATCTTTTAAAGTGGGTTTCTACCTTTATATAGTAGATTTTCTTAAAAGGTATGTATTGTTAAATTATTTCCTCTTCTAGGCAGGGATTTTTAGCATGAATGCTTCAGAAGAAGGCTTTGCTACTGGTGGCAGAGATGGCTGTGTTCGCCTTTGGGATTTAACTTTTAAACCGATTACTGTGATTGATCTCAGGGAAACAGACCAGGGATACAAAGGTAATAACAAAACAAATATCTCATTACTAGGCAAATTCTAAATATATCAAGGATTATCTTATCTCTTTCAGTAAACATAAATGTGTGTTTTGTAAATATAAAGGAGACTTACATTGTTCCTTTAAACTGTATACATTTAATTGAAATTCTTCAACAGGAGAAATTTTGTGTAAAGACGGTTTGTGTTACAACAAGGATTCTTCCGCATGTGTAGTGACTGTTACAGTGGGACCTGCAGAGTGAGGTGGTGGGCACTTCCTTGGTAACCTCGGGTCTTGGAAATATTTTGCTGTTAGAGTGTTAGATGTCACTGGCACAAACAAGCTGCTGAAAATAAAGCATGCTGAGTGTCGGAGGGACCTTTGCACACAGCTCCTCTGTGTTGAGTGGATTGTGTAGGTAAGAAACCTGAGAGAGACTGGCTTTCCCAAAAGGAATTGTGGAGTGTATGGAAAAAGTAGAAGTCTTTTTTTCTTAAAGATTTTATGGGCAGATTGAAGAAATGAAGTACAGACACATGAAAAGCCAGATTATTGTAAGAAATAAGTAAATACTGTTCTATAAAGCTGGTTCCTGAATACTTACTGTTTGAATGATGCAAACTGTGCTGGAAGGTTGTGGCCGAGAGGAGCCACCTGACTGTGACTGGAGCTGTCTAACGAGGAAGAAGAGTACTGACCAGTGTGTAGGGGCGGGGTCGTTCCATGTAGAAAACAGCATCGAGAACTGAAAAGGATACGTGGATGACAGACTTGTAGATTCTTTTTATTGACTTAGCCCTTTGGAATTCTGTTACTACAGCACTGCTCTTAAATCCGATTCACTAGGTTTGTCTGTGAGGAGTGTGTGTTGGCGCAGTGACCACATTCTAGTGGGAACACAGGACAGTGAAATTTTTGAAATCGTGGTGCATGAAAGAAATAAACCTTTCCTCATTATGCAAGGGCATTGTGAAGGCGAACTTTGGGCACTTGCCATCCATCCGACTAAACCTTTGGCCGTGACCGGAAGTGATGATCGTTCAGTCAGGTAAGCAAATTATAAAATACTTGTACAGGCTGGAATGTGCCCTTACATAAACAAAAGAAAAAGTTTTAAAAATGCATGGATTTAAATTTTATCAACTTGTGGTATACCAAATAAACATAATTAATAGGCACTTGAAAGTAATAGAATTCACTATTTATAAGATTTGTTTTTTCCTATTAAAAACATAAGTCAGAGTTCGTTTCATATCAAAATGTACAAGCTACCTCTACCTTTTAAAAATCCCGTAATATTCCAATACATAAATGTACTGTAATGTATTCAGCTAATTCATTATTGATGTGAGTTTAGTTTCTTCCAGTTTTGTGTTATTAAATATAATACTTCCAATGAATATCCTTATACCTATGTCATTGTGTACCTGTGTATAATAATGATCTCTGATAAATTCTTAGTGTTGAAAGAGCACGTGCATTTTAAATTTTGATAGCCCTGCATAGAGGCAGTAACAATTTGCATGCCCATCGCAGTGTCTGACACTGCATTCTCCCTCACCCTTGCCAACATTACTACTCCAAAAGGTGAAAGATATCTTGCTATTATTTGAAAATGGGAAATTTTTCCTCATATTGAAGGGTGTTGAGTATGTTTTCATATGTTTAGAGGACATTTATATTTCCTTCTTTGTGACCTCCCCAAGCTCTTAGCCTATTTACTATTAGTTCATTGGTCTTTTTCTAATTATTCTAAAATAGGGTCTAACAAAATCTTTCTGCACATTAAGAAATCAGCCCATTGTCTCTGACAGGGGTTCTCAAAGCCTGGTTCCTGCACCAGCAACATCAGCCTTACCAGGGAACTTGTGAGAATTGCAGATTCTCACGCCACATCCGGGGCCCAGTATCAGGCACCCACCACTGCGGGCGTAGCAGGCCAGATGGCTGTGATGCTCACTGCAGTTTGAGAACCACTGGCCAGGGTGTGAGTTGAGGTCTTTTTCCGCTTTGTCGTCTTCGTTCCCCATGTCATGTGTAATGACTTTCGGGTATATCTCTAACAGGTGATTCGAAACACCTTCCCAATCCCGCACACCATTCCTACCTGCTTTTTACAATTAGGCTCCATGTAGGGTCCATAGATTCCAAGAGCCGACCTGTCTCTTAAATCTCTGTCACCGTGTAGCTTCCTTTCCTTTTTTCCCTTTCTTACAGTTTATTTCTTGAAGAAAATATTTGCCTTCTAGAGTTCCCCACATGCTGAATTTGGTTAATTGCATACTCATAGTGTATTTTAACGCCTCTCCTCTACTTTGTAACAAATAGATCTAGAGGTTTGATAAGATGCAATTATGAATTTTCACTAAGATTATTTATAGGTGGTAATGTGTGTCCCTGCTTGATGGTGTGAAATACAGGGTCAGGCAAAAGTAGGTTTATAGTTGTTCATATGAAAAGTAATAAAATATATAATAATATAATAATATAAATAATAATACAAGAATAAACTGTATTTTGTCTACTTACAAAATAGGGGGCTGCAAACCTATTTTTGCCCCCACAGTGTATTTGGTTCTTTTTTGTCTTAGCAGCCATTAATGGTTATTATCTAGATCAGTGTTTTTAAACCTTCTTTTTTAAATTACTGTTTTCTTATACTTTAAAAAGTATAAGAACGTATAGACACTTTTTTCCCTAATCACTTCTCCCATGAAATTTTAACACCACAAAGAACTGTACACTCATTTTTGTACTGTGGCCCTTTGGAGAACCACAAACCACTGTAATATTTAAGATTTTTATCCCTAAGAGCTAATTTTTATACTTTTTTAGGTAGTTTTGCCCCTGTTGAGAATACATGATGTAGACCTGTTACTTGTAACTTTATCATTCATTATCCATTATTCACTTGTTAGCTAGCATAATTCTATAAAGAATTTCTGTTCATCAACTATTTGGTTATCTTGGGTACAGTTTGTACAGGGAAAGCAGAAAGTGCTTAATTTTTTCCCATTTAATAGTTAAGAAGATGATTGTTTGGTTCCCTAGAATTCTTTCCACCATCTGTTCGCGTTTCTTGCCATTTTCTTCTGTAGGGTTGCAGATCTTTTCTCCTTTATTTTTAACAGATCTTTATACATTATGGATATTTGTTTACCTTTTGTTTGTGATATATGTTGTAAACAATTTTCACTCATTTGTTACTTGTTTTTTTTTTACTTTGCTTAGTTGGTTTTTTTACCATGCAAAAAGGGTTTTTTGTTATTTTGTTCTATGTGGCTGAATTTATCAATATTTTCTTTTAGGATGTTTGAGTTTTCTATCATAATCTTCCCCAAAGTTAAAAAGGTTTTCAATATATTCTTCTAGTACATTAGTAGTTTTATTTTGTATGTTTAATTCCCGATCTCTGTGAAGTTTACTTTAGTGTAAGAAGTAAAGTGGACATGCAGCCTGACTCTTTCCAGATAACTACGTATTTGGTAAATGGTGTGTTAACCAGCCATGCTGTTCACTGCCATTGTGCCACTCCAGTTGTAGGGGTTGGGAGATGCCACGGCTCTGTGGCCATCTGTGGAAAGTTGCTGTGGGTTACCCTTACCCGTATGCTTTGCTGTGAACTATTCTGTGGTTCCTTTCATATTAGACATACTGCTGTTATCAGCTCCTGCATTGCTGTTGGAAAACGGGGAATTAGTCTTTTAAAAGTAATTGCTCAGACTACTGTTTCTATTATTGATGAGCAAGTTATTTGGAAAGAACTCTTCCATTGAGAACAGCTAAGAATGCTGGTTAAAATGTAAATCACCGTAAAAATGTTCAAAGAACAGTCAAGATAGTAAGGAACTGTCAGCCAAATTGTGGAAGAAAATGGGAATTTAGGACCACCAGTGGGCCAGAGTCACTCTTGCCCTGAAGGCATTTTTCTTCCATTGGACAAACTTGGGCTTCATTTATGACTCTGTCCAGGGGCAGAGGGCCAGAGAAGTTAAGACTCGAGGCCCACCCACGGAAGACAGTCTAATACACCCAGCCAGAACCATGGATCGGGCTCTGAACATATATCCCCTGCAAACGTGTGTGGGAATGGAGATCTTGTTTCTTGCTTCAGGTTTTGATTGCACAGGAAGTGTATAAAGGAAGTGTATACAGCAGCTTAATGTTGTTATTCAAATAGCATTGATTGTTGTCCAGGTAACTTGATCACAGCACTAGTTGCACCAGTAAGTGTAGATGGACTTCATTAAGAAACAGTATCAAGTCTGTAGCAAAAGCTAATTTCCAAAGCTATTCAGTGTTTAATAATAGTAGTTGAGAGCAGCTATGGTTCAGAAAAATTTTATTCTTGGCTGTGAGATCAAAATATTATAATAAAACTTTACTGCCGCTAAGCCATTAAACTGCTTTTTAGTATGGCAAGTTAGAATTTTTAACTTCTATTACTGACAAAAATTCAGAACTGACAGATTAAATCCACAAGAGCTATTGAAGCTCATGGTTAACACTGTCAATTGAAAAACAGTATTGAATTTTTTTTAGCAGAATACTTACACAAGAAAAATGCAGTGAATTCATAGGCTTTGTAAAAACTAAGTCAACAGAAACCTCATTTAAAATGAGGTCAGGAGGCCAGAAGGGGGAGCTTTCATGCCCTGTGGTCAATGGGAAGAACTGTTTATAATACCACCCCCCCCTCTGTAAAAGAGTTTCCTTCCCTTTGTTTGTCTGGACTTGTGTGCAGTTTGTCATTAGACCACACGTCCCCAGTTGCAATTCTTTTCCCCAAATAAACCCATTTTCCTGGAGAAACATTGGGCTGTCTGTTTAAGTAGTGTCCACACCTTATGTTTTCACTGGTTTTATAAACTAGCCGGAGGCATTTTCCCCGTACATATTTTTCACCATAATTTGATTCCACTTTACATTGTATTATATTAGTGTTTTCTCATTGATGTTTTTTAAAACCTGTAGTTTTTCCACACACACTATTCATAGAAGCCATTTGTTCTTCACTGCAAACTTGGCATTGACACCTCAAATAGACAACTGAGTAGTATCCTCATCAAGATTCAAGAAAAACCAACCACTCAAAATTATTTGCCTTGTTTTTTTTTTTTATCAGCTGTTAGTGTTGTTCCCAGTACTCTCAGCTCTTTGAGCAACTGTTCTCACCCAAAACCTAATAGTCTTAAATTTTATTTTCTTTGGACATATTTCTTCAGTTGCTGCAATTCAAAATAATTTAGTTAATCCTTTACTGATAAACACCTTTGTTTGTTTGGCTAACAGATGAGCCACCCAGAAACTTACTTTTGTTGAAACTTCATTTTAATTTTAAAATTTTAAAGATAGTCTGGTGCAATAAGGTATTTTATGTTAGATTTTCTAATTTTTCTCACTAGTTTTTTCCTGTGAGTTGAAAATGTTGTGATGAGTGCTTAGTCGGGTAATAATGCGTATTTGTATTTTTTTAGGACGGATAAAATGTCATTGCATCCTAAACAGTGCTTTACCGTCCTATTCAATAACTGTCTAATTCATCTCTGCTGTGCCTTAAAAAATGCAACATTCAAAGTTTACTTGTTCTTTTTCTTACTTTGACATGATAGTATGTACTAGAAACTAATAAAATGTCACCATATAGTACAGGCGGCACTCAAAGTTCCGTGAAGTTACAATGGTGTCACTGTAGTCTAGTGTGCTGAAGTCACAACAGTGTCACTGCAGTCTAGTGTGCTGAAGTCACAACGGTGTCACTGCAGTAGTGTGCTGAAGTCACAACAGTGTCACTGCAGTCTAGTGTGCTGAAGTCACAACAGTGTCACTGCAGTCTAGTGTGCTGAAGTCACAACGGTGTCACTGCAGTCTAGTGGTGCTGAAGGAGCCATGCAAAGTGCTGTCGGTGCCGTGCACGGTCTGCCGTCTGCTTTTCTCTGAGTGCCTCGCTGTGCTGCCTCCGTGGTGTAAAAGCAGCTACAGACAATAGATACACAAACGTGTGTGCAAACAAAAGCTTGATGCACGCATTTGAGTGCCATACATTCTCTTATGTGTCAAAATGTTATTCTTTTCATCTTTTTCAACCATTTAAAAATATAAAAATTGTTCTTAGCTTGCAGATGGTACAAAAACAGGCAGCAAGCTCACTGTGGCCCACAGGCTATGGTTTGCCCACCCCTGTGGTAGAGCATAGGAAGTCTTCAGTAAACAGTAAAACATGAAAAATTTTCCTTAGGGATCAGGAAGAAGACTGTGATTTCCGCTTTCACCATTTTGTTTTTCACTATTATTTTCAGCTGTAGACTAGAAGTTTTGTCAGCACAGGAAGGTCAAATGCCATTTATATGTGATGTGTGTATATTTACATGTAAAGAGATACATAGCTGCTTGGATTGGAAGAGAAGAAACAGCTCCCATTTGCAGGTTTTATGGCTGTATATGTAAAACATTGAAAGGAAGACACGGAGAAATTATTAGAATTGAAACATCTTGCCTCGGCTGGTGTAACGTAGTGGACTGAGCGCAGGCCTGAGAACCAAAGGGTCGCTGGTTCGATTCCCAGTCAGGGCACATGCTTGGGTTGCAGGCCTGGTCCCCAGTAGGGGACACATAAGAGGCAACCATACATTGATGTTTCTCTCCCTCTCTCTCCTTTCCCTTCTCTAAAAATAAATAAATAAAATCTTTAAAAAAAGAATTAAAAAGAACTTAGCACATTTTCTTGAATATAAAAACAATGTACAAAATCATTTTTCCTATAAGACAGCAACATACACAAGTTTTTTTCTTTTTTTGAAAGATATTGCCTGCCCCTGTGCTCCCCTCCCCACTTTGTTGTGTCTGCCGAAGTGAGTAGTGGGACCTGCAGGCCTCGGCCACCCTCGTGGTCCCGCCCGCCCTCCGGTCAGTGTCATGAAGTGCGACTCTCCCTCTACCCAGAGGCCGTTTTCTCCAAGTGGTGCTGTGGGGCCCTGCTGCCGGGCTGCTGCCACAACGGCTCCTGGAGTCAGGGCGGCCACGTGGCTGTGCCCGTTGTGGGGGCTTCTTGCGTCTGTGCTCAGTGCCCAGTGCTGCTGGGCCACAGGAGACCAACGCCTCAAAGCCCGTCAGCCCACAGGTGCGGCCGAGCCCAGGCAGTCCCGGCCGGGCTGGCGGGTGGATGCTGGGCCGTGGGAGGCGCGCCCCGGGCCTCGTTTTACAGAGTGGGCAGACTCGGCGTTTGTTTCTCTGATGCTTCCTGGGCGCTGCAGAACTTAGAGGCTTAAAAAAAGGAAAAACGAAACCAAAAATAAAAAGAGCGCCATAAAAACGGTTAAGAATCTGTAATTTTACTGATCCTCGCCAGTTTGTTAGGTTGCCACCTTGATTTTACAGTGCCTGCAGTGTTCTCCCGAAGTTCTGTTTCAGCTGCATCCCAGGAGGTTTGATGTAAAACAGTTCTGTTATAGCTTCCTCCAAAACAGTAACTAATTTCCATTAGTTTTGGGTTATTTGGAAGTATAATAATTAATTTGGAAGTATAATAATTTTTGTCGTGGATGTTTAACATTAGAGTCCGAAACAGACTCTGAATCTGCAGTCTTCATTTGGAGGGTCGTATGCACAGTGCGTACCCTGCACCACTGTGGTGCACCCAGATCTCCCCTCGGATCAGGGTAGAAATCATCTACCTGGAATGAATGAGGGGGGAAGATGAAAAACCCAGTCATTACAGGGTTCTATCAACCGTTGTCATACGAAGTATGAACAGTATTTCTCTTTTCGTAAATAAGAATTCCTTGGCTCTGGCCAGGTAGCTCAGTTGGTTAGGGTTTTGCATGGATATGCCAAGGTTGCAGGTCTGATCCCTGGTTAGGCACACACCAGAAACAACCAGTGAGTGTATAAATAAGTGGAGCAACAGTGATGCTTCTCTCTCCCCCCTCCTCTCTCTCTGCAAAATCCAATGGAAGTTTAAAAAAAGAATTCCTTGCCACAAAACACACATTTAAAAATCTAGATTTATCTCAAAATGGGATTATCTTAACCAAAATCTTTTCAAGGAGTCAGTCATTTTTAAGCATACACTAGTTAACTGTTCTTTATTTTTATTAAATGTTACAGGTTATGGAGCCTAGTAGATCACGCATTAATAGCAAGGTGTAACATGGAGGAGCCTGTTCGCTGTGCCGCCGTGAACGGAGATGGAATCCATCTTGCCCTTGGAATGAAGGACGGCTCCTTCACTGTACTTAGAGTAAGGTATGGTATTAGGGTAGAAGCAGAAACAGTGATTTTTCTAAGTGAGGTGGACAAGATAATCTTTGTTCCTACCCATTTTCTTAGTTATTAATCTGTATGTTAGTTTTATTAAATATGGAAGTATATTTATAAAAACGAGTTTGACAGAAAATTATGCTAACTTAGAAACCCTAGTTTAGAGATAAGAATGCTTTGTAGATTATAGCTAAAATGTGAACTATAAATTTGTCGGGTCCTCACTTTTCTTGGTAGTATTGATTTTCAGTAATGATCCTCTGCCATTAAAGGGGATGGGGCGGAGGGACATTGAGGCTTTAAAAATGGGTCATTGACTTTGTTGTGTGCAGCTTTATGTTTTGAAAAGAATTCCTATTTTTCTTCCTTTGTTTGGGTCATTGCAAACGTTTGAGAATTTTGTTAAGGCAATTGACATCTAGTGTTGAATTATAATATGGTACATTCAACTGAATTTTATACAGCCATTAAAACATTCGCTATGGCCCTGGCCAGGTGGCTCAGTTGGGTGGAGCATCATCCTGCTGCACCAAGGTTTCCTGTTCCATCCCCGGTGGGGGCACATGCGGGAGCCCACCAAGGAGTGCATGGATGAGTGCATCAACCAGTGGGTGTCTCTCTCCCTCTCTCTCTCTTCCCCCTCCCTCCCTCGCTCTTTCCCCTTCCTCTATCCTTCTCTTTTTCAAATAAATTTAAAAACGTTAAAAAATTGGTATATATCCACATGTGTTCCAAGGATAAGTACTTAGGAAATCTTTCTTCTCTAGCTTAGTGAGTGGTAGGAGCATCCACCCAATTGCCCAATCCAGAAACCATTAATTCATTTCTTTCTGTTGCCTCCTTTGTCTAGTTAATCACAGTTCTGAAGTATCCACTTCCTAAATTGCTCTGCAATTAATCTGCTTCCTTCTATGCTCACAGTTGTAGTCTTGTGTAGGCTTCTGCCATCTCCTAACTGGATTGGTGGGATAGCATCTCAGCTGGTCTCTTTACCTCCTGTTTTACTTTCCTCAAAGCCTTCTTCACTCTACAGCGACAGTGATGCCTTTTAAAACATTCATTTTCATCCTTCCTCTTTCTAAAGTATAATAAAAACTGTGTACTGTCCTTAGGATAAAGTTCATAATTCTTAATTAACACAGCTTGTGTGCATCTCTCCAGCCTGTTTATTTCTGCCTCAAACTCTTTCTTTCATATCTTTTGCTTTTTCAAATACAACATGTTCTCTGGTACTTCTTAGTTTTCTATAGAGGCTGACTCTTCTTTTTGGGCCAAGTTTTTAGAGTGAGATATGCTGAGATTGTTTCCCTTAAATTAATTTTGTTGTGATAAAATATAAAATTTACCATTTCAACCATTTAAAAAAAGTGTAAAATTTAGTGGCATCAAGTACATTTGTGTTGTTTTGCAACCAAAATTTTAATATGCATATGAAATGCTTAGGAGTTCCTATCATATAGCTTGTTGCATTAAAAAGTCATTTTTTTTCAAGGCTTACCCTTTTAATTATTGTTTGCAAGAACTTGGCTAAGCTGTTATATCTAATAAGTCCATATTTTAGCAATTTAGTACAAAATTGCTGACAGGATTATTGAAATAGTTATAATGATTATTATAACTTATATAGTATAATAGTCATATATAGTTGTATATATATGTAACTATATATTTACTACATAACATAGTATATATATGTAACTATTACATATAATAGTTACATGATAGTTATAATAGTTGTGAATATTTGTAACTATTTGTATTTGTAGTTCAACCCCAAAATTCTAACTCACAAAACAGTCTCAATCCTTCTAAATTTACCTGGTCACTATTTCTCCTTAGTTTTTTACTTAACATAAAGCAGGTCCTTAAGTATAGCAGTGAAATAAGCGTAACTTCACAGGAGAGTGATGTAGTGATTGGAGGGGCACAAACTAGGTGAGAATTTAACACACTGGTGGTCAAACTTGGGTACAACGTAATGTCTCAGGGCGCAGTCACCTAACTTCCTAGAACGGCTCTTTTCCTTGTGGTAGAAAATGTTAACAATTTGATATTAAAAGAAACACTAATATCTGGAGTCAAGTGAAAGACTGCAAATATTTTCCAAATTAGTAGACAGGCACGTGAGACTGATTTGTGGTGAGCTGCATTATCAGCATCAAGCTGCTCGGGGCCATTCATTCATTCTGTGCGTAGTCAGGGAGGCTCCGTGGAAGAGACTGAGGAGCAGCAGTTGATGCTGGGGACGGAGTGAGGCTTCTGCAGCGCCTGGCTAGACTGGTTGTGAAAACCTTAACATTGCGTTTCAGATTCTGCCAGCAGCTACCCATGTGTCTCCTCCTGACAATTCCACTACCATGTTATATCTAATTTAAAAGGATTGAGTTAGTTTTTCCTAACTAGTCACACACGTCTAAAATTTTTTTCAACCTATTTATATTTTATCCCATTTTGGGGGGAATAATAAATTTCAAAAGTTGTTTTCTGATTTTACAAAACTTTCTGTATATATCTGTTTTTTGACATCAATTTTTTGTCTCTCTTCCCCCCCAAAAAATGTTCAAATTATCTTAAAATTCCTACCTAAAATTTAAGCCTTCTCCAGTTATATCACATTTCCTTCTTTCACAGTAAAATTCTCAAAAAACTGCCTAATTTACTCTCTCTTCTTCCAATTATCAGCTTTCTATCCCCATTTCAATACAGCTTTTGCCTTCATCTTTCATTGAAAAACCCTCACTAGTAAGTACCAAGTACCCTGTTACTGAAGATGGAAGACATTTTCCAGTTCTCTTCTAAAATTCTCAGCAGTATCTGACCCTCTTAGCCACTTGCTCCTTCTCACAACATCCTCTTCCCTGCCTTTGGGTATTCATTCTCTCTGTTTTTTTCAGCCTACTGTTCTGGCTCCATTTTCTTTGTAGGCTAATTATCTTCTGCCTACCCAGTAAGTGCTGGAATGCCTCAGAGCTCAGACCTGGGCTTTCCAGTGTCTGTTTTCCCCACGTTGTGTTTTGTCCCTAGGTAAGCTGGTCTTTCCTCTAGTAGAGGGCTGGTTTTCATCTCTGCCTTTACACGATGAACACAACGGTAAAGCCCAGTTCCTTGGCAGTTTATTAGATCTCTCTCTAATCTCAACAACCACCAACTTTCCCATTTATTCTCGTATCCATGTTGTGTTGTCTGCTTCGTGCTTTGCTCCTCTTGCATCTTCTTCCTGGAAAACCTTCCCTCCTCTCTTAACACCCAGGCAGCTCCTTCCCTCTTATACTTAATGTATACATCATTCTTCCTCATCCCCACCTGCTTTAATCTGGTCTTTAACCCTTTTTTCAATACTTCCTATGGAGCTTCACATACATCTTTTGAGCACTCGCCACATCTTACCAGTAATAAAGTATAAATACTTCGTATCCATCTCTCACAGAAGATGAGTTTATGTTTTATGTGTGTAAAACAAAGTAAGTACTTGGTGTTACTGGAAGAAATTTGAGGTTGATTGCTTTCAATTGTCCATTTAGAAACTTTAAAAACTGTAAAAATGTCCATTCAGTCTTCTGTTTTGAAATCATCTGCTTGGAGCATTTCACACTGATAAATGCAAAATTTATATGGGGGAAAAAAGACCCTGGCATTAATTGAAAGTAGGAATTATTCTTTATCCTGCCCTTTTCTCCCTGGCTACCTCTGTCTTCTCCCCTGTCCACCAACTCCACAACTTTGGAAACCCACTGGTGTTAAATTAAGTGTATCCATATTTTTGGCTGTTTACAATATTTGTATTATTTTGGAAACTCAGTTACAAGGCATCATTGAACAAATATTTAAATTCACTTGTCAACATGTGCCTACTTGGGAAGAATTTGCATTCTCTTAAAAAAGGTCAGAGAGGTTGAAATATAAATAACTAGTTATAATTATACAAAGATATATATTCAAATGTGTTAGTGAAACAGTACAAATCAGTTCTTCCTTTTCTTCCCCCTCAATGTGATTTTGCATATTTGGCTCATTATAAGTACTTGTTTGAAAATTATAGTGTTAGTAATGAAGGATTTTTCATAAACTCAATATTTGTGACATTTTCTATATATTGTATGGCTCCATAAATTTTAGTCTGAATCTCTAAACTACTTAAAGTAATGTAGGAGCTGAAATTTAGCATTTTCCCCTATTTCCAGCACATACTGTATTCATATATTTCTGTTCAGCAAAAATAATTCTTTCTTAATCAATACTATTCGTCTCATTTACATTTGTTTTATGGTTTATAAATATCTGACACAGCCTCACATTTTAGACACATTTGGAAATTTAACTCCATAGTGACTTTTTCACATGGTCTGTTTCTCTTTCTTTACAGAGATATGACAGAAGTTGTACATATTAAAGATAGGAAGGAAGCGATTCATGAGTTGAAATACTCACCGGATGGAACTCACCTTGCTGTTGGGTGCAATGATGGCTCGGTGGACATTTACGGAGTTGCTCAGCGTTATAAAAAGGTTGGGGAGTGCGTGGGATCACTTAGTTTCATCACTCACCTGGACTGGTCCTCGGACAGCAGGTATCTTCAGACAAATGATGGAGCTGGCAGAAGAATCTTTTATAGGATGCCAGGTAAAGGTTTCTAACACATTCCTTATAATTTATAGATTTTATTGCCTGTAAAATATTTTAGGATTTCACTAGAAGCCGAGTAAGTTATATTTGATAATAGGAAATCAGTGAAGATCTACTCTAATATTTTAGGCATTGTGATCTTTTCTATAAGGCTGTCCTGTTATATTGAACTCTTTTTAGTTCTTAATTAAAACTTCTTTGCTTAGAGGATCTAAAACCTTCTTTATGTTGAATTCCACATCATGTGAGTAGTATATGGTAAAGTCCTATGTGTTAGGAAGTCAAAAATGCCATTTTTATTGATGGAACTAATTAAATGTAATTGCTACAAATATCTAACCATAAGTTGTTTGGGTTTTTGTCGTTACCTCAAATAAACAAATATTAATAGTACAGCTAATAAATTAAATTTGAGAAAGTTTTCATCAAAGATTTAAAAAGAATAAAACCAGAGCAAAATATTTTTAGTACATTATTTAGTATCATGCTTAGTGAATTTAGTCACTATTTTCTAATAATGTATTTGATAAAAGTAGATACATAAATTAATGCATTTCTTTAAAGTATTTTATTAACAATCTGTATGTAACGAAGACTGAATCAACCCTAAAGTTTTTGTTACCGAATGTAAATGTATAACTTGCCACTCATCTTTCCTTCTCAGTCCTTTTCAAAAGTTCTCTTTTTCTCAACTATATATCTTCTTAGGTTTCTTTTTTAATACTTAATTTGCCACGTTCTTACAGCTTTTACTTTTTCTTCTAACTTACCCACTTGTGAATAATCTGTAGCATGATTTTAATAGGGTTCAGTTTTATTCTCTACATGGTGAACCTGCTTGCTACACCCTAATCAGATCTTTGCATGTCTCTGAATCAGTATAACTTTGGTTTTTAAAAAATACCTAACATTTAATTTTGTTCCTTCCTTACCATATTTACCTACCTATTCCTGTATTCTATTTTAACTGGAGTAGGAAGCTATTTAAATGTGAGGGTTTACTGTGTTAGCAGTACAATTTATGCTTCAGTAAAAATCCAATGAAGTAACTTACTAAATTAAGACTGATTTATTTTTAGGAGGAAGAGAAGTGACAAATAAAGAAGAAATAAAAGGTGTTCACTGGGCTTCATGGACATGTGTTTCAGGCCTTGAAGTAAATGGAATTTGGCCCAAGTATTCAGATATCAATGATATAAATTCAGTAGACGGAAACTATATTGGCCAAGTTTTAGTTACAGCTGATGACTATGGAATTGTAAAATTATTTCGATATCCTTGTTTAAGAAAAGGTACTTTTTCTTTCAAAGTACTATTTATAAAGGAGCTAAGTTCTTGCAAAAATTAGTCTTGAGATAAATAAAAGGTTTTATATTTTTAAAAATATGTGTATTGATTATTTAGTGAAGAGTTTTATGAAAATGAACAAAATTAGCTAATTTTATTTTGCTAAGTAAAAAATTATTGTCACACATTACGTTTATATATTTTGACATGAACTTTTTATTAGAAAATTGTTTCTGAATTCGTAAATTATTATGGACTAATACTTTACCTCTTTCTTTTTAAAGAATTATTTTTTCCCCATTTCATGTAGTTAGACTGTATAATGATAGTCATACTTTTCTTGCGGTGTGTTACCTTCAACTAGTTAACTTGTTGAACATACATCTTTTAGGTGATATTTCTCTAATGTCTTAGTGATTCTGATGAAGTAGTGAGCTGTACAAGTTCAGGTCATAGTTTGGAATCTATTTGTTGGTTGTTTTCACATGTGAGAATTGTGTTTTTGCTTAAATCCTGAATGCACGTTTAACATTTATTTATTTCCTATAACCGTGGGGTTAAGAAGATATAAGGGATTGTTTCCCCTTTTTTAACTTTTGAAGGCATTATTTATTGAGTCATTTAAAAGAATTTCAATCACAGTTTACACTTAATATTATTTTATATTAGTTTCAGGTGTACAGCATAGTAGTTAGACAATCATATACTTTACAAAGTGTCCCCCTCATATTTCAAGTATCCACCTGGCACCGTACATAGTTATTACAGTATCGCTGACTGTATTTCCTATGCTGTCCTTTACATCCCCCTGAACATTCTGTGTCTACCAATGTGCACTTCTTAATCCCTTCGCCACTTTCAACCAGCCCCTGAACCCCCTGCCTCTGTGGCAACTGTCAGTCTGATCTCAGTATTTGTGAGTCTGTTTCTGTTCTGTTTGTTCGTTTATTTTGCTCTTTAGATTTAAGGGGTTATTTTTCTGTACATTTTATGTATCAACCTCTTTTTCTTGGATCTGTTTTAACATGATGACATTAATCATTCTTTTCATAGTTCTGGGGAGTAAATGAAATACTGTATTAGTCATTTATTTCATGCTTTGTTCCACAAAGTATTTGAGTCACCTTATAACGGGTCCGTAAGTTCTAAAGTAACTGCATGAATAGAGAATTAGTACCAGGGGCATTACCGCGGTATTAAAACTAGGGAAGGAAATAACAGAGGTCAGACATCACGATCAAATCTGAGCTTCCTGGAAACCAAAAATAAAATAAAGCGGGGCACGAAATAATTTTAATTTTTTAAAAAGCATACTTGCTACTCAGGGAAATCAGCATTTCTGCAGAGATTTAGTTTTCCAAGAGCCCTCTCCTGTAGTACGGCGGTGCACGTGTTCGTAGAGCGTCAACAGCTGTAGCACGTGCAACATTAATTTTCATCTGATTGTTGAGAAAAGCTCTGGGCAAATGTTAAAATGCAGTTCAGTAAAAGGTGATTATGGGAACAGCCGAAGTAGTTTTATTCAGGCGATCGGTCCATTGATGTCAGGCTTAAGGGCCCGGTTTTCCCAGGAGCTGCTTACTTCTGTTGTGCCTATGGGTGAGTTTCAGGTCCTGCCGTATTGCTGGTCTCTGCCCGTGAGGTGTTGTTAGTTCCTAGGTGTGTGTGAAAGTGCATCCGTGAGTAATGCTAAGTGAGTTAAACAGGGCTCACTCAGCCCCTAGTGATGAAAGTTCCCTACTTCTGGGTCCCACCACATACGTAGACAGCACATGAGAGTCACCAGGAACAACAAACTGTATTGTGACTCAAGTTGCTCCTTGCCCCGTTAGGCGGTGTGAGATTTAGTTAGATTAATCATGATGATTTTTTTTTTTACAGAGAGAGGAAGGGAGGGAGAAAGAGAGGGAGAGAAACATTGGCCTGCAAACCCAGGCATGTGCCCTGACTGGGAATCGAACACAAGATACTTTGGTTCGAAGGCTGGCACTCAATCCACTGAGCCACACCAGTCAGGGCTTATATCATTCATAAAATGTGTTGTAGTCTTCTGAGTTGCTGTGGGAATATTTTTCCAGAGTCTGGGGAGATCAGTCTTGTTCAGTCACTGCTTCAATGGTATAAGTATAAACTGTTCCTCTCTTATTCCTTTGTGTTAGAAATTTATGGTAACGGCTTTTATTTCTAGGCACTTGTGATCACCTTGAGACTATGGGTAGATAATTAGAGCAGAAGCCAGGCTGTAACGACTGCGTATTGGAAGGATTAATAGAAGTGTTTTAAGATTCTGTGTTTCCTGACTTCACATACTTGCATAAATTTAACAGTATTACTAGAAAACTATCTTCTGGATTAGCTATGAAGATGTATACTATTTAATACATTAAGTTGTGTTACTGAAATTCTTACTTTTAGTAGAGTCAGAAAGATACCTGGGGAGGAAGAATTATGTCTAGAAGTTTTAAGGATATTAAAACATAGTAAATGGGAAACATGTTTTTTCATATTGCTACAATTTATTGGAGAGCTTTATTTCATATTAACTTTATGTTAAAATATGCCCTAAAACAGGTAAGAAAATAAGTGAGATCATCAAAACATTACTATTTTAGTATACTAGTTTATCCTACAAGGATTATTATTCTCTTATTTAAATTAGGAAGGCTTCTGACCCTTTCAGCTTGCATTGGTAAATGTTTTCTCTGAGATATTAGTCTCAGTTGATAACATGCTGTTTAGGCCTTAAATGTTATATCGTTTTCTGTCCCGGGTCAGAGTTTTCATAGTGGAGGGACTTTGGGAGCTTCGGTGCGTTCGTGTGGAAGTGGACGTGGAGCCTTAGAGAGGGAAGGGATGGGCGCCGCCGCCTCTGCGCACAGTCGGGTTGGCCCTCAAGCTCTGGTCTTCTGGTTTCAGCTCTAATGTTCTTCACATCATACTTTTGTTCCCCTTCGTTAATTACAAGGGTTGGAGTCACGTTCATGCTCTCAGTTTCCTTCATTACCGTTCTTCAGTCCTCTGCAGTGTAGCACTTCAGGGCACGTGTACAAGCAGAGTAAAGGGGGAATGTGGTCTCTCTTCTTTCCTTTCCTGACTTCACCTCTTCAAATACTTAATGAGTATTTGCAGTGTACCAGGCCTAGGGATATACAGCAAACAAGATTAACACCCCTGTTCTCAAGGATCTTCTAGTTTATTACAGGAATTAACAAGTAAATAGGCGGTTATACTTCAGGATGGTAAGTATAATCACAAGGCGGGTAATTACAGGGAATTCTGGAAGCATGTAGGAAGATAAGGTTGGTCCTAGTGAGGCACGGTCACTCTTATGAAAGATATGATATCTCAGTTCACTTTTAAGATATCCACTTATCATAGTTAGATGAGCAGTGCTGGTCATTAGATAGTTATTAATATAATCTCTTTGATTAGGAATAACTGGCTTCCCTTAGTCTTATTCCACAACTTCCTTGTGGATTCTTCCCGAGGGACTGGTCTTTGCAAAGTCACAGAGAAAGCCATTTGGACGGGACTTACAGGACAATTTACCCCTCTCTTGGGGCTCTCACCCAATGTAGTCACCTGGCGTCGATGCTCAGATCACACTTCTTCATTGGCCCTAAAATACGGCGAAATTAGTACATCTTAAAAATTTAGAATTTAACTTGTTAGACTTTTTGACTTTCCCTCTTGAAGACTCTCTGAATGTCTAAGAGTACTTAAAGGGCCCCATCAAAGGAAGCAGTAGCCAGAGTTCTCTTGGCAGGCAAGTAACTCATTCTTACATATGAGGGATGGGACTAAGTCTTACCTTATTGGACTTTGCTTGGTGACCTGTGGCAAGTTACCTATCTAGAAAACTACAGACTTCTAATAAGCTTCAAAAAATGTTGATGTCTAAAATAATAGCATTACTATTAAGCCTCAGTAAATTGTAATTTAAGATGAGTTTTGCTCAAATTTTTATGCTCAGATTAAGATAGCTATCCCTAAATTCATATCCAAGGTGAATTTTTCTCCAGATTTTAACAGAGGCAGCTTTGTCATCCTGACATGCAGACCTTCTATAACTTAATATAAAACTTTAAAAATGTTTTCAGAATGAGGCCCAATATTATATATCCAGCGTACTTTAACAGGGATATGTATATGTTGCCAAATAACATGTTTATCTAAGCAGAACGTGGAGAGTGTATTCTGAATTTGGAACCACAGAAATGCTTACTATCATGCTGATTAAAAAAAAAAACCACCACAAAGTAAAACAATTCCTTTGCAATTGACAAAGTCTGGTATGTACCACCTTAACCAGATGATGCAGCCTAACATGGTTAGTGAGGTGCCCCTTAAAACACTGTGTTCGAAAGAGCACATCACTGATGCCAAAAATACATCATCCGAATCTAATCAGGAAGACACATCAGGTAAACTCATGTTGAAGGCATTATACAAACTATAGAGATTTTAAAACAACTGTAAAGGACAGTTGTTGAGACAACCACTGGGTATATTTTATTTTGATTAATACGGCATATTGCATTGATTTTTGTCTGTTGAATCAATCATCGCTTTTCTGGCATAAATCCCATTTGGTCATGTTGCGTAGTCCTTTTTACATGTTGTCGTATTAAGTTGGCCAGTATTTTGTTAATGACTAAAGTTTTAAAAGGGTCCCATGGCTCTGGTGCTGAGACTCATGGGGGGTGGAGTAGACTGGTTCAATGTCACCTGAGACCAAAGGCCTCCATCCAGAGCTCTCAGATATCTTAGTAAGAAATCAGTTGATCCCCTTGTGGCTGCAGGCTTTTTTCAAAGCAGTAAGATCATGGCCTCCCTCACAGCTTTGTGGTTCCCATTAAATTATATTGTGAGTCAGCAGAACAAAAATTTACACCCCTCGATGTAGACTCATTCATTTGTTTACCCAACAAATTTTTTGAATTAACCTTTTTTCCCTTGATTGAGATAGTGGAAGGAGGATGCATTGGTTCACGTATAGGGATTGTTTGTCAAGGTGGTATCTTTGTGTGCTGGCATTTGTTTATGAACTTAAAGGAATATTTTTTGTTATAGGGGCCAAATTTAAAAAATATATTGGCCATTCGGCTCACGTAACTAATGTCAGATGGTCACATGATTATCAGTGGGTTATTTCTATCGGTGGAGCAGATCACTCTGTGTTCCAGTGGAAATTCATTCCTGAAAGAAAACTGAAAGATGCTCTTCACATAGCGCCCCAAGGTGAGTCGTAGAATGCACTCCCTAAATAGTTTGTCAGATAACTCTTCAGTGACCTCCAAATAAAATTTCACTGTTGAAATGTGACCTAGCCTCTAAGTTAAGCGTATAGTGTATTAGTGGAAATTTTACATTAAAGTATCAGGTCTATATCTTTAAAGTCAGATGTCACAGAGCATGGAATACAAAGTACTTGTGGTTGGGTTTTAATTTATCAGATGATGAATGAAGAAACACATTAGCAGAGCCAACATGTACTGTATTTGAAAGAAGATGAGTATCTAGGTTTCATATATGTTTTTTTTGACAAAGTTATGTTAGTTCATTTATTAATCATAGCATCTTCTGTTTTTCATGTTAATTACAGGTTATATTCACCTATATTTGTGCAGGCATTTAATTTGGTGTAGCAATCGTTGGGGGGGCCAGTGGAGGGATTTCCAGGAGCTGTTGGGTTTGCAGTGGGAGGAGAGGAAGGTAATCAGTAGTGCAGCTTAGCGACACCTGTGTCAATTGACTGGATGATTCCATTTGATTGTTTTACGGCTTGTCTCCATGTCAGTTGGCACAGTCAGCTCTTAATAGTTAATTTTACGGTACTGCTTTGAAAAGGTTCTTTAAACCAATAACGCTTCATACTTTAAAATTACAGAAAGCCTGGTTGACTCTAATAGTGATGAATCAGATTCAGATCTGTCCGATGTCCCAGAACTGGATTCTGAAATTGAACAAGAGACCCAGCTTACTTACCGCCGGCAGGTAATTTTTATTATCACATGATTTTTCCCTGAAAAAACACTAGTTTCTTCTTCATCTTTCTCCCTGCTGTTTACTCCTCTGTTATCTTTTATGGTGTTTAATTTTCTAAGAAATACATGTCAATTCGTTCCTGCTTTGAGTTAAAGTACACTTTCGTGAACTGTTCTTTGATAGTAAGTGCTTGATAGATCAAGTGTGCCTGTATTCTGTTTGTCCATAGCTTTTTGTCATAGTACACTCCTATTTATTCCATAAAATATTCTCTTGAGAAGTACAAAAATGTCATGGAACACAAAATACATATTTGTCAGTGTGGTGCATAGAAAATGTAAATGTAAATTAGTTCTGTCCAGGGAGGTAAACTTCATGAAGTACTTTCCTATTTAAGATAGTTGTTAAAACTTTAGTGACCAATAGTAAACACAGTGTCTGAAAGTTACATTAGGAATCTGTGAAAACCTTTGTTAATATGTATTCTAAAAATATTTCTACCTCATTTAAAGGTTTACAAAGAAGATCTACCTCAGCTTAAAGAACAATACAAAGAGAAACAAAAAAATGATACTTCCAAAAGAAGGGAGCGGGCTCCAAAGAACAGTATTCGGTTACACTTTGTTCATGGGTACGAAACAACTGTTTTTCATTTATGTGTTTGCATTTTGCCTGCATTTATTAGCTGTGTGATTTCAAGCAAGTCACGTAACCTGTCTGTGCCTCTGTTTCCCACCTGTAAGTGGAAGTAACAGAACGTACTTGACAGTGTTCCGATGAGGAGTAAGTAAGTGGATAGTTGTGGTGACTTAGAGTATTGTCTGGTGCATAGTGAGCACCATATAGATGTTAAATTAAAAATTAGTGTGTCTTATGAAAGTTTTATATTTGTAGCATTGGATCTCTTATCTTTGAATGAATGCATAAAATGTAAGGGATTATCATCTCCCCTGAATACAAGTATGTCTAATTTGGGATGGTATTGTGTGTTCATTTTGCCTTCATATTTTAATTTCAGTAAAATACAGTCTCTGGATTGTCTTAGAACATTTAGCAATACAGGTGTCCCATATCACCCTGGAACAACAAATTTTCCAACCTGACAATTTTTTCTCTTCACCCAGTAATCCTTCTCTTACCTGACTGATGATGCTTTCAAGAATTTCAGAAAGGATTTATTTAGCAAAAGTATTTTTTTTGACTGTGTTAATAGGCAGTATTTCTATGCAGTTATGTTATAGGAATTGGTTTTATTTGAAGTACAAAGAAAGGTTGCTATAAACGGAATTGTAGTCATCGTGTTTAGAAGATTTGGCTGCTTTTTCCTGAAAGAGTATAATATTTTAAAATTATTGTTTAACTTATTTTTGGACTATATCTTATACTCTCATAGTTCAGCAATGTGCATGAAAGGCCACCCTCTAAACCTCTGATCCTACCTCTGCCCTCCAGCCCTCATTGCCCTGCACCAAGAGTAGCCACTGTTCCTTCCAGAAATTTGTACGCATATATAGACACATATAAATATTTATTCTTTTCTATTCCCTTTCACTTATAAAAGCACCTGTTTTCGTTTCATAGTGAACAGATTTAGCACTGTGCTTATATGCGAATGGTAGTGTGCTGTATACATTTACACGCACCTGGATTTTTTTTCATTCAGTAGTATAGCTCGGATTTAGCTCTTTGTAATGAGAGCAGTTCATAAAAGCTTATGTGATTTGAGATTTCATATTTTGTTTTAATGTCTTAGTATCTTATAAAACTAGACATTGAATGACCCCAGAGGTCCCTGCTTCTCGAGAACTCTGTGTGGTCCGTATTTATCAGATAAAGGCCAAAGTTCATATTTTGTATGTTTTCTATATTTAGTTACAGAGGTTATGACTGTCGAAGTAATCTGTTTTATACTCAAATCGGTGAAATTGTGTACCACGTGGCAGCAGTGGGCGTCATTTATAATCGACAGCAGAACACACAGCGCTTCTACCTGGGTCACGATGATGACATCCTCTGCCTGGCTATTCACCCTCTGAAAGACTATGTGGCAACAGGCCAGGTGGGTCCTTTGAGAACCTGTAACGGGACAGAGAGGTTAGGCCTCTGTTTGGCTCTAAAGTTAGATGAGTCCACTTTTTAAAAAAAATCTAGGCATATATTTTAGATTCTAGGAAATAAGGAGTAAAGAATTCTTCAGAGTGGGATTTAATTTTCATATTAAAAATAAAATTTACCACAGCTCTTTCCTAGGGTTGTTTTTAAAGTTTCTTCTTCTTCTTTTTATTATTATTTATTATTATTGTTATTATTTCAGTTTGACTTTGTAACTAAAGAGCTCCGACTTATTTCTGTGATGATAATATTAACTACTTAAAATTTGTGAGTAAAAATTACAGAAAACAAAGACTAGAAATATGGTTACAAGTGATCTAAAATAACATAACCTAACAAATGTTCTGTGACAAAAAGGATGACTGTGTTTTTGTTTGACCACCATGGTAGGGCACTATTCAGGTTTACCAAAGTACAAAGCAGCGATACTGACATAGAAAACACCGAGAAAATCTTAAGTGATACCTCTGTTTATGGATAGTCTTAGAGAAGGATAGAAAGGGGCGATGTTTATAGATCATCACTGTTTGTAAGCACTTGACTGATTTCTGTTTTTTTAAGATTTTATTCATTTATCTTTTAGAGGAGAAGGGGGGAAGGAGAGAGGGAGAGAAACATCAATGTATGGTTGCTTTTCGTGTGTCCCCTGCTGGGAACTGGCCTACAGGGAACCGGCCTGCAACCCAGGCATGTGCCCTGACTGGTAATCGAACCACGATCGTGTGGTTCGCAGGCCCGCACTCAATCCACTGAGCTACACCAGCCAGGTTGACTGATTTCTTAATGTATAATTATTTTATTCTCATGTCACCTCAAGAAGAATGACTCAAACTATTTCCTCCAAGTGTTCTTATTTAACAAAAAATATCTTGTTCCCCACGACTTTGCAAGATTTATTTTAATGTCTTAGTGCTCATTATCTCTAGCATAGGATCACTGCCAATAACAGGTGCTTGGCAAGCATCATCTTTACTGACGGAGTGTAAGGTAAAATTTAGGAGTCACGTAGTTCTGGGATGTTTCTAGGCACACTGAGCCTGTCCTCATTAGCTTTTCAACAAATGTAAGAAAGTCACATATACAGTCTGCTTTACAGTTTTCATTTGGTGAGTGTCAATAGCAGATACAAAAAAGACTATATATAATCCATTTTATTTTCTTTTAAAAGACATAAAAATAATTGTATAAAATTGCTTTTGTAATTCTTCTGTTTTAGGTAGGTAGGGACCCCTCGATTCACATATGGGATACAGAGACCATTAAACCCTTGTCTGTATTAAAGGGCTGCCACCAGTATGGTGTCTGTGCTGTTGATTTCTCAGGTAAGGCTGTTTTCTGTCTCAGCAGGAACGATCAGAGTGCAAAGGCAGTGCATAGCGTGTTAGTCTAAGTGAGTGTTGCTTAGCCTTGTCAAATCTACGTATCCTTAGCCTAACAAATTAGGACTGTGTACACGTGGGTTTTCTGGCTATTTTATCATTGTAATTTGATGAGTGTAATTTTTAAACTACATTTTATTTTTATTTTTATAATCCTCACTGAGGATCTATCCATTAACTCCACACAGAGGACAGGAGATAAAGATAGAGAAAGAGATAGAGAAAGAGATAGACAGACATAGAGAGAAACACTGATGTGCAGAAACATCAATTGGTTGCCTCTGAATGCGCCCCCAACAGGGGACTGAACCTGCAACCTAGGCATGTGCCATGACTGGGAATCAGACCTGCGATCTTTTGGTTTTGGGGACGATGGACCAACCAACTGAGCCTCACTGGCCAGGGCAATGAGTGTGGTTTTTGATACCCAATAACATAAATTTGTTTCTATTAAAATAAAAATGTTAGTCTACATAACATCTAAGGTCATCTCAACTACTGCAAATGGTATATATAGTTCCCATTTGGGCAAATTCTGATCACTGTGTCTTGGAGCCACAGAGTAAACTTTGAAAATGTTTAGGATGAAAGCTGAGAAAGAAAGAGGTGAGACCTGAAACATTTCTTTTATAACATTTCTATGAAGTGACAATTTCAAACTGTCTTATCTAAGCAATTTCAGATCATGTTAGCTCTTCACTGTATATTTGAAAGTTTCACAGCTACAGGTAGATCAAAATACAAAAACAGATCTACAGTGGAAGCTAGGGTGTAAATCAGGAAATGAGAAATACCATTAATAGAGAATTTTATATTAAGAAAACAAATTTGTGCTGTCTGCTGCTCTGACTAAAGTGGCAGTGAATTATTCATAGTAGAGATTTTTGGAGAAAATGTATATACGCATTCAAGGATCTGCTAAACTCAAGAAACGAGAATGAATGGCAGACGAAGGGAGTCACCAAGAAACATACACTGGTAGTGATGATGGACTGATTGGGGTTTTCAAAAAGCGTGGCAGATGAACTCCTTTAACTTGACCTTGTCTGCCCTTCCATTCTAAATGAAAGCTTTGTAGAAAAAGAAGATAAAAAACATGTAAAGTAAAATGACAGCAAACTCATAATTATTAACAACCACACCTAAAACAAAAGCAAAAACAAAAAAACTAAACAAACAACTAGAGCAGAAACAGAACCACAGAAATGGAGATCATATGGAGGGTTAGCAACAGGGGAGTGGGAGGAGGAGAAGGGGGGAGAATGTACAGAGAATAAGTTGCATAAATGGTAGGTAGAAAATAGACAGGGGAGAGGTTAAGAATCATATAGGAAATGTAGAAGCTAAGGAACTTATAAGCATGACACCTGGACATGAACTAAAGTGGGGGAATGTGGGTGGGAGGGGGTGTGTGGGATGGAGGGGAGTGAAGAGGGAAAATGGGACAACTGTAATAGCATAGTCAATAAAAAATATTTTAAAAATAAAAATAAAAAGCTTGGTGGCAGAGGGACAAACATTTTATTGTAGTTTCAGCCATTACAACTCATAATAGACACGTGCACGCCTGTCAGCGTGACTCAGACAGCGTGACTCAGACTGGTCCAACATGTTCATTACTCATTGATTGATGATAGTAACAAAATAATTGGCCTTTACTAAAAATAGTCATATTAATGGCAGTATGTGGTTGTAACCTACATATTGCCATCATTTTCAGTATGATTAACTCTTCATAATCACTATGAGCTTTTGTATCACAATAGGTTTCTTATGGTGAAATTGAGTAAATCTTTTCTTAGTTTTTTCTTTTCATTTTTTTAAACCTCCTTTTCCACCTTTCTGATTGTCCTCCTTTCCCCCCTCTCAGCCTGATGGATATGGTAAATGAAGTCCGAGAAAATGTCAGCAGTTACATTTGGACTCGCTGAGAAACGATTCTCCTCCCCTTACAGAGTCTGGTTCTTTTTATAACTGTATACACACCGAACATTGAATGTTACTTTGTAAATTTTTAAATATGGCACTGGGGTTTTATACTGTGTACTGAATGGTTTTCCTCTTCTGGGTGGTAACGGCTGGTGTCTGTCCATTTCACAGCGGATGGGAAACGTCTGGCTTCCGTTGGAATAGACGACGGCCACACTGTCGTGCTGTGGGACTGGAAGAGAGGGGAGAAGCTCTCAGCAACAAGGTGGGGGAAAGGCCGGCATCGCAGTTCAAAACGCTGAAATCGCTTTGGACTTAAAGTTTTAGAAAATTAAAACAGCTTTGAAATCAAGCAAACATGTAACCTTTTTCTATTGCCGTGTTTATCACGAAATCAGTAATATAATCATGATTAAAAGACAGACGATTTCAGGATTCATTTGTAAGTTTAATCCTTGAGAACCACTTTTTAATGTAACCACAATGTGACGTTGAAAATAGCTATTATCCATTTACAGGCAGAATTCTAACTGTATGATAAGCTGTTATATACCTATTGGAAAGCATGATAAAATGCTCATATATTTAAGTGAAAAAAGATACATACATACTTATATATCACAAAGAAGCTATATTGGTTTTTAACTTTTTTGTTATACTTTTTATTTTCTGAATTGTCTACAGTGAGCATGTTATTTTTATTTTAGTTATTTATTTATTTTAAGATTTTATTTATTCCTCTTTAGACAGAAGGAAAGAGAAGGAGAAAGAGAGGGAGAGAAACATCAATCTGTGGTTGCCTTTCAAGCTCCCAGTACTGGGGACCCGGCCTGCAACCCAGGCATGTACCCTGACTGGGAATCAAACCTGCAACCCTTGGGTTCACAGACCCGCACTCAATACACTGAGTCACACCAGCCAGGGCGAGCATGTTATTTTTATAATGAAAATACTAACAATTTCTTTGAAGTAGGAAATAGTCAAGTGTCAGATTACATGATTAATTGGCAAAACACAGGATACAAAGTCAATATTCAGAAATTGAAGGCATTTTTGTATACCAACAATGAACTATTAGGAGAAACTAGGGAAAATTCCATTTACTATAGCAACAAGAAAAATAAAGTACCTAGGAATAAACCTAACCAAAGAGATAAAAGACCTGTACTCAGAAAACTACACAACACTGAAGAAAGAAATTAAGGAAGACACAAACAAATGGAAGCACGTACCCTGTTCATGGACTGGGAGAATTAACATCATCAAAATGTCCATACTACCCAAAGCAATAGATTCAATGCAATACCTATTGAAGTACCAATGGCATATTTCACAGATACAGAGCAAACATTTCAAAAACTTATATGGAATCATAAATGACCCTAAATAGCCGCAGTAATTTTGAGAACAAAGTAAGAGGGATCAGAATACCTGATCTCAAACTGTATTACAAGGCCACTGTAATCAAAACAGCCTGGTACTGACATAAGAACAGACACATATCAACAGAACAGAATAGCACAGAAATAAACCCAAGTCTCTATGGTCAATTAATATTAGGCAAAGGGGGCAGAAGCGTAAAATGGAGTAAAAATAGCTTCTTCAACAAGTGGTGTTGGGAGATCTGGACAGCTACATGCAAAAAAATGAAAATTACCAATTTACACCATATACAAAAGTAGATTCAAAGTGCATAAAAGACTTAAATATAAGTCATGATACCATTAAAGTCCTAGAGGAGAACATAGGACAGTCTCGGATATTCCACGCAGTAATATGTTCACCAGTATGTTCCCTAGAGCAAGGGACATAAAGAATAAACAAATGGGATCTCATCAAAATAATAAGCTTCTGCATGGCTAAAGAAAACATTAAAATGAAAAGAGAACCAACAGTATTGGAAAACATATTCTCCAATGATACCTCAGACAAGGGTTTGATCTCCAAAATATTTAAAGAACTCACACAACTCCACTCCAGGAAGACAAACAACCCAATTAAAAACTGGGCAGAGGACTTGAACAGACACTTCTCTAAGAAGGACATACAGAGGACCCATAGATATATGAAAAGATGCTCAGAATCACTAGCCATCAGAGAGATGCAAATTAAAACCACAGTGAAATGCCACTTCACACTGGTCAGAATGGCCATCATAGAGAAAGCAACAAACAACAAGTGCTGGAGAGGCTGTGGGGAATGCAGATTGGTGCAGCCACTGTGGAAAACAGTATGGAATTTCCTCAAAAAAGTAAAAATGGAACCACCTTTTGACTCAGCAATCCCACTGCTGGGATTATAGCCTAAAAATCCTGAAACACCAATTCAGAAGAACCTATGCACCCTAATGTTCATAGCAGCACAATTTACAATAGCCAAGTGCTGGAAACAACCTAAGTGCCCATCAGTAAATGAATGGATCAAAAAACTTTGGTACATTTACACAATGGAATACTATGCCACAGAAAGAAAGAAGGAGCTCCTACCATTTGCAACAGCATGGATGGATCTGGAGAGTATTATGCTAAGTGAAATAAACCAGGTGGTGAAAGACAAATACCATATGATCTCACCTATAAGTGGAACCTAATTAACACAACAAACAAGGAAGCAAAATATAACCAGAGACATTGAAATTAAGAACAAACTGACAGTAACCAGAGGGGAGGTGGGAAGGGATAATGGCAGTAAAGAGGGAATGGTTTTCAGGAACATGTACAAGGACAAAACTAAAGGGGGTAGGATCAAGGGTGGAAAGTGGGGGTGGCTGGGGTGGGGGAGAGTGGTGGGGAGAAATGGAGACAACTGTACTTGAACAACAGTAAAAAAATGTGAAAAAAACTCTGAGGTTTGAAAGCAAAACCAAAGTATTTTGGACATGATTTGAAAACAGATTTATACTGTATTTTTTATACATGTCTTCAATAATTTTTATTTTCTGAAAAAAAATTTAAAAGAATTAAAACATTTTGGTATTTATTTCAGAGGAAGTAAAGATAAGATTTTTGTTGTAAAGATGAACCCCTGCGTGCCTGATAAATTAATTACAGCTGGAATTAAACACATGAAATTTTGGCGTAGAGCAGGTAAGATAGTGCTTTTTATTTTTTTGAAATTTAAGAAATTACTTTTCAGAGTGATTTAGCCAAGTGCAATGTGATATTCTAAAGTGGATCCTGGAACATAAAAGAAACAGTGGCAAAACAGGTGAGATCTGAAGAAAGTGTGGAGGTCAGTTAATAGTGATATATTAATATTACACGCTTGTTTCTTAATGTTCATAAATAGTCTGTAAAAATGTAAGTTGCTTATATTAGGAGAAACTGAGTCAGGACTACTGGATGAGATCACTGTGTTGTCTTTGCATCTTTTATGAAAATCAAAAATTATTCAAAATAAAAAGTTTTTAAAAAGTGATTCAGGCCCTGGCTGGTGTAGCTCAGTGGATTGAGCGTGGGCCTGCGAACCAGAGTATCATGGTTCGATTCCCAGTCAGGGCACATGCCTGGGTTGCAGGCCAGTTCCCAGCAGGGGACACACAAGAGGCAAACATACGTTGATATTTCTCTCCATCTCTCCTTTCCTTCTCCTCTAAAGATAAATAAATAAAATCTTTGAAAAAAAAGTGATTCACAGTTGCCTTGGTACATTTTAAACAAATATAAAAGTTATTTTATCATCATTTATTGGCTGCATTGGTGTAGTATTCATATTTGCAAAAGGATTTAACTTATGAAATTAAGCAAATGATGTCCATGCTCTTTTTTTCTGTTAAAGGCATTTTCTAAAAAAATTTTATATGCTATAAAATTATGTAGAAATGGAATGTTTTATGACTTCAGTTATTTTTAATTATAAACTATTAAGTGTGGAAGAAGTTCACATTTTAAAATGAAAATGTCTGCCCCGGCTGGTGTGGCTCAGTGGATTGAGTGCCGGCCTGTGGACTGAAAGGTCGCCAGTTCGATTCTCAGTCAGGACACATGCCTGGGTTGCAGGCCAGGTCCCCATTGGGGATCTGAAAGAGGCAACTGATTGATATGGATATATCCCCTCTCTCTAAAAATAAATTTAAAAATCTTTAAGAAAATATGAGTAAGGCCTGGCTGGGTGTGGCTCATTGGATTGAGCGCTGACCTACAAACTAGAAGGTCTCAGGTTCGATTCCCAGTCAGGGCTCATTCCTGGGTTGCAAGCCAAGTCCTCAGGTGTGTGAGAGGCAACTGATAGATCACAGGTGGCAAACTCAAGGTCAGCGGGCTGAATCTGGCCTTCCACCCACCTTGTTTTTTCCTGCCCGACACCTTGTTGCTACCCAGGGTGACACCTTATTTCTACGTCTTAATTAGGGGCAGCACTGAGCTCCTTGCCCCTAATTCAGTAGTTACATGTATACAGTCCTAAAATGACATTCAGCCCTTTGAAGGCAACTGCGAGGCTGATGTGGCCCCCGGTGAAAATGAGTTTGACGCCCCTGCGATAGATGTTTCTCTTCTGCTCTTTCTTCCATCCTTCCTCTCCCTCTAAAAATAAATGCATAAGATCTTAAAAAAATAATAAAAGGAAAATGTCTCTTTTCCACATAATTAGTGTACTTATAAATTCCAGCAATTTGACATCAAAGTCTCAGTATTCTTAAACCTTCCAGGTAAAATACATAAATGTAGGAAGAAGTGAAACATGTATTAGAGAAGAATAGTCTTTTTGAAGGCATTTCTCAAGTTCACTTTCAAATTGTAAACCACATAAGACACAAATGAATTTTCAGACTTGGATTTAATACTTTATCACAAACTCACCAGATAATATTGTATACACATTTACAAAGTAAAGAGAACTAATTTTCACGTTTGTAATTTTCATTCCTATACATTTAAGCAGAACTTCTAATTTGAATATCCAAGTCACTTGGAATTGTAATTACCAAGCAAGTAATGTTCATTATTTCTGTATTGGAAAAACTATAATATTTTTTGAAATAAGAGACTTAAGGAAAGTAAATAGCCTTAAAATGACAAGGTTTACAATTCATTAACTTTTTTCCTTGAGTTTGATCAGACATAGTAGACCTGAAACTGAACCATAAAAAGATAAGTGGTAAGACTTTAGTGTGCATTTCAACCTTCCTCATTTTGGGGGTTCTGGTCCACAGAGTTTTCTAGCCAACTGGGGAATAAGTAACCACTTCACTAGGCGAAGTGTTATTTAAACATCTAAATGCATAGCTTTATGTAAACTAAGTTAAAGATGACTTAAGCCTGAGGCTAAGGGGGAGGGAGAGTCTTACCTCCAATTCCACATGTAGGCTTTGAAGGTTCTGAGTTATTAATTTTTAGTCTCTCCTCTAAGGAATTCAAACTCTCTTCCATGGCTGGTGAGACAAGCAACTGAAAGCTTTTTGAGTGCAACAGCGACATGACCTTGTAATACTGTGTGTTATCAGAAAACCAATGAGTAGCTAAACCAGGGGTGGCAAACTCTTTCCATAAATGGCTAGAGAGTAAATACTTGTATTTACTTTCCAGGCCCCAAATGAAGAATATTACATTGGTACTTGTAGAACAAGAGAGCCCTGCCCTGCCCTACCAATTTGCACCTAGTGCCATCTACTGGAGACATTATCTCTACGATCAGCCTGCTGTGGTGAAGGGGACTGGCAGGGTGGGGTGAGGGGACCACGGTCAGCTTCACTCAGCTCCTCCTGGAAAGTTCTGCCTTCTAAACTTGGGCAGCTGGCCAGAGGCAGGGCATCCCCTGGACCGTGATTCCACTGTTAGATGCCCAGCACTTGCTGTTAGCAGAGTTCACCATTTGTAGACGGTCACCTTCTGAAGCCCTGGGCAGCTGCTAGTAGGCAGCCGCCAATCATCATTGGCGGTAGGGAGGCAGGCTCCGGGGAACAGGTGTGGCCTCTGCAGCTCATGGTGCAAAGCAGCTCCAGTGGGTGCCTACCATAGCGCCTGGTGGCAGGATTTGGCCCTCGGCCCGTTCACCCAACTGGCTCCAGATGCGTAGCCTGTGCTCAGGGGAAGGCCAGTCTCTCCACATTGGCACTAGATGCCTCCTCTCACTTACTCAAGGACATCACTCCCACTCTTCTTTCCTTTCTTTCCTCATCATCACTTTTCCCTCTACGGACCCTTTCCCTTCAGCATGGGAAAGTTACTTCTCCACTTTAAATAAATACAACCAAGCAAAAGCCATCTTTCAACTCAACCCTCCAGTGACTAATTTCTTACCTGCCTACTAAAACATCTCCGAGCAGTGGTTCACCCTTTCACTTGGAAATTTATGTTTGCCTTCTTACTCTTGAGAGAACTCAGTCTTGTTTTCCTTCCCCACTCCACTTAACTGCCCTTTCAGGTTCGCTAACAACTCCATTGCCATGTTCAGAAAACACCATCTTCTGAACGCATTTGGAACACGACCACTTTTCATTTTCCTCCACGACACCACCCTGGTCTATGCTACCTTTATCTTTCTTTAGCTCAGGTGATTGAAGTAGCCTTCTAACATTTTTCATCCCTGCTGTCCTTCAGTTTACTCTCAATCCAGAAATTAGAATGAACCTGTTAATAAATGATACGCTGTATCCTGTCATTCCACACCCAAGTGTTTTTCATCTCACGTAGAGTAAAAGGTAAACTCCTACAATGGTCTGTGATGCTGCATTTGACTTCACTGACCCCGTCTCCCATTACTGCCTGCATTACTGTCTTTGCTACTCGGTACTGGCCTCCTGGTTGTTCCTAGTCCCATTCTTGTGTTGGGGCCTTTGCACATACTGGTCTCTTGGCCTCTAACACTCTTCTTGAATGACTTGCTCTTGCTGCCTTCTTCGGCTCTTCTTTCAGATACCATCTTGCAGGGAGGCCTTTCTTAACCACCTTACTGGAAATGGACCCCTCCTATTTCTTATCTCCTTTTTATGCTTACATTTTCTCCGTGGCACCCATCAGCATCTAACATACTGTACCTTTTACGTATTTGTCATATTTATTGACCGGCTCTCACCAGGAAGTTCCATGAAAGAAGGGAATTCTGTTGTCGCTTTTGTTCTGAGCTCTACCCCCACTACTCTGAATAGTGCCTGAATTATATATGTCATGAATACACGAATAATGAGTGCAGCTGGAAAAATGGGCAGAAGATGTCAAGAGGGAATGGATGGTCAATAAAAATAGGAAAAGATAAATCTCAGTAGTAATCAGAGAAGTGTAAGTTAAAACTACAGTAAAATTCAGTTGGTGTTTCACAACCCCAGTCTAAGAATGCCAAGTGTGCCTAAACAGTAGAAAGGAACTTTTACTGTCAATGGGAGTGTAAGCGATGTGTCACCTTTGGAGAACAGTTGGTCTCATCTCTGTGCTGTCCCTGTTGCACACACCAAAGCCATGATTCCCAGGCATTCCTAGAGAATCTCTTGCCTTTGTACAGAAGAGGCCCTTACAAGAATGTTTAAAGCAGCATTGTTTTCAATAGCAAATACTTGGAAGCAACTTAAGTGCCTGTTACTAGGGAAATGGAATTCTATATAGTTATAAAAATGAGTTTTCTAGAGATACAAATCAACATGTGTAAAATGTCATAACATAGTGAAAAAAGCAAGTTGCAAATAATACATATGGAATGGTATTTACTGAAAATTCTAAAACAAGAAAAATACTACGATGTATTACCTAGGAATTCATAAATAAGCTGTCAGATATGTAGAAAGAAGGCACAAGAGTCATCAACACATTCAGAATAGGAGGGGGTGGAGGTGGGACTGGCGTCACATGTCAGTTGTTTTAGTCATTTTGAGTCGATAGTAGAGACATAGGCGTACTTTGTACTCTATTGTTTTTAATGCCTTTTTGTATTCTTAAATATGTCATAGTAAAAATTTGAAAAACAATCAGAAGTGCTGAGGACTGCTTAAAACCCCTTTAAGACATACATGCTTTTGTTTATTCAAGACGCTGTGGCCTGAGAGCAGCCCAAAGCGTGGCTGCCGCAGCCAGGCAAGGTGTTGGCCAAGTCACTCGTTGTGAAACCGCATTTTTCTCTTTAACTCTTCTCACTGTTACATGTCTTTCTGTTTAAACAACAACAGTAGAAAAGAAGTTGTACTGCTTGTAACTTTATGTCATATGAAAGTGGAACTTTCACAGTGTTTTGTACGGACCAGGGGGAGGACTGATCGGAAGGAAAGGCTCCATAGGCACGCTGGGGAAAAACGACACCATGATGTGTGCTGTGTACGGCTGGACCGAAGAGATGGCCTTTTCCGGAACGTCCACAGGAGACGTGTGCATCTGGAGAGACATCTTCCTCGTCAAAACAGTCAAAGCACACGATGGGCCCGTGTTCAGTATGCATGCGTTGGAAAAAGTAAGTCACCTAGAGCCGATCTGAGTGAACCAATTTGATCATGGAGGGGAGGGCACTTTGAGAAGGGCAGGAGCACTGGCGCTCAGTGCCGCTGAGCCGCTCAGAAATGAGCTCGTCTTCCTGACCTTGTTTATTCTCCTTTCAACCTCCCGAACCCAGAGTGAGATGTCTGCTGCTAAAAAAATAAAAGTTTAGCTTTATATTGGTTAATCACTTTCTACATGTCAAAATTGTTTAAGTGCTTTGTGTGTTATCACTATGTCCTGTGAGGGAGCTACGGATATTACCCTTTTTAAAAGGTGGGATTATGACGCCCGTAGGAGAATATTTGTAACTTGGTTAGAGGTAGTGGAGCTACCTTATGGTTCCAAATTATAAAGTTAAACATTTTTTTAAATTTATTGACTTTAGAGAGAGAGAAAGGGGGAGAGAGAGAGGAATGGATAGAGAGAGAAGCATTGATTTGCTGTTCCACTTATTTATGCATTCATTAGTTTATTCTTTTATGTGCAATGATGGGATCGAACCCACAACCTTGGTGTATTTGGTTGTTGCTCTAACTAACCGAGCTACCCAGCCAGGGTCAAACTGGGTTGAAGTCCTGTCCTAAAAGGAGAGTGTTTAGTGTCACCGTAACTATTTCTACAGATTCCATGTTGATGTTTGAAATATGCAGTGGGTTCTTATACTAATTTCTGTTCACTACAGGCAGTAAATTTTGCCTATAAATGTTCTTTCCCCTAGAATTTTCGATATAAAGAAGCCTATTATTTTTAAAATATCTAGATCTTTATTAACTTGAAACTTTTACTTTTATAGGGATTTGTTACTGGAGGAAAAGATGGTATAGTAGCTCTTTGGGATGACTCCTTTGAAAGATGTCTCAAGACCTATGCTATAAAAAGAGCCTCTTTGGCCCCAGGATCTAAAGGTGATTTGATATTTAATTCACTTTGTAGAAGAAAATATTAATGTCTCATTATTAACACATGTGGTCACTGAGGCGGAACCAATAGAATGTATTTTTTCTTCTTTACCAGACAGGCATCAGAGTTACATGGGAGAAGCTACTTAACTGAATGCTACAATCACTGCTGCCCTTTCAAAATCTATTTTCTGTGATACACATAGTAAAATATTAACCAAGAACAAGTTTAGTAATGTTAATTTTTAAAGGTTTTATTTAGTTTTAGAGAGAGAGGAAGGGAGAGAAACATCCATGTGTGGTTGCCTCTCACACACCCACAACCCAGGCATGAGCCCTGACTGGGGATTGTACGAGCGACCTTTTGGTTTGCAGGTCAGTGCTCAATCCACTGAGCCACACCAGCCAGGGTATAATGTTAATTTTTAACATTTATAGTTTTCAAAAAAAAGTTACCATGTGAGCCTCACATTTATCACCAATCAGGGGTTTGTTTTCAAACCTGGCGTTTTGTTTCACGTTGGTGTTTTATCGACGCTGCCTCTGTAGCCTTTGAGGCCTCTTTCCCTTATCCTTTCCTTCAGCACGTTAAGGCACTGAACTCCCTGACCTCCAGGCCCTTCTGTGTGCTATTTAAATAGTTGTCCTCCCCCCACCCACCCACCCAAACCATAGTTCTGCAGTCGCATTTACCTGTGGCGAACCGCAGTCTGAAAATATTAAATGGAAAATTTCGGAAATGAACAATTCCTAAGTTTTAAAGCACATACTGTTCTGAGTAGCACGATGAAATCCCGTGCAGTCCTACTCTGCCCTGCCCGGAATACGAATCTCCCCTTTGCCCGGTGTACCCAGGCTGTACACGCCCCTCCCCCTTCGTCATTCAGCCTCCGCGGCGATCAGATCCACTGTTGTGCTTTCGCAGCCTTTGTGTTCAAGTAAACCTTATCCTACTAGTAATGGCCCCAGAGAGCGGTGATGCTGGCAATTCAGATACGCCAAAAAGAAGCCATAAAGTGCTTTCTTTGAGTGAAAAGGCGAGAATTTTATACATCTCACATCACAAGAAGAAGGATGAGTACAGTACAGTAAGGTATTTTGAGAGAGACCACATTTACATAACTTTTATTACAGTGTATGGTTATAATTGTTCTATTTTATTATTAGCTATTGTTAACCTCTTATTGTGCCTAATTTATTAATTAAACTTCAATGTGAGTATGTATGTGTAGGAAAGATACAGTACATTTGTTACAGAATGGACCTGTGTGGGGGGAAAATACTGTTACCAAATGGAACTCTCCTCCCCTGGGGGTCCTCTGTACTAGATTTGCCTTGCCTGCCACCCTTAGGAATTGGAGTTATGGCTTCAATGCCAGAGTTTGGTGGAAATGGAAGGAACTATTTATTCAAAAAGTTCTACAGGTTTAGAGTAATGGGAGAACATCACCGTTAAATACTCCAAGTCCCTTAAAACACCCAGAAACACACACAGTCAGTCCTTTCCCTGCCCTTTGCCCAGTCAGGCCAGTCAGGGGTACCATTTCTCAGGAGAAAATAGAAGTCTATGACTCAGGTAGCCCCTGGTCCTTCCCAGTAATCCATGCTCAGCTGGCAGGTCTCCCTCGGTTCCCAGCACCATCAGCTGCGTTGACAGGATCTCTAGTTCTTAATCCAAACCCACATGGCACCTTCCCGTGGCCCACCAGCAAGAGTCCTTTCACTTCTTTCCTTCCCTGAGCATCTCTCCTGCATTCTTCCAAACTGCTAAGAGAGAGCTCTGCATGGATGCTACATTTTGCTTTCCTGCTTCCTAAGCGGTAAAGGGAATCCCCGCTCTGTCCCCCAAACCACGTGGTTCCAACCTTCATGGCTGCCGAGTCTGGGTTTAAATCCTGGCGCCAGTCTTCCTCTGGAACCCCATTTCCAACTCCTCCCACAACTGGCTACTCCTGCCAACACTCCTGTATTTTTCTAGCTTTTCTTGGTTGCCATGGTTAGTCCAGGGAGGCGTGGCCTTGTGGTGTGGAGCGAACCATCTCCAAGCTCTCATGCAGGTGCTGTATAGCCAGGAGGAGCTGCCTCCCACTTATATCCCACTTATGTTATGGTTCAAAGTCACTCCCTTCTCTCTGGCTCAGAGCGAGACCACAGCTACTTAACATATCCCTGAAGCTAGCCAGCAGCTATAGATATGTAAAATAATCATTTTTGCATATTAGATATGAAACTGGCCAATTGTTGATATGCAAAATAACTCTCAATGGCCCTGCTCCAGGTGTTCCATTCCCCAGTCCAGACTTGTGGGGGTAAGGACATCCTATATTTCCTGGATACCCCAAGTTCTGGACCCTGTTACAGACCCCTCCTTGGGGGGGTCTGGATGCACCCCATTACATATAGAGGGCTTGGTGCTCTCCGCAGTTGCAGACATCCACTGGGGGTCATGGAACGCGTACATCCCCTGGGGAGGGGCACAACTGTCCTTTTGCCTAGAATTTTCCCGTTCTTTTCTCTTACCCCCTCCAGTTACCTGACCATATATTTATTTTTCAAATCTCAAACATTATTTCTTCTAGGATGAGTCCTTTCTCCCCCATTCTCCTTCTTAGGAAAGCTTAAAATTCCCTTACTTTGTGCTCTTTTTCAATATGCTTCTCACACAGACAGGGTCCATTTTTCTCATTCCATTCTCTGTGAGGGCAGGAGCTGGCTCTAGCATGCTTACCAGCATGTTTCCAAAGCCTGCCTAGGACAGAGCAGGCACAAATGAATTCATCTTGAATTGAGTTGAATTAAAATGATTAGCCAGAATATTGTACATGCTCTTAGAGGGTCAGGAGGTGGATAAGGAGGTACAAAGATGAGGAGAAGAAACAGTTGTCAGAATGGTGGTAGGGGATCTGGGATTGTAGAGACTCATACAGTTGTAGTATGTAGGTGGTATGTACTTTTGAGATTAGTAAATTGAATGGGGAAAATGTGGTGCATTTATTAGAATACTTAAAATATAGGAGAAAGCAGTCTTGCAGTGTGATTTTCATTACCAAAAAGCATCATTGGCAATATACATATATATACTTGTATTATAGTAACTGCATACCTAGAACAACATCTCCATTTAACATTTCAGGTCTTCTCTTAGAAGATAACCCATCCATACGTGCCATATCATTAGGACATGGTCATATTTTAGTTGGCACAAAGAATGGTGAAATTTTAGAAGTGGATAAAAGTGGTCCAGTAACACTTCTGGTCCAGGTAATTTCAAATATTAATATTCCTTTATTCCCTTTGTATATAAACAGTTGGTTCAGTACATAAGAGCCAAAGTTGATAGTGATGAAAAATGATGTTAAATTAAGTAGGGAACTATTTGTTAATGTTACTATGTACCCCCAAGTTTAAATTTTATTATAGCTAAATGTACAGCTTCAGTGAACATGAACATGTTCAATGAACAAATGAACATGACATCATGTGGATAATAGCCAATATTTTAAGTAATTTTTTATTGCAAAACAAACCAATGGAAAGCAAAATCATTTGTAATTAGTTTAACCACGTCCATTTATTTCATATTTAACTTTATTTCTTTGAAATATATTTTTTGAACCTAAGGCCATTGTTTCTCTATGAAACTCTTCACCTTATTTCATTCTTTCTCAGGTTTCTAACTTAGAAAATTTAAAAGCGAGTGTATGCTAAAACTTTATTGCTGAGAACATCAAAGAAAATACAGGGTGGGCAAAAGTAGGTTTACAGTTGTTCACATGGAAAATAATACAATAATTAATAAATAATAATACCAGAAAAAACTTTCGCGTACTCACAACTGTAAACCTACTTCTGCCTCACCCTGTATATTAATAATAAAAAATCCAGAAATACAAAAATCTCTGTGGTGGAAATATAAAATGAAACAGCAGGGAATGCTGTATTAATTTTTCACATGTAATTTCTTATATGTGTTATGTTTTTCTGAAAAGTAGGGAGGAAAATAAATCAATAGTGTGAAACACACCAAGTGAGGCAGGACCTACCCCAGCGATTTTCAGTCTTTGTCATCTCATGGCACACAAACTAATTGCTAAAACTCGGTGTACCAGATTGCTAAATTGCTAAAATTTGGCCTATCTGACCACAAAAAAAAACGGTGTAATTTTGATTCGTTCACACTGGGTGGCTACTGTGTTGGCTGTTGTCATGTCTTTATTTTACAATCTAAGGGAAAAGAGGTCTCTGGCTGGATAGTCAGGTACCACATGTTTTAAAAACTCCAGTGGCACACCAGTTGAAAATCGCCGATCCACCCTAATGAAAAATTGTCTCATGCAGCTCTATACAGCAACACCAATTTTGGGTTTGCCTTTTACCCTGAAAAAAATTATGTTCTTTCCTAATACAGACTTATTTTTCTCCAACCCCTACTGCACTCCTGTATAGATACTGAGGAGGACACTTGGATGGGAACATTGCACATACTTCAGAGTTCATATAGCATCCGATGTACCAGGGAGAACTTACAAGCAGATAACACATTTTACGTTAAATTAGCCGTCACACTTCCATGTTCTACCCTTCAATCTCAGTCACATAATATTCCTTTGAAGTAAAGAGATGATGGAGTCCTGGTGTTTATCGCCATGTGCAGGATCTCTTGGACAGTATTAGACAAGTCCGCTTTTAAGGAGGGATCCACACACGGCACCATCGAAAATACACAATTTCATGGTTTTAAGATTTTTAAAAGTCAAAAATGACATCCTAATATTGTCATATTTATTAGAGTTTAAGATTTCAAACCTACTCTCCCTTACACATCAGAAAGAAGATAAGAATACCACTTCTCACCATTATCGTCCAGCTGTGTGCTAGGTGCCAGCCAGTTTAGTCAAAACAAAAAGTGTGTTAGAAGCAGTACTGTCAGTATTGCAGAGAGTATAACCCTGTACAGTGACTTTTCAAGAGAATAAACCGAATATGTAGTAGACCTTATTAGGGAGCCCTATCAAGTGAGTAGATGCACAATCACACAATAGTATTTCTGTACATTAGCAAGAATCTGGTAGAAAATGTGACACAAAAGTGGTGCTCATAAAGAAAACTCTACAGTAACCAGGAGTAAATACAGGTAAAAATATGTAAGACCCATGGTAAGGAAAGTGGACAATTTTTCTAAAGGCATAAAAGAATTGAATAAATTATAAATTCGATATGATTATAATCCAAATCCTAATGAGATTTGTTCACAAAATCTAGGAAGTATTTTTAAAATCATCCAGAAGGGAAAAATTTTTAAATAGCCAAGTTTTGGTGAAACTTCACACGCTAGAAATAAAGATAATATAAGACTCTAGTAATTAAAAGTGTGGGAATGCATGTACACACAGCTGTGCATTCATTATTGTACCAAAACTTGTACGGCAGTGTTAGCAGCCGCAGAACTCCATGGATCCGGTTTGGGAAGTCGTGTGTTAGCAGTGTTGGGTCCTCTGATCTGGGGACGTGGGTCTTTCCATCTACTTAGATCTTTAACTGTTTTCAACAGTGTTTTATAATCTGCAGTGTACGTCATAATTATTTCATTAAAAATAACTGAACTTATTAGGTCTAATAGTTTTTTCAGTGGGTTTTGTTTTGTTTAGGATTTTCTGTATACAAGATCATGTCTTCTGCAAATGGAGATGTATCTGCTTCCCCCTTCTAATCTGGATGCCTGTTATTTCTTTTTCTTGTCTAATTACCCTGACTGGACTCTTCATAGAATGTTGAATAGAAGTAGTGAGAGCAGACATCCTTGTTTTATTTCTAATTTTAGAAATAAGTGTTAACTATGGGTTTTTTCATAGATGCCCTTTGTCAGGTTGAGGAATTACACTTTTATTCCTGTTTTGTTGCATGTTTTTCTCAAAAGCACTTGTCAAATACTTTTTCCCTGTCTTTTGAGATTATCATGTGGTTTTGGTTTGATTTTACTCATAATGGTATATTACATTAATTAGTTTTCAGATTTTAAACCAACCTTGCATTCCGGGGATGAATTTCATTTAATTGTTTATAATCCTGTAATGGAATCAGTTTGCTAGTATTTTATTGAGGATTCTAGCATCCATATTTATAAAGGGTACTGGTCTGTAGTTTTCCTGTGATGTCTCTCTGGTATTGGTATCAGGGTAACATTGACTTCATGAAGTGATTTGGGAAGTGCTCTCTCCTCTTTGATGGCCTCTTTCCCAGATCACCACCAGCCATTAAAGCGCAATTGTTTTCAACGTTCTCCTGGAGAATAAGTTGCTCCACAGACTAAACCAATTAAATTCAGCTCCTTAAAAGGAACAGTTCCCCAGGTTAGTGCTTGAGATTTGTTTTGACTTTTTAAGTAGTCTTCTCCCAGTTACCCCTGAGATTTCTCTGCTTCTCTTGGACAAACTAGCTGACTTTCAGGTTAGCCTCTGTGTCCCTGGGGTCTGCCAGTTGCCTCCCAGTTATCTCTCACCACGTCCTTCTTGTTTTTGAGAGCACCTTTGGGCGGGAGCTTTTCCACATTTGTGCAGTAAATGAAGTCAGTTCCTTTGAGAAAGAATTAGGAACTGTTTTATGGCTTGATTCTCCCTCCAGGCAAAATGTCTGATCTGAGGCTGTCAAGTCCTGGGTGAGGACAATGGAGTGCCCTTTCTGAGTGTGCCTTCCTTTAGAAACTCAGTACTTGGTGCGGGGCAGGGAACAGTAACTTCAGGTGTTACTGGGTGGACACTGAGCCCCAATATTGTCAGGGGCTCTGCAGCCAAGGTAGAGCAAACGTTTCAGAACAAGGGTGGGCCAAAGAAGGGGGATCCCACCAAGAATTTAGCATCAGTGTTAGGTACCAGGGCCAGAGGAGAAATGCTGACACTTGCCCCTTCTGGGAAGGGAGCCTCTGACAGCCAGGTGGGGAGGAAGGGGAGTGTCCTGGGCTTCGTCTGGCCATTGTGGGGCTTCCACACTGATGAGTAAGGAGGAGAGAGAAGCGGGTGGGTCTCGGCTCAAACACTACAGACTTTCGCTGTTCTTAATGAGTTCACATTTTCTTGATTAAATGTTTCTTCACTTGTTGTTTCTCCTTGGAACCATTTCCAGAGACTTTAAATGTTTTTAAATGTATATGTTATTTTCACCACACTTAGGGGTGAGGGGGTGGTGCTTACTCTGTCCTGCAGGACGTCCCCCTACATAGCATTCGGTAACCTTCCAGGGCAGCCAGTTTGTTTCCCTTCTCCCCACCCAGTGAATGTGTTCGAGTTCTAAGCTAATTTTAATAGTAGGTTGCTTATATTTTAATTGTGGAGATCAAGTTGTTACAAAGGTGTTTTATGGTGCATTCGGAAAAATAAAAAGTTTCAGTAGATCTACTCGTTATGCATTATTCTGTCATTATCATATATTATCAAAAGTGTTTAGTTTTGTCAACATGAGAAATACCCAGCCTATAAGAATTTTTATACATTTATTTCAGTCAAACTGACAACAATCACTAGGAAGCAAAATCTCAAAGGACTGAGAAAATGCTCCAGAGAATGGCAGTTTTGTACCTTATTTTATACATTACAGTTGAAGGAGGAGGTGTAAGGGGTATCAGGGAGGCCAGAGAAAGCAAAGGGGAGGGAATACTTCTTTTACATAGGTGGGCATAGTGTAGTTAACATTTAACAATGAACGTGATAATAACAGTGAGGGCATTGAGTCTCTTCTCTGGTGTGGTGCTTCCAGGAGTTTGGAAAGAGGGAAATTGATGTTTCAAAGTTACCGTTAACAGGCATGTTATGCAACATGCAAAAAAGACAACAGACGGACTCGGTTGAGGCAAAGACTGACCTTTGCCCGGGGAAAACGGCACCTAGAACATGACTCCCTCCATGAACTGCGTTTAGTTCAGGGAGTTTTATTTTCGGTCTCTGGGTTCATAGGCTGCTGTGCAGTCCTCCCCTGAGCTGGTCAGGTTTCGTGTGTGGCCCCTTTTTCGTTCCCAGTTTTTTTCCTAAATACACATAGCTTTAGGTTAAATTGATCCTAACCATGTTTTCTTTATAGGGACACATGGAAGGAGAGGTGTGGGGTTTGGCCACGCATCCTTATCTGCCCATCTGCGCTACTGTGAGTGATGACAAAACCTTAAGAATATGGGACCTCTCTCCGAGTCATTGTATGTTGGCTGTCCGGAAACTGAAAAAGGGTAAGAGGCTCTCAGACTTGAACTTTAAAACCCTCACAAATGTAGGAAAGCAATAGTCAGTGTATAAAAAAAGACTAAATACTTACTCCATGTCACTTGCTCATGATGCTATATAAGTGGAATCAATGATACCTGCTCTTCACTTTATGGGACTGCCCGTGACCATGCCTCTCCTGAGCCAGTTTAGTGGCTCATGTGGGAAGAAAGAATATAGGAAGAAAACAAAGTTAAGTTTCCTCCCCTTTATGACTGTGGACTGTGTGTAGTTCAGAGTTAGAAACTAAGAAAGAAGGCCTTTACTTAAGAAGGGCAGCAGGGCTGCAGGGAGGAGGATATCCTGGGACGGAACAGAGCTGGGCGCATTGCAGGAGGCAGCTGAGACCAGCCCCCCCGGGCAGAGAGGCAGCGGGTTCAGTGGTTGGAGCGAGGCTGTAGCCGTCTTCCGGGGCTGATGAGGATCCACAGATGGCTTCCCATCTCTTAGTGAGGTGGTAAGAAATGGTAACTTGGGGCTTGGGGATATTGTAGAAGGAGCCCTGGTAGAAAAAGTGGGCATTTGTGACTCAGAAATGTGACAACCAGCAGATGAAGGAAAGGGTTTGTCTGGTGTACTAAGGGCCAGGTCAGAGTTATATAACATGGGTTTGTAATTCAGTCATTTAATTTCTTTTTACTTCCTTCTACTAAGTTACAGGGTCTGTCTCTTCTTCTAGGGTTACTGTTAAATTTTACCATCTACACTTAACTAAAAATCTGACACTAGTCACAATCTCTAAAACTCCAGTCACTGTCCTTCCCCTACCCTCCCTTTTTAAAAAAGTTACTGACGTCCAGCCTTTTCATCCTCTGGTGTTTTGTTTGTTGGCGAAAATTGGAGAGACTTACAAATATTTCAGTGGTTCCATACTTCAGTTGTCAATGTCAAAGGTAAAAGGGATTCCAAACCACAGTCACACCTCTCTGTACACAGAAAAGCATGTCACCAATTATTCTTTTCTTCACAGGGCTGTCGGAAGTCCTGACCAGTCAGATTTGTAACATACATGGTTTTAATATGCATCAGATTTCCTTTTCTTTTTTAGGTGAAGTATAATTGACACATGAGATTAGTTTTGGGTATATGATATAATGGTTTGATATTTGTATATAATGTAAATAAAAGGTCACCGCAGTAATTGTAGTTAACGTCCATCACCATACAGAGCTACAAAAAATGTTTTTATTGTGCTGAGAACTTTTAAGGTGTGTTCATTCAGCGATTTTCAAATATGGAATATAATGTCATTAGCTGTAATCATCATGCTATACATTATACCCCCGTGGCTTATTCTGTAGTTGGAAGTTTGTACCTTTTAGCCGCCTTCACCCATTTTGCCCGCCCTCAAGCCCTCACCTCCGGCAGCTGCCAGTCTCTTCTCTGTGTCTGTGGGCTTTGGGGTTTTGTTGGTTTGTTTCAGATTCCACATTAAGTGAGATGATACGGTGTTTGGCTTTCTCTGTCTCATTTTAGCAAGCACTGTGCCCACAGGGTTCATCCATGTTGTTGCATGGGGCAAGATTTCATTCTTTTTATGGCTATTTAAGTAATGTCGCATTGGCTTAAACATTTTCTTTATCTCTTCATCCACCAGTGGACCTTTAGCTTGTCTCCACTGAACCTGCTGCCAGGCTCTTGGTCGCCTCTCATTCTTCACTTTCGTCACCTCCCAGTAGTTGTTGGCATAACTGATTATTCCTTCCTCTCTGAGCTGCTTCCCTCACTTGGCTCTAGGAACTATGAATACTGGGGTTTTCCCATCTGCTGGCTTCTTTCCTTATTTCCTCTGATGGCTGTGCCTCTTCTTCCAGTCTCTACACACAGAAATGCTCCAGGCATCTGCCCCTGGCTTTCCTTTTACTGTTGCACAGTCACACAGTTTAGGTGATTGTATCAGTCACTGTCCAGCCATAGCACAGAGGCCCTACTAGTCACATGAACCGGGAAAATGTGATAAAGAGATCGTTAACAGGTAAAAGGTGGTTACCTGCTGGAAGAGCTATGGAGCAGGTACCAGCCCTAGTTAGCGGAGGGAGAGTGAACAAAGAACCTGATGGAGATCTGGACCCAGTTGGGAAAGGGCGAGGCTGCCATCGGAACTCTGTGTCCGTGGTGGGGAAACTGCCAGAGGGAGCAGTCCTCGGGAACAGGGAGGGTGCTCGGCGGTGAAGGAAGAGCTTGCTGGAGGGCACGGGCCGGAGCTGGATGGCAGGGCCTCTGCCTAGAAGAAAACCCAACCCAGGCCAAAGGCTGGTGTCTGGGCAGGGCATCTCGCTGGAGCCTGCTAATCGTGGCAGAATCGTTAGGGCCATCACAGTGATGGGAAGAGCTGGAGGCCTCGGTGGGGGCAGCACCGTGGGGAGTGCAGCCAGGCCCCTGCATACCAGTGCCCTGGCTCTCGAAGGAGCAAGGAGAGCCGCTTTCCCTACTGTGGACTTGTAGCGTCTCCCTAGGCCCCTAGACTGGCAAAGCTTAGTATCGGTCACCTGACAGAAGACAGAAGTCTTCTACAAGGCCCAGCGAATGGTAGATTTGGAACAGAGAGACAGTAAGTTAATAACTAGCCCAAATTACCCCTCTCTCTAAGCAGCATCCACGTACATCTTTATACACACATTTGAAGTTCAGTACAGTCACAGAACTGACCTTTCGTTTTTGTTCTACCAAAAATTTCCACCGAATGAGATTCGGCTACCATTGGTACAAGTGAAGAGTTCTCACCCTCTCCCCAAAGAGAGAAGACACCCAGTCCCAACAGTCATTGTATCCATTGCTGACTGTGTTAACTACTCTCAAATTCAGTAACCGTCTTACTAAATATTCTGTTACCGTAAGACTAAACTGGAAAGTTAACTACCAACAAACTTGCGTAAAATATTAGGAGGAAAAGGGAGAGAAAAGTAACCAGTTTATGTATACATACAACAAGCATTTATGTATAGTCCCTGCTTCTAAAGTGGGCATAGGCTGTGGTTGCTGTCTGTGACTTTCTTCCTCTGTCACCCATTCCATGCTTTCTTTGTCCTTAGCCAGAACCTTAGGTGGGTAGGGTTAACGGTAGGGTGACCCAAACCTTCATCACTGGATAATGTGAAATCTCAGTACCTCACTAGGGTTTTTTCTTGCTGCTGTTGTTTTCCATTAAGCTTTATCACAGAACCCAGTGAGTCCCCTGGTTTCCAGATACAGCCCCCTGTGCCTTCATCGTGTAGCAGTAACTCTCTTTCCGCTCTGCAGTCAGGATCGATCGCTCCAGCCGGGAGAGTAACAGCCTCTTTCTTTGCCTGTCGATTCAGCAGCGTAAGTTGCCCAACAGGACCAGATGGCAGTCTCATCTTCCAATTCATTGGGAACATTTTGTCCCCTGGTGAAAGCATTCTCCCTGCTCTTGGGAGCTACAACCAAATTAACAAAGCTCAGCGTTGCCAGGGTGCAAGAACAAATTGTGCAGGCTGGTTGTCAGATGTAACAGAAGAGCCACTCCCACCTCCACCTCTTGGTTTCCAGACCCGGGGTGCTGGCCGTGAGGTAGGCAGCACCCTCACGAAATGGTCTGTTGCTCAAAGCATGTATTGCTTCCTGTAAGATAGAAACCCCAGTATGGAAGGGTGTTGGTTCCCAAATGGTGCCAAAAATTAGTTTTCAGTAAACCATTACATTGTTTTCTTAGCAGCTTCCTCTGAGTTGTGGAGGTATGTGATAAAACCAGTTAATTCTCTGGGCATGGGCCTAATGCTGCCCGATCTTAGCAGTGAAATGAGTTCCTTGATCAGAAGCATGGATGGTGGTGCTAGCAAATGCATATGGGCAGGCGAGAAAAATCCAGAATTCATGTTTCTTCCAGTGAGGTTAAATCTTTGCTCCCTTCATAATGCGCGAGGTCCAGTGTAATCAGCATGCGCCAGGCTGGTCTCCTTGGGATGGGTGCCATGTCAGAGGTTCGGTTGGTCTCTGCTGTTGGCAGACTAGATACTTAGAAGTAGTGGCAGCAAGATCAGCCTTGGTGGGAAGTCCATGTTTTTGAACCCAAGCTTAGCCTCCATCCATCCTTGCCACCGTGGGCCCACTGAGAAGGTGCTAGCTAGCTGGGAAAAGAGGCTGCCTGATATGCAGAAAGCAGATCGTTTTGTCCATCTGAGTACTGAGAGCCTTCTCTGCAGAGGATCCCTTTGTTGAGCATTCTTAGGATGCAAAAATCTCCAGAGCATGTGCCCTTTCTAAGAGGTTCATCCACGCATCCATTTTCCAGATCTCGTTTCCAGTCTTTCACCCGTTCCTTCCAGTCCTCAACGGCTTGGCCAGGTAGTTAACAGTTGTTAATGAATCAGTGTAAATCTGTCCCTCTGGCCATTTCTTACCGTAAAAATGGAAAACCAAATGCACTGCTTGAAGTGCTGCCTACTAGAAGTTTTACCTTTACCACTGCCCTTGAGGGTCACCCCGAGTGGAGCTGTAGTGCTTTTAGATGGGTACAGACATGCTGTGTAAAAACATCTGTAAATATGGCTCAGATTTTTTTCTTCCTCAGTCAACTGGTTGATCATAAGGAGTACCTGTGAGGCCCTAGGTATAGCTTGAGAGAGAGGGGAGGCATTGCGGAGGAAATTACTGTTGAAGGATTCTGAGCCACCCGTACATGCAAATTACTTGTAACTTCCAGGTCTGTCCACGCCTGGTCTTTTATTTGCCATTTCCACATGACACATTGCTGTTGTGCACACCCAACCTGTGGTTAAGTTGGTCACGGAACTTTCAGTGCATAATAGGGGGCTCTGGACACAGTCACCTGATATCCCATAGGTAGGAATTCACCCTCTAACAAGACCTTGTAGCAAACTGGAAGCTGCTTCTCAAAAGGCAAATAGTTATCTGTAAAGAAGGGCATGGATTTTCTCTCAACTCCAAGAGCTCTGCACGTTGATTCTCCTTTGGTAGCTTTCCAGAGGCCGCCTCACAGCATCCCTGTTCACCACAGACACCTTTGAGGATCTTCGGATCTGCTGGGCCATAAGGCCAAGCTTGCCTTTTCTTGTTCTGGTCCCCACTCAAGTCTGGGAGCCTTGGAAGTCACTTGATAGGTGGGTAGAAGCAGCTCATTGGGATGTGTTATATGTTGCTTTCAAAAAGGCCTGCCAAGCATTTGGCTCCTTTTGTGTGTGGTAGGTGATGGGTGGTGCAACACCTTGGCTTTCACCTTGGAGGGGATATCTTGACATACTCCAGATGATTGGATCCATGGAAATTTCACTGAGACGGCAGGTCCCTGAATTTCTGTGGGGATTATCTGCCACTCTCTTGATTTACTTACGTCTTACTAAGGCATCTAAAGTACTGTTGCTTCCTGCCCTCCAGATCCATTCAACATAATGTCATCAATGTAGTGGACCATTGAGATGTTTTGTGGAATGTCAAGACGATCAGGATCTCTGTGGACTGTGTTATGGCAAAGAACAGGAGAGTTGAAATAGCCCTGAGGCAAGGCTTGAAGGTGTCAAAGATACAAGCCAGGTAAAAGCAAACTGCTTCTGGTGGTCCCTCCAAGTTGGTGTGGAGGGAAAGCACTAACCAGGGTGATGGCTGCACACAAAATGCTAGGGGCCATGTTCATTTGTTCCAGTGAAGGTCTGGAAGAGCAGTCAGTCAGAGTCACTGCCTGAGCACGTTCATTATTCACAGTTATCATCTAAAGTCCACCTGATTTCAGCACAGACCCAACAGGCAGGTGTTAATGATGGTGTGACAGGTATTCCCGCTCCTGCTCATTTTTATAGTTCTCAGTCTTGCAGTTTTGCTTCTGGTTTATTGTCTCGGTAGAGAGATGGATTTCCAGAGTTTTCACTTAGTTTTTCCTGTATTAATGACCTTAATCCATGGGTCACAGAGCCAGTTGCCAAGCATATCTATCCAAATTCAGGCATCGGGTGGGGTCTGCAGACGCTTGGGTCCCCCGTGATCAGAATTGGGCTAACACATCTGCCACAGGACCACCGTGAGGCCCCACCTCCATGGTGTACGACAGCAGCATTTTGCATTTTCCAGAATTGGTGTCAATTCAGAGCTCGTACGTGGTCATTCCTGAAAGTCTGGATATTTCCTTTTCTTAGTCACAGTCATTCTAATAAGTGGCCAGGGATGCTTAGAAGAAACTTTATGTACTTGTGGCAGTACTGCACGGTTCTTCCTCAGTGTGACCTGGCCTTCCCTTTAACCGAGGGGCTCCAAGTGTATGAGTTGGCTCAGGTCTGAGAAGTGGTTGAGAATCCGACTCTCCATTGTGGAGATTTGAGCCAGGGGTCTTTGCTACCTGGTGTGCAGTTGTTCCTATTATATAGATCTAACACTAATCTAGTAGCCTGTTCATCTGTTTCATTTCTGGAGACATCATGATAAATTAGCCACCAACACAGATCCTCACAGGCCAGAACGTTCTGATTATTAGTTCACCCACCTCGTCTTTCCTTAAGTGGTTGAGTGATACTTCTTGGCCTCTGCTTCTCCAGGATTATCCTGGTTGAGTCAGGGAGCCCCTGTTAATGGTGACACCCCCCCATTCCCGACCTGCATAGGAGCTCAGTCACAGAGCTTTTCAAGGGTGCAGAGGCTGCCCTCAGTGAGTGTACTTCTCCGTGTTTTGTGACGGGACTCTCTTCTAGGTGTTTTGAGGGGATGTAGGTTGCACGTGAAAAAAATCTGCTTTAACATTCTGACCTCCCTAATAAGCTTGTGGAGTCCTTCCTGTATATCAATCAGGTGTCAGCCCATGGTGAGATCCAGCACACCCCTGATTTTGTAAGTAAAGTTTAACTGAAGCACAGCCATGCTCATTCATTTACGTATCGCCCAGGTCTGCTTTCACACGACTGTAGCAGAGCCAAGTAGTTGTGACAGAGACCATAGGGGGCACAAAGCTGAAAACATTTGCTGTCTGGTCCTTCATGGAGAGGTTCCCCAACCTCTGCCCGACAGCGTGCTGGGGTTGGATCCAAGCTGAGGTTGCGTCCACACTGGGGGACGCAACAGGGCAGCGGTGGTGATGGTTCCTCAGACGGTTAGTCCTCCCTTTGCCAAGGCGCCTGCTTCAGAGAGTCAGTCTTCTCATGAACGAGAGAGCAAGCTGTCCGTACTGGCCCGTGACACCCAGAACACCACGTGAGCTCAGGGTTCTCGGTTACATCTGATTTCAGCCAGGTGTCCCCGCTCCAGGTGTCCACATTCCCTGTCTTCCCAGTCATTGCCTAACTTTCACACGAGGCACTTGGCGAGACTGTGATTTACACTGTAAATTTTGAACTGACACAATTAGATTTTATATTTAATTTTCAGTAATATCAGTCTTACAGTTGTTTTTTTTAGATTTGCCATGGAGGCTCTCTCTCCATTCAGACTATGACCTGTGCTGAGAGTTTAAGGACCTGAGCTTACCACTTCTTTCTGTAAATGTTCTGTGCACTCAGTTGTATAACGCAGTCCTTTGTAGTCCTCATTATTGTTGAAATGGTCAAGGACAGCAGCCTCTTGGACCTCCAGGGCACTTATTTCAGTGGATACTTATCATAATCAACTGCAGGAGATAACTGACTGTTAGGCCGGTCCACACCTCAAATTACCAGCGTCCCATGTCCCACTGTTGAGGACTTAGTGCAGTGCTCAAGCCCAAAGATGTGACTTAACTAATTCCTGGGATCCGGTCTTTAATGGTCTGTCTTCTATGACCACAACACTACTGATTCTGTATCAGTCAAGAGACAGAAACCACCCCAGTAATTCAAACAGGAAAATTTTAATGTGAAGTGTTAGCTAATAAAAGGTGATTATTGGGTAAAAGAAGATTCTTAAGGGGTACACAAGTAGCAGCTGCAGAAAGCCGCTACCACCCACTGGACTGGTGGACAATGCGTGACCTTAGAGGCGGCCCCTTCCCTTCTTCCCTCAGGCTGAGAGTCAGACATATTTGGAGAGGGCGTGGGCACCACGGGAACGGAACAGCCTGCCACTGGAAAGGAAGCTTGGCAGGGGGCTGATGTGCTGTGGCGGCAGAGACACCCCCTTCAGTGCCCCAGAAAAGACCCTTCCTTCTGCTTTTGCCTGGCAGGGGCCCCTCAGCAACTTCTGCTGCCCAAAATCAAGTCAGCCGGCAAAGGGGAAAAGTCTACAGCATTCGTCTCCAGGTTCACAGAGCAGGAAAAAGAGGGCAGATTTGGAGCTAAGAGGCAATAAATTAGTAAGTTCTTTCTCACGAAGTTTCTTGGCTGTAACTGCACTGCATATGCTCTTACATCCCATATTTATATCCCTAGCCTGTTCTTCTCCCTGGGGCTCCAGAGAAGTGTTGGTATGCAAACCGGCTCGGCCATGTCTTCATTTGGCTTGTTCATGGGCATCCTTAACTTAATGGATACAAACATTTGAACCTCTTGTGATTTTTCCTCATCTCACTAGAGGGCGTCACCGTTCAAACAAAAACACAGCCTTGACTTATTTTTTTCTTAGTCCACTCCCAGTTCATCAAAGTCTTGCCAGCTCTGTCTTAAAAATACATACAAATCCTGCCATTTCTCATCACCTTTATGCTGCCACTCTGCTCCAGGTCATCATCTCTTGCTCTTAAGTCTCAGAAAGTGTATCTTAGACTTCTCCATTGTATGTTGGATAATTAAAGGACCACTTGCTCTTAATGCGTTCTGTAACTTCTCATTGTATGACAGCTGTACCCCATCCCTCCCTTTCATCCTGCAAATTATATGCTGCATCTTAAGATGTCCAGGGTTTCAGAGTTTTTGAACGTGCCTGCTGCATCCCTGCCATCCGGACAAGCCTGTTTCTGTATGTTTGCCAGTGCGGCGTTACCCTTGTTTTTAAAGTTAATAGTGTGACATTATTATTTCTTTATGTGTGGGTTCGAAACATGTATAGATGGATCTTCCTAGCTTAAACTAGTAATTGCCTATCTTCATATTTTTTTAAATTTGAAAGCATTTTTCTAAAGATGACTTTATATCTTAAATTTCTGATTTGTTGGCTGGAAACTATAAAGGTAGCTACCCAACCCCTCAAAAATTTGCCATGTATGTCATTGGATTTTTATGTTAAAAAACTCATTTTTTCAACAATTTAATTTTCTGAAGGTGAGTATCAGTTCTTGCTTTTGTTACTTTCAGGAGAGGAAAGGTTTGTATTATTAGCATTCCATACCACTGATTTCATTAGAACACTTGATTATCTGGATCTCTGGCTCCTTTTCTAATATTGATTTAAGAGTGTAATAAATATAGGACTCCTCTTTGAAATTAAAGGTTTGTTAAACACAGGCTTTGTTTTTAATGAAAGAAAATCACCCGACATGTGCTCTCCTTCTCTTTTAGGTGGACGGTGCTGCTGTTTCTCTCCTGATGGGAAAGCTTTAGCTGTAGGTCTCAGCGATGGAAGTTTCTTAATGACAAATGCAGATACTCTTGAGGACCTTGTGTCTTTTCACCACAGAAGAGACATTATTTCAGATATTCGATTCTCACCAGGTACGATTCCATTGAAATCACATTCGTTAACTTGGCTCTGGCAGTGAGTAAACACGTCGATGTGTAGTTTCTGTTGTCTGTTATTGCATCTCCAAGTTCTCCCTGTTTGGCTAGAAGGGGCCATGTGGTGAGAGGAAGAAGCACTGGGTGGGGTCAGGGGCAGAGGACCGTCAGTCCCGGTTTGGTCACTAGATTCTGTGTGACCTGGGCCCAGGCACTTCTCTGAACTTCAGTGTCTTCATTTGTAACGTAAAGGGATCGGCTGGATCGTCTTCATTTTAATTTTAGTGCTTTTGAAGTTACATTTTGTCTCATGAATTTCTTTGTGTTGATTATCTATAACAGAGCCTGCTGTAATAGAGGAATCAACTAATGTTAAGGCACAGTTTACCTGTGTTGGTTTACTTCTATTTTTCCTACATTTAGAGAGCTTTTAGTTTTTTGGTTAAATGCAAAGTGTTTCAAAATTACATTGAATATAATTGTTGACATTTGCTTTCCTCTGTACTTCACTAAAAAGCTTATTTCAGTGTTAGAGTATACTTTTAAATGTCACCTTCTCTTGTATCATGTGACAAATATCTCTCCTTGCACAAGTCATTTTTATTGTGTATAGGTACTTTATTATCCTTGCCTCATCAGATTTCCTCTTTTAAAAATACTTTATTGTGAATACAATGTGGACTTGCAGCCAAGATGTAGGCATAGATAGACACACTGTGCCTTCTTGCACAACCAAAATAAGGACAAAAAAATTTAGAAACAAAATAACAATCAGAACTGACAGAAAATTGAATTGTATGGAAGTCGGACAGCCAAGGAGCAGAAATAGACACAGTCATCTGGACTGGTAGGAGGGTGCAGTCTGGTGGCTGGGCAGAGAGGGGTCGTGGCACAGGAAGCGGTGACACCAGGCACACAAGGCACCCAGGCACACAAGATGGCAGCTGGTGGACCCTGGGCACGCAGGTGGTGGCCGGCAGACCCTAGGCATGGGGTGCCAACGGACAGACCCAGTGAGGCAGTGATTGTGAAGCGGGGCACCATGCACAAGGCTGACCGGGCGGCAGTCCCATATTCGCACACAGATAACTGGGGAGCAAGACAGATGTAGCAACCCAACGTCCCAGTACTGGGAAATAAAGCCTCAAAACACCGATTGAAAACACCTGTGGGGGCTGAGGTGCTGGGAGAGACTCCCAGCCTCACAGGAGAGTTCACTGGGGAGACCCACAGGGTCCTAGAATGCACACAAGCCCACCCACATGGGACTCAGCACCAGAAAGGACCAGTTTGCTTGGGGGAAGTGGTGGAAGGAGCTGAACTCTACAGAGAGCAGAGCAAAGGCCAGTGTTCCCTCTTGGGCCTCGCCCCCACATATAGCGTCACAACCCAGCCATTGGGTTACCCCGCCCTGGTGAATACCTAAGGCTCAGCCCCTCACTATGAGACAAAAAAAAAATGACTGAAACAGAAGAACAGATCAAAGCTCCATAGCAAATACAACTAAGCGACCAAGAGATAGCCAACCTAGCAATGCACAGTTCAAAACACTAGTGATCAGGATGCTCACAGAATTGGTTGAATTTGGTCGCAAATTAGATGAAAAAATGAAGGCTACACTAAGTAAAATGAAGGAAAATGCATAGGGAACCAATAGTGATGGGAAGAAAACTGGGACTCAAATCAATGGAGTGGACCAGAAGGAAGAGAGAAACAACCAAACAGAAAAAAATAAAGAAACAAAAATTCAAAAAAATGAGGAGAGGCTTAAGTACCTCCAGGACATCTTTAAATGTTCCAACATCCAAATTATAGGGGTATCAGAAGGGGAAGAGGAAGAGCAACAAGTGGAAAACTTACCTGAACAAATAATAAAGGAGAACTTCCCCAATCTGGCAAAGGAAATAAACTTCCAGGAAATCCAGGAAGCTCAGAGAGTCCTAAAGAAGATGGACCCAAGGAGAAACACACCAAGGCACATCATCATTACATTACCCAAGATAAAAATGAAGGAGAGAATCCTAGAAGCAGCAAGAGATAAGGAGACAGTTACCTACAAAGGAATTCCCATCAGATTGTCAGCTGACTTCTCAAAAGAGACCTTACAGGCAAGATGGGGCTGGAAAGAGGTATTCCAAGTCATGAAATCTAAAGACCTACAACCAAGATTGCTCTATCCAGCAAAACTTTCATTTAGAATGGAAGGACAGATAAAGTGCTTCTCAGATAAGATCAAATTCAAGAAGTTCATCATCACCAAGCCCTTATTATATGAAATGTTAAAGGGACTTACCTAAGAAAAAGAAGATAAAAAACATATATGGTAAGATGATAATTGTTAACAACTATACCTAAAACAAAAACAAAGGAAACAACTAGAACAGGAACAGAACCACAGAAATGGAGATCACATGAAGGATTAGCAACAGGGGAGTGAGAGGGAGGGGGGGGAGGTACAGAGAATAAGGGGAAGGGCCAAGAGCCCCCTGCTCAAGGGGCTTTTATTGGGTTTGTTTGCACAAGAATACAGGTAAGGATCAAACAATAGGTATCATTCAAAGAACTCTAAGGGCTTATTCTGTCAGGGTCAGATAGCTAACCAGCCATAAAACTTTGAGGAACAAACTTCTTGCTTGGACCCTTATCATTTAAATGAGAGCATTCTAAACAAAGCAGGTTTCACAGGATTTTTACATATTCTTACTTATTCCTGATTTACCCAGATACCCGCCCTTTCCAGCACAGGGCTGCACTGCCTTCCCCATCATAGGTTTTTAGGCTTAAGTGGATTAGAGCTAGGAAGCGCTTCTCCCAGGCGGAAATGGGGACTCAGGCTATGTCCCAATAGCTGGGGGGGGGACGAGGGTCCATCGCTCCCTCTTTGTTGCAGCCCCCCCCCCCCGAGTCCTTCCATGATGGCCTCCCAAGTGATCATGTCTGGCCTAGGATGCCCCTCTCTGAGGGGTTGTACCTGCCATGGACATCGACCATGCTTTGGGGGCAGGGGAAGAAGCAGCGTTTGCTGCCAGAGACCAGCTTTGTGTCCTGTGGCTCGCATTCTGGAGGTCGCTCACTTAGCCATGGGAGGCAGTTACAATTGCTGAAACCAGGCAGAGCGGTTCCCAACAGGGAGAGCAAGAATAGTATGGGAAATGTAGAAGCTGAAGAACTTAAGACACATGGACATGAACTAAAGTGGGGGAATGTGGGTGGGAGAGGGTGTGCAGGGTGGAGGGGAATGAAGGCAGGGAATGAGACAACTGTAATAGTATAATCAATAAAATATATTTAGAAAATAAAATACTTTGTTGTTTATGCTGTTACATTGACCCAATTTTTCTCCTTTTGTCCCCCTTCCCCAACCCTCCCCCACCGTCAATCCACACACCTTGTCCCTGTCTGTGGGTTTAACACACATATCTTGTTAAAACTCACAGAGCAACTGAGTTCCTTCTGAAAAATATTACTGAAATTCACTCCAGTTGTACAGTGTAAACAGTATTTTTAAATGTAGAAAGTTTCAGGCAAATATGTTCCTGCCCCAGGTTCTGGAAAGTACCTCGCAGTCGCGTCCCACGATGGCTTCACAGACATCTACCACGTGGCAAGCAGCAAGCGCGTGGGCGTGTGCAAAGGGGCCGCAAGTCACATCACCCACATTGACTGGGACGCCAGAGGTGAGCCCTGGAACAGCTCACTGTTTCGTAACAGTGTCATTTGGCTTAGTGTTGCCAATTTAGAGAAACAAAGTGATTCAACAGAGGAGTTCAAGAAGATTGCAAAAAGAAAGCATTATTCTCAAAATTACTTTTGAACTGCTTGCTCTCACAGTTGAAGATGAATGTCATGAGTTTAGACATCATTTGTCCTGGTCATTGTCAGAAAAGCTTGACATAGAGTAACTGAAAATTTGTAAAACAGGTATGTTAGTGAGAATTTTAAAGTGATTTCCCCATTGTTCAACGGATACAGTCCCTAAAACGGCAGTCACATTTGCATCACAGGCAGTATTTAATGAACATCGGTGTTTTAGCAGCACGCGTGGCATGTGACAGTATTTAATAAGTTTGGATTAATGCATTTTAAGGATTTTTGTTTCACATATTCATCTCTGTACATCTAGCGTTGTAAACTAAAGTTTCTCCAAGTACAGTTCAGTGAAATTTTACAAGTCCCAAAATTAGTTTCTAGGGTTTTTTATATGTATAACAACAGAAACCGTTTCTTATGTATATACATATACAAAAATTAAACCACATATTAATTAATTACATCAGAGTTAACAAAATCAAATTCTCTTAATACACGTTGACTGCAGAAAAAAATGTTATGTTTAAGCTTAATTTTTCCATAAAAGTTAAACATAATACTACATGTATAAATATTTATATTTTATATATGTATATAATTTCTCCACATTTGAAAGCTTTATTCAAATGCCAAACCTCCTTCCAGAACAGTTTCAGGTTCCATGCTTGACGTCAGGGTTTGTGTGCCATGGCAGCAGCGGGGTCTGTTAAATCTTTTTGAATTGTTGCCATAGTTGGGCGAATAAGTACGTCTCCCTTTTAGTTCGCATTTCTAAAATTATTCGTTATCATAGACTTTTGTAATTTTTATTAACTACTTGCAGTTTTTCTTTTAACATACAAGGTTCCTACTTTTATACAGTAAAAGTTAATTTTAATAAATTGTTTTTTTAGAATTTCAGGTCTTCATGTTATGCTTATAATGTTTCCTATTTCAGGATTATAAAACTATTAATGTAAGATGATATATGTGTGTATACTTTTGCTTTCTTTTTAAGGAAAGCTTTTACAAGTCAACACTGGTGCTAAAGAGCAGCTGTTCTTCGAGGCCCCCCGAGGGAAGAGGCAGGCCGTCCCCGGCGCGGAGGTAGGGGGCCCGCAGTGCGCGGACTGTCGTGGATACGACCCGAGGTGTAACCACACTGGTGCCTACTGCACTTGCTCATGAAGCCTGGTCTCAGATCGTTCAAATTCTGGGTATTTGTTTTGTTGGGTCAGGCTACATAGCTGGGTAAAGAGACGATGTGTTATGGAAAAAAACAAGCCCTGTCCGGTGTGGCTCGGTTGGAGCATCATCCCATAAACTCCAAAGTCACAGGTTGAATTCCCAGCCAGGGCACATGTGGGGTTGCGGGTTTGGTCCTCGGTCAGGGGTCAGGGTGCGTAGGAGAGGCAACCGGTCGATGTGTTGTTTCTCTCTCGCATCGATGTTTCTCTCCCTCCCTCCCTCCCTCCCTTTCCTTCTCTTTAAAATCCATAAGCATGTCGTCAGGTGAGGATTTAAAGAAAGAAAAGGAATAAACTGCATGTATGTCTACTTACATGCTCGTTACTTTCCTCAAGGACAACAGAAGCAAGTAGATGACATGACACCTAAGATTAGAACAGCATGGTGGCCAAGTCTTTTGGGACCCATGTGCCTAAAGTACTTACTGATACATACCTGTTTAAGGAAAAGGGAAAAAATGGGTTCAGTTTTGTGGCTGACATTAGCAAGATTTCTGACGTGACACAGCTGAGGAAGAGGGGTTAAATAAATTGTAACAGGAAAATGGCTTAAGGAGAAGGGGACTGTAATTTTCAACGATGATTTTTGGAAAACATGTCTGTCATATATTAGTAGAAATTTAGATGTGATGGGTAAGAACAAGTTTTTTGTTTATTCAAAGAGTAGGAATGGGTTTCTTTCTTACCACTGTTTGCTTATTGTCTGGAACACACTGTGGATCTGTAATCTTCAATAATGTTATGTTACGATTTCTCTGCAGCAACCAGACAACTTAGGAAGCTACAAAACTAAGACAACTCATAATTTCAACTGATTTTTAAGTTTAATGAGATATAATTATAGAGAAAAATATTAAGATTTAGTTATTAATTTTTAGGTTTGGATATTACAAACTTACAGCATCTTTTTCCCCTTTTTAGGTAGAAAAAATCAGTTGGGCATCATGGACAGGAGTGCTTGGTTTATGCTGTGAGGGGGTTTGGCCAGTAATTGGAGAAGTCACGGATGTGACCGCCTGTTGCCTCACCAACGACAAAATGGTTCTAGCCACTGGGGATGATTTGGGATTTGTAAAGTTATTTAGATACCCTGCTAAAGTACGTCTGTTTCTTTAACTTTCCTAATGATTATAATTAAAACTATGTAATGTCCTTTCATTGCATTTCACAGTTGTGAAATGCTATCTCACTACAACAATGAAATATGAATATTACATACGAGTTGTAATATGAAACGTTTAGAATTATGTTTCCTATTCTTGACATCACATTTATGGCTTTTATCTAGAAGTATTATAATTTATGATTCCATGCCTTAAGTTGTATATTATATTGTATATTCCTCAATATTGAGTAATGTCAACATCCCTTTAAAGGGAATGTTCCTTTTATCCCTAACATTAAGTAATTTCAGTATTCTTTAATATTCTTTTGATTACTTATATACCATTAGTAGTATATCTAAAGTTTATATTTAAATTAAAAACTTCATATTTACTGCTTTAAAGTTTGTTTTAATCAAGTAAGGGTTATAAATGCAATACCTACAAAATTAGACATTGATTTAATGTGATGAGTGATGTTATTTTGCTAAAACCGAAGTGTATGAATTCTTTGGAGCACTGTGCTGTATGTCTGTGCTGCTGAGTGATCACTCAGCTCTCTTATGCTATCCTATATTCACACTGCTGGGAGAATCACAAAGTAAAATTCATGTATCAAGTCCAGATGCTTTGTTCTTAATTGTCCCAAATTTGTATTTATAATTTGGCACTGACGTGAGCATAAACATCAGTTTGAAACAGGCTCTGAAATAATGTATGATACTTAGTTCATGATGTTCTTAATTGCTCATACCACTGTTTTTAGATCATCATTAAAGTAAAAGCACACATCTAAAAATTCTCATAAACAACTCAGGTGCCCCAGAAAATAGCGTATCTGTTTTAGGTACACATAGTGGTAGAACTTTAGCTGATAAGAATGTGTTTCAGTAAAACATTTTATTAGTCAGAAACTTTCCAGCTTTTAAATGGTATAAATGCCCTAAGAACAGGCTCTGGGGTGCTGGTCCCTGATTCTGCTTTCCCCTCACGGCGGCAACCACAGACTCTGGGAAGCTACCTTCGTGCAGTGTTCGGTGGACGGATCTTCGTGTTACGTCAGCTAACTCCTCAGTCTTCACTCCAAGAGTACCCACTGATTTAGCTAGCCTTATGTTTTATATATTTAAAACATTTCTTGTATTAACATCCTTGAAGAGATGTCCATCAGAAACCTGCTTATGATACATTAGTCTGAAATTTATCCCTGTAATCCGGTAATGCTAGTTACCGAATTTACTGAATTTACTGAATTTAAAAGTTGCCTGTATCTAGAACTTGCATTTTTCTTTTTTGAATTCTATTTATTTATTTGTTGTTCAAGTACAGTTGTCTCCATTTTCCACCCACCCCAGTTCCCACCCTCAATCCTACCCACCTTTGGCTTTGTCCATGGGTTCGTTCTGCGTGTTCCTTGAGGGAACACGTGCAATGCTACACTCTCACGTGCGATGCTTGCAAACAAAAACACTAATGAATTAAGATAAAACACATTTACATGGACATACACCAAAATGATTGATAAGTTTGGTAATAGGGCCATTGTGTACATATATATTTATATTCTGATTTATAAATCATTGTTTTTATTTTTAACAATGTGTACATAGCCATTGTTTTTAATAGATATATGCTATTTCACAGATACGCACTATAATTAGCTAGCACTACTCTTGTGAGCTGTGAAGATATTTAAAGTTTCTCACTGCTGTTAGTGAGTACTGTGGGAAACAACGTCAGCACACACGGCCTTTTTTCAGTAGATCTGTAGAAAGGGGATTGGGAGGTGAAAGGTCAGAACACTCTGAAATGGCTTTTGATGCAGAATACCAGGTTGACTTGTAAAAACCTTGTGTGAAACTACTAGTTTATATTCTGCCAGATTGGGCATTTTTATTTTTAAATTCTAGTGAATTTCAGTATTTTCTCATTTTTCAGTAGTTGCGTTTATAATGATTAATTCCTAGTCATGTATTAAGAAAGGAATTCAGAGTCATAACTGAGAGTTTTCCGGTAATGAGATTCCTCAGAAATACTTTACCTTTTTCATCTTTAGGGAAAATGTGGGAAGTTTAAGAGGTATGTGGCTCACAGCGCACACGTCACCAATGTTCGCTGGACTTACGACGACAGCATGTTGGTTACCGTAGGGGGTGCGGACATGTCTTTAATGGTTTGGACAAACGAAGCAGAGGGCTGTCGGGAGAAAGGGCCTTGTGACAGTGAAGAGTCCGATGCAGATTCTGAAGAAGATGGGGGTATGTTGTCTTACAACTTCTTAACATTAGGAAAAAATAGTACCGCTGGTTTAAACTGCAGAAGTTAAAACATAGTAACAGTGTTCGACTAATGGTGGTTTCAGTATATTTGGTCTGTTTAACACCGAAGTTACTTTTGTGACACAGGAACAACAGACTGTCACGTGTTGATGACTTAGATATTCTTTATCTACAAGTGTAAGATAATCATCCTTAAATAAGTACTGTTGACAAATTAATAGTCTCTAACCTCATTTTAAAGTAATTCCTGATATACCAGTTCATTATAGAAAAATTGGAAAACATGTTATATAAATAATAAATATATTATTCATAATTTAACCACTCAGGGGCAACCTCTGTTAACATTTTGAGGTCTGTTAATAAGAGTATGTACATTTTATATACCCAACATGTTTTTAACAAAATGGTATCATATTGAACTTACTTTTTGTAGCTTGCTGTTATCACTTAGTAATACTTTGAAAACATCATTACATATCATTAAATATTCTTCTATATCATTGTTACTGGCTGTATATTGTTTTATAATTTGGCTCTAATATAGTTTAACTTATTTCATATCGTTGCACATCCTTGTATCCAAATTATAAAATCATAGTTGGTCTCTTTCATTGTCACTCAGCACATAATTCTAATATTTTAATAGGCTACGACAGTGACGTTACAAGGGAGAATGAAGTCAGTTACACCATCAGAGCCTTTTCAACAAACATCCGTCCAATGTTTGGAATCAAGCCTCACTTGCAACAGAGAGAACCTTCAGTTGATGAGAGGTAACAGTCAAGTTTAAAACTAGATGAAGAGAAAGATGCTGTTAAAAATTGAATTTACTGTTTAACTGAGTGAATTTTTGCAAAAACCAACACTAGCACTGTTTCATTACACTATCCACAGCACCTCTTAGAAAAAATGTGTTTCCTTAAACAGTTTTTGGTGGTGGCACTGGTTTTTGAAGGCAGTTTAGGGAATGATGCCATATATAAAGTCTGTACAATTAACGGAATCTTATTTGCTAACTTTTATAAACATATGCATTGGGGTTGAGGGAGATAATAAAAATTGACTCCAATATCAGGTCCCTTTTAGGAAGCATGTGAACAGAGATGCTAAATTTTGAAAAGGCCTTTTGAGCCATGTACCTTCAATCAAGGATAGAAAATCATTATTTCAAAAAATTGCCAGAAAGGCAATCTAAAGTATAGCTTGTTTTTAATTGGGAATTATTGGTCTTTGTCTAGAATCAGCAAATAAAAAGTAAGGACATGTACAAAATAATTTTATGAGAGATAACTTTCAAGTGTCTGAGCTGGGGACAGGTCAAGTGAGAAATTGTGAACCTCCTGCTGTAAAAATCGTTCGGGGAGATAGAAGCCAATGAAGGGGCATATGGATCGGTGAATGGCATGGGTTTCGGAAGTGGAGGTTTTGAGGCATGGTGAAGGGGAGGTTAATGGGGAGCAGCAGTGAGGGGCAAGGAGTGGGGGGTGGAAACAACAGTGACCTCTTGTGCAGAAAGCTGTGACCAGGAAAACTGGATTATGAGAAGTTCCTAAGAATGTCTGAGGGGAAAGTTAAAGAAAGGGCGTGTCTCCGCAGTGAACAGAATTCATGGGCGCTTCGGGTGAATGTGCGGTGGGCAAGGGCAGTGCTGAAGGGCACTGGGGCTCAGCCAGTCAAAACGACAGCGACAGCGCAGGAGAGCTTCGCAGGGGGCCTAGAGCTGCACCGCTGGTTTGATACTCGGGAAAGGGCGGAGCTGGAAGGGTGGGAGGCGTGGCGGTGATGGAGAAGCGGGGAGCTAGCCGTTCCCCCCAGAGTTCCCAGGCGGGTTCTGGGTGGATGTTGAGTGGAGACTGCCTCACAGCATGTTTCAGGTCCCCCGTTGGCTGAGTGTACTTCAAATGCAGCCACGTTGAGTCACTTCACAGGTGATAATCTGTGTTGTCATCACATATAAAGAGGCAAAGTATGAAGCTAGACATACATTTCGAGAAAGCTGACCGAACCTTTATCTGAGTACCTGCACGGGATCCAAGGCTGAAGTGACTTGGGAGGAGGCAGAGCCGTCCTGTGCACAGGGCACGGTTTTGGATTCAGACAGACGGGTCGAAACACTCATTTTCCCCTTTACCAGAGGGTGCTCCAGGAACACTGTTCATCCTCTCTGAGCTGCAGTCTCCTCGGGGGTCAAGTGATCCTGGTATCTCTAGCTTATGGGGGATTTCTAGGTTTAAATGAAATGATGTATATGAAGAGTTTAGATAGTGGGTTTTTACCAATGGCATCTCTCCCATGGAACGAACTGCAGGGTAGGTAACCTGAGGAGTTCTCTGGTTAAAACTGAAACACTTCCTGAAATTGTATATTCAAAGTAATGAACACTGTACAGAATTATTAGTTGAAGTAATAGATTTAAATATGCAGTGTTCCTAATTAGAATATCTGCAATACTGTGCTTAGTATTACTTAAAGGAAATTACTTCTCCCAGGTTGTGGGATGTGAAAAGTGTCTCATAAAGGAGAAGGAACTTGCTGTTCCTGTAGTCTTTTTCATTTATTATATTGATTTTTAAAGACAAATATTACCATTTACCACATAAATTTAGTGTGTCAGTGTGACCTAATTTTAACCTGTGGGCCACCTTTCACAGTGAAACACGTGCATTTTCTTCCCCATTACTGAAGTGGCCGGTTCTGAGGGATGACACCTCACTGCTCGTGAAGCATGACAGACAGTGTTGTAGTTGTGACCTTTGCAGTGGCTTGCATTTCTCACACCAACCTCTTAGAATTACTTTTGAAGTTACTTTGTATGTTGTTCTTAAATTATAATACGGCTCTGCTGAATTATTCTAAAAACGCTGAGGCAGCAGCCAGTGGTGTTATTCATGGTTAGGAGTCCTCCTCCTCATGAAGTGAGAGAATCAAAGGAATTAAAAATAAACAGATACATCTTTTTACCAATTTTGAATATATTTGTAAGGAGAGGAAATGACCTGTATAATTGCTTTTGTATTTTAAATAAAATATATTATTGCCACTTAAATATGAAATGAAATACTTTATAAACAGTTAAAACAAATATTTGTCAAATATCCACTTAAAAGGAAAATTTTTCTGGTAACAATTTGATTACTAGTCTAGTCGGTTGATGGTTTTGTCAGATATTTTCCCTAAATGACTTTAATAGTTTTGTTATTCTTTTTCTATAAATATTTGTGAAGTAGGTCTTACATATTTAGTTTATTGTCAATTAACTTTTTAATATTTTTGAATAAAAATATTCAAAACAATGAGCCATAAAATTTGGTACTTCTTTAAAAGTTGTCATATTTTATTTTGCTTATTAAACTAGTATGTTTTCTTCATCATTAGTTTTCATATATGTTTCTTGCATTTTTTCCCTTCTGCTTCTTTTGAAGGCAGGGGGTAGTAAGGTAAGTATTTTATTAAAGAGAAAATACTTAAAAATTGGCTTTTGGTCTTTAGAATATTTTAAAGTATTCCTTTTCCCTACACAACATTGAACCACGTGTGTCATGACAGAATCAGGAAACGAAGCAGGTAGGACAAACCCTAGGAAAGTGCCTCATTTTACAGATGTGGCCTGAGAGTGTTGTTATCAGGGTCTTTCTTATGATCATTGGTGTAGAAATGACTTTTCGTAAACTACCAGTTCACCACATGTTTTTATCCGTGGAAGAACTTTCAGCTTATAAACTGGTGTCATTTAATGCATGTCTAATATCTTTATTAATTGTAAAGTGTTAACATAGGGCAGTGACTGTATTTGTATGTTTGGTAACACACGAGCGAGAAAGGACTCTGGGGCACTTCTGTAGCTGCTTTTAGCGAGAGCAAACTGTCTTCAGTTTCTGAAAGAGAATAGTGTGGACAAGTCTTTTTTAAAAGGTACCTTCAGGAAAATGCTGGAAGATAAAGATGAAAAAAGCAGGTTTGAAACAAGATTGTATAGAAATTCAAATACTAGGCACTCCTTAATTTGAAGTCAGGAGCAATTACCTGGGGGGGGTTTGTTGTTGTTTTTTGCAGGAGGTGATGTGTGTGGAGATGAGTCTAGTGTGAGATATAATTTCTGAAAAGGCCCCCATAATTCTGTTAACACTACTTTAACAAATAAAATGTTCTGGTGTAGCCTCAGATCTGGAGTAGTTCTTTGGCACTGATCTCGGCATTTTAAAGGGATGTGCACAGTTTACAGTTGTCTAGAAGGAAGCACAGGATGAAGGAAAGTTGGAAGGCCACTGCACACAAAAAATAGTTCATCGTGGTAGGAATCACTCGTTTCAAAGTAAAAACTAAGTGGAGAGATTATTGCTGCCTTGGACGCAAACAGTTCATGACCTCCCTGTCATGAGCAATGTCATTGCAGAGTTTAGATGACCACTTGTCACTGGGGCTCTGCACGGATGTTCTAGACATGCAAAAGGGCCCCTGGTTTCATGGGGAGGATGGACAAGAGGACTTGTATGGTCCCTTCCAATTCTGTTTGGTCCTGATGTTGTTAAGGGCACTTTTAAAAAAGTACCTCCTTTGCGATCAAAATCCCAAATCCCACACGGGTCCTGAGTGAGTCACTCTGCCTGCTCCATGGGACAGGACATCGGGTCACACCAAGGGGAGCTGGGGCTGCAAACAGTTTCTTTAATAGCAGCTCCCGTGTTACCAGCCTTTTAAGTTAGATGTTAATGTTTTATTGCCCTCTCTTAAAAAGACAAAGATAAGCTCTAATATGTTGTTTGAAATTCTGATTGCCCAGTAAAAAAAAAAAGTTAAAATGTCAAGTTTTAATGTTTATAACACAGAACATGTTGAATTCTCATTCATTTTTTTTCACATTCTTTCTTATTTCCCTGCCATTAATGGAGTGACTTAAGCTTTTTCTTCTATGCAGTAATAGATAAAAACAGTAGGTCTTTAATATATACAGCGAAGTTTATCTGCATTAAATTTGTAAAAATATTTTATTATAGGATTTTACAAGTGTTTTAAATTCAGTCTGTGTTCTAACCTTTTCCCTTTTTTATCTGCTGCTAAAAAGAGGTTCCAGGTAATCCTCTTTCTTTGCTGTTTTATGAAGCCTAATTTTGTATTTTTATCTTCTTTTTTATTCCCCATTAATGAGCTGTGTTACTTAGTATTCTTTACCTGCAATCAGTTTTTCATGTCTTTCTCCTTTGCAATGAGTATTTCTGAAATGAATAGCATCTTAGTTACTGGATTCACACACCTAAGTAACTGCTTCTCTAAAACTACCCATTTAACTTGTATAATTTTACAAGCTGTATATATTTAAGCCATAATATACCTAATATGAATTATATTTACAGAAATTAAAAATATGCTTAATTTACACAGGAGTGTATAGATAAAAATTACCTGTTTGTAAAGCTGTTGAGTGACAGCATCGAGTAAAGTTTGGCAAAGTGACTTGGGAGCAAAGCCCGGGCTGCTTACCTGCCTCTAACATGATCCTAGTGGGAATACTGGCAGTCAAATATCACACGTTTCAGTGAGATTTTTAATTACATGCATTTTTAAAAGTATCCGGAAAAGATCTGAAACCAAAGAATTCATGGTAATTTGCCAAGTTCTCTGTACAGCCTGGTAAGAGCATTTAACGTTCGTGCCACCAGCCAGTCCTGCTTGTGCACTCACACGCACTGCTGCATGCCAGAGACACGCTTTCTTCACGTTGCGTGTTCAAGGTACCACACCCCATTGACTTTTCATGGATAAATAACGTGAAAAAGTCACGTTGAAAATAGAAGTGTATGCCTTCATTTTTATGGGCTGATTCATAGATGTTGGGATTTTCACAGGAAAGTTAATGTGTATCATTTCCTGATTTAGTTTTTAAAAATTGAGTATTAGCTTAAAGTTTGGAGGGGGGAAGTTGATAAATGATCGATTCATTCAGTGTTAAGGTTATTAACATTTGAATAATGGTTATCTCGGTTAAAACTAAATGGTGTGGAGTTTTAAAAAATTTTTAAAGTTGGTAAGAAAGAGCCTCCATATTTAACTGATTCAAAAATGGGAACTCGATACACCTATCGGCACATGATGTACAGACACTGAACGAGTAGTGGGGTCGGAGAAGGAGGACCTAGGTCTCTGCGAACCGCCACGGAGGTGAGGTCGCTCAGTGTTCAGGACACGTGAGTCTGAGGGAGGCCGAGACGCCAGAGGCAGTGCCGCCGTCACCGGCTGTTACAAAGCTGACGGTGCTTCGTGTGTGACCGTGACCAGAAGGCGTCTTTCCTGAGGATGGTGATGCCATAACAGTGTTAGGGACTAATGGAAGAAGAGGAGGTAAAGGGCACAGAGTTGCAGGTACAGTGCAGACTGAACTCAGACAGGACTTTTGTTGCCAACAGTATAGAAAGTTCTAGAAATTTTCAAATTTCAGTTCAAGAAGATTCTGTTGAGAACCTGCCATGTGTAAAGACTATGATATAGATACTTTAGAGCAGTAATCCAGGCTTTGTTGATAATGCACCCCATCAAGAAGGGTTTGAGTATGTAAAACTAACATTTGTATGTTTTTTAAATATTTTTTTTATTTATCTTTAGAGGGGAAGGGAAGGAGAGAGGGAGAGAAATATCAATGTATGGTTGCCTCTCATCTGTCCCCTTCTGGGAACTGGCCTGCAACCCAGGCACATGCCCTGACTGGGAACCGAACCACAATCCCCTGGTTGGCAGGCCCCTGCTCAATCCGCTGAGCTATGCCAGCCAGGGCACATTTTTATGTAAAATTTTTTTATGAATAGCTTGCTCTTGTACTAGTATAGTATTTACATTAGGAAATGTACACCAAAGAGATTAAAAGTAAAATGAATAAGAGCTCTAATATTTTCCTTCTACTTTCATGTTTTAGAAGGTACCCAGATACAGAGGGCGCAGTGTAGTGAGCAACACGGGTTGGGTGGACTTTCACAAAGGTGTGTTAGACACTTCTCTCCGGAGGCAGTGAGGGAGGCCCCGTGGAGTACCTGCGGGGGTGCCTGCCTCATTCCCGCTTCCCTGTTCCAGGCCCCCGGTCAGCAGGGCGGCGCCGCGGCCAGAGAAGCTGCAGACAAACAACGTTGGCAAGAAAAAGAGGCCCATCGAGGTGAGGAAAACCCGTTCTCCAGGGTTCACTTGACCTGAAAATGTATCTTGAGTTCATTCTGTTTTCTCTTTGTAAATGCCCAAATCTTGTCATTATTTTTAATGAAAATAAACATTGAATAATAATCTTGTTTGGTTGTAAAAATTGACTGCTTAACTGTTGCGTCTGAGGTTTAGACTGACACCCTGCGCCTCTCCCAGGCGCGTCATCGTCCCAGTATCAGCAACAGCGGGCAGACTGGTAGATCAGGTCAAAAATAAGGCACTAAAGCTGTGGGAGGGTGACCGTTGCACTCCCTACCCCACTCAGCCTCTCAAGGTCAAGGGCAGTGGTGGACACTTCAGCGTGAGTCCTCAGGGGAGGTGTACTCCATTCTGTGCACTGATACCGGTGTACCGTCTGGATCCTTAAAAGTACAAACTTGGCCGTAATTCATACTGAGTTCTGTATGCTGCTATTTCGACTAATACACACAAATCAGAATATTCTCCTTTTGGATAAAAGCATCTCAACGTTTAACACGTGAAAACTTAAGTGAACTTCTTAGAATCAATTGACCTTACAGTTCCCTTTTTGTTTTTCTATAACTTTATGTAAAAAAGTATAGAATGTATGTGTCTAAAACAGGACACATAAAGAAGTACGTCTAGCTTAATCCTGTGTTTGCAGTTTGTGAAACATCCAGAATGCATCCTCTCTTTGGTCTGAAGACACCAGTACTGTATACAATAAGAAATAGTGACTGTTTGGACATGAGGCATTGTATAATGCTGTCTTCATCATTCTAGGACCTTGTGTTGGAGCTTGTTTTTGGCTATCGAGGCAGAGACTGTAGAAATAATGTCCACTATTTAAATGATGGTGATGATATAATTTATCATACTGCATCCATTGGAATTCTGCACAATGTTGCTACAGGTAGGAAGCCCTGATTCTTCATCCCTACTTTTTTTTAATTTAGGACTTTTAATTTAGTATCTTAAAATTCTTTACAGTTATGACTATAAATAATTAAAGTGCGTGAGTCCAGAATATAACTATTTCATACTGTAGAATTGTCTATTAATATTTCAAGTAACCAAATTTACAGTCTTTATAGAGCGTAACAGCAGAAAAGGATTTCCCACTGCAAAGTGCTTATCTGCCTCTAGTGGACATGAAGGTTTACCATATGTCGAAACCTGTTTCACAGTGAAACCATTTGTAACTTCATTCCGTTTCCCCAATACCCTGGCGTGTTGAGGGAGTGCACTGCTGTGGGGCGGGAGTGGGTGGTGCTCCTGCCGAGGCTTCGGAAAGCCACTGCAGTTAGCTGAGAACGCGGCTTGCCTGTGGCTCCGCTGATGGCCCTTCATTTGATGCAGGAAGGTAGGAAAATACTTCTCGATGTTTATGTAACTTTTTGGGTTTTTGAAATGCAATAAAGTTCCCTTAGCATCATTTGATGACCAGTGATGTAATAATACTACTGGTGACATTCAGTATTTAATTTTGAATTTGGTTTTATTACCAAAAATTGTAAACTTCATGAAGTGTGAAAGTTGGAAGTAAAAATAGAGATGATTACCCTGGCTGGTGTAGCTCAGTGGATTGAGTGCAGGCTGTGACCAAAGGGTCAAGTTTCGATTCCCAGTCAGGGCACATGCCTGGGTTGCGGGCCAGGTGCCCAGTGGGGACCACATGAGAGGCAACCACACATTGGTGTTTCTCTTCCTCTCTGTCTCCCTTCCTTTCCCTCTCTCTAAAAATAAATAAAATCTTTTTAAAAATAGAGATTATCTAGTTCGAACATTTCTGACTTTTTCTTCTGGCAACTTCATTCTGAATAGATAAAGAGTTCCCTACTCCTGGTCAGTATTAATCATTAATATACTTTCTGGTTTCCTAAAGAAAAGGACTCACCAAGATAACACAGAAATCAGTGCCAATTTTTTACTTAATAATTCGCATCACTTAAAAAATACCACATAGACAGGAAATCCTCTTTAAGTGAGGCTTCATGTATCCTTCCAAGAGAGTGGAGAAGAGTAAGGAAAGACCGGCAGACGGGGAGGGACGTGCACTGCGAGGTCACGTGTACTGGGCAGGCCCTGCTGGGTGGTGGGGACGCGCCAAGAAGGGCTTCAGGAGGCGATCCCGTCGCTGTGCAGACGCCACACAGCGCACCACGCATCCAGACGGGACGGTCTGCTACACACCCAGGCTGCAAACCTGTACGCCTGTCACTGTACCGAATCCTGGGAGCAGTTACAGCACAGTGCTAAGCATTCATGTATCTAAACACATTAAACACAGAAAAGGTGCAGTAAAAAAGTGCACTTTAAAACAAAAGGTTTTAGAATGATGCACCTTTATGGGGCAGTTACCACACATGGAGCTCGTGGGACTGGAAGTTGCTCTGGGTGAGTCAGTGAGTGGGTAGTGAGTGTGGAGGCGCAGGACATCCTTGCAGATCACTGCACACTTTAGAGACACTGTACACTTAGGCTGCACAGGAGAAAGATGACGCAGTCAGGAAACAGTGAACGGGAGCTTGATGAGGCTGCTGCCATTGTGACGTGGCGCACCGTTTTACAGCAGACTTCCTTGAAGTAGAACGTACACTCTAGCCCTGGCTGGTGTAGCTCAGTGGATTGAGTGCGGGCCTGCGAACCAAACAACCGCGGTTCGAGTCCGAGTCGGGGCACGTGCCTGGGTTGCAGGCCAGTTCCCAGCAGGGGACACATGAGAGGCAACCACACATTGATATTTCTCTCCCTCTCCTTCTCTTCCCCTCTCTAAAAATGAGTAAGTAAAATCTTTTTGAAAAGGAATTATTCTCTAAAAAACACTCTAAAATAACAATAATAAGTATAGTATGTACACGAACCAGTGACATAGTCATTTATTACTGTTAGCAGTCTCTTCCACACTCTGTGTGGCTGTGTGTGCGATACTTTTATATGACCGGCAGCGCGGTGGCTTTGTCACACCAGCGTCAGCATACACGTGTGTGCGATGCCTTGCACTGTGTTACAGTGTCACTTGGCAATAGGAATTTTTAAGCGTATTAGAGTCTGGAACCACTGTCTTTCATTGTTATTGTAGATTTTCAAGAGAAAGAAAATGAGGAAGGGAGAGAGAGAGACATGTGGTCTGTTGCTCTACTCATTCACGTGCTCATTTATTGATTCTTACACGTGCCCTGACTGGGGATTGAACCCACAGTCCTGGCGTATAGGGATGACGCTCGAACCACCTGAGCCCACCTTCCAGGGCTGGAACCACTCACTGTCTTGTGTGCAGTCTGTCATTGACCCAGATGTTAGTCCATCATTTGACTGCCCTTTATTTTTTGTTGTTTAAATTTTTTATTTGTAATCTGTCACCTTTCTAATGATGGGTATAGAAAGGCAGGGCAGAAGGGAGACTAGACACTTATTCGTCCTCTCACCGATTTGGGGACACATTGCTCCGTGCACAGTCTAGGAAGTCTAGATCTATTAATTTAGCTGATGTAACTGAACTCTCAGCCCTGGAAAATAGGAGGCAGTTTCACTTTGAGAAACATTAAAGTAGAGTTAGAGCTGTTAAATTGTTGGGGGTTGTTTTTTGGTTTGGTTTCTTGCTTTCTGGTGGCCCTCTGTGGTTTGGGGCAGGCCTGCCCTCCCGACCTCGTCCCCACCCGTCCGCTGCACTTGCATGAGCCTGCCTGCATCGCCCCTGCAAGGTCAGTCTGCCCAGGGCTTATCTCCGTAACTGTACTGGGTGAGCCACACGCCTCCTTTGACCAAAGCTCTTCAGGACCTTCTCACTGACGACAGAATAACCGTGCAGTTTAGGAGGGTAGCATTTAAAATGCTCTGTAACTCTAGTTTCAGTTTGCCCTTCAACCGCATTTCTCACGTTTCTTCCTAATGACCAGCGAACCCGCTGTCTGCGTACCCAGCACTTCCCTGCCTTTGTACCTTCACTTGCACCGTTCTTCCACCTGGAGTGTCCCTCCCCACCCACCTTCATCTGTACGCAACGACCGGGTCATCCAGGGATGCCATGTGCCCAGATAAGAAGACTCTTTCCTGCCGTGAATTCCCACAGCATTTTGATCTTTAACTTGGTGTGGCACTTGTTCCCTTCCATCTTGTATCACTTTAGTTTGTGCCTGTCAGGGCTCCATCCTGTTAAACACACATTTCTGAGTCATTTTCCCATCCTTATGATGATGTACATGTATTAAATGCTCAACAATATCTGTTTAAGTAGGCAGGTTAAACAGAGCACTTTATTGCTGTGGTTAAGTGCATTAGGCTGTTATAAAGTTTCCACACTTAATTCTCAAATTCTTTTTTCATAGGAGCTCAGAGTTTTTATCAGGAACATAATGACGATATTCTGTGCCTCACTGTAAATCAGCACCCCAAATTTGTCAACATAGTGGCAACTGGCCAAGTAGGTATGTTTGTATATTTTAAAAGAAACAATTTTAAGTAATTGTAATGTTCGAATTAATTCAGTATCCTAGGGAAAAAATAAAATGTATTTGTGTACTGTTCAAAATGTGTTTGCACATAAGGCACAGGCCCAGCTTTACTGTGTTTACTTCCAGGTATCTTTCTCTCACTTCCGTCATCTGAGTTGGTTCACACAGTTCAGAATTAAGAGTAAGCTGTTTTATGGTAGTTGAAATAGTTGGATTTAGTCCTTTAGCAGGTGTTTCTGATCAGCAAAAAGGTTTAATTTAATAGCATACAAAGCAGAGAGGAAGAATTTGAGGAGGATCAGGTAAGTAAGGGGGGGCCAAGAAATAACTGGGTGGGGGACAGAACCTCTGCATCAACGGGGGCTGAGCTGGAAAGGCGAGAGGAGCCAAGTCTGGTCCGTGCTCCTAAGTCCTCGAGACCTTTCTCCTTTCTTAGAGTTCATCTAATTTGCCAGCTGGTGTGAAATCCTCACCCGTTCTGCTGTCTCTGACTCTGTAGAACTATGAACTCAAAGGCTGTAACTCTACCAGGAAAAGAGGATGGCAGGTCTCCTTCGGACGTGTCTCCCAGTCAGCAGTCACTATGCATGATCCATAATAGATTTGGTCAGTCAGACCTTCCCAACTCTGGCACAGTTTTTAAAAATGATTGAGACTGTGAGCTTTGTCAAGCACTAATTTAGATCGGCTAGACACGTATTTTCTAAGTTGTTCTGTAGTTGTGCTACAAAGACCCTTGTGTTCTTTTTTTGTAAAGTTTTCTACTTTTCAGAACAAAGTGGACTGACAATTCATCTGTTAAATACAAAATAGTCTAATCTTTGAATATAAAATACATAGGTCTGCCCCCCTTTTCTGCCAAGTTTTTTGAAGTTGTGCTGTGTTTTCACTCTGCCTGGAAGTGAGAGACCGTGGTACTACCATCTGGTCACTAACGCACCCAGGTTCTCAGCATATACTTAGGTTGCTCTTGCTGGTGGGGCTGGTCTAGGTTCTGGGGGTACAAGCAGCTTACAGAAAACCCCTGTTTTAATGGAATTTACATTCTGTGAGTACAATTCTAGAGGGTATGATTCTTTCATTTTCCAACTCTGTTCCTTTTCCTTTTCTTTCCCTTTGTTAAGCAACTTTAATATAAGTGCTCTAGTTTTCTCTTTTAAGAAATGTCACAAATTCATCTTTCATGAAATTTGACTCTTCTTTTAAAAAAATTGAGCTGTAGTAGACACGCAACACTGTATTAGTTTTAGGCGTACACCACAGTGACTCAGTATTTGTATTCTTCTCTTTTATTTTGAAAGGCGACACCGTAGGGAACGTGGAATGAGTCCCCGCCTCCCTCCTCCCCAGCCAGAGTCCAGGCAGTGCAGAGGGAGCCCTGGGCCTTGCCCACGCCTAATCTCCCACAAAGCCGATAACAAAAATTCCTCACTGATGACTTGTTAAATGTAAGACAGGCTTGAGAGAAGACCAAAGAGTGAGGGACTTTTTCGATTCTGAACGTAAAGAGAATTGAATCAGTAGTTACTTTGCCTGCCAAGCTTGTTTACCCACAAAGCACAGAACAATGCCGAACATGTTGATGGTTCTCTTTGTTAAAAATCACACAGATCATAGATACATCAACTTCTGGTCAGGATGGCAGCATAGGTACATGGCTCACCTCCTCACACAACCCCATCAGAATTACAACTAAATTCTAAAACAACCATCACTCAGAACCATCAGAAATCAGGTGGAATGGAAGTCTGACACCTATGGAATAAAGAACCCGCATCCATCCAGACTGGCAGGAGGGGCACAGACACGGAACAGGCTGGTCCCTCACCTGCACCTGGTGCACAGAGATTTGGGAGGGACGTCTCAGGCTCGGGGAGTCCCAGCCCCACGCCAGGACCCCCAGTCCAGGGTTCCAGTGCCAGAAAGATGAGTCCCCACAACTTCTGGCTGCAGAAACCAGGGGGGATTGAATCAGTAGAAGAAACTCCTGGAGTCCCAAGCAGTTCTGCTTAAAGAACCTATTCAGGGACTTACCAGACTCTCCCTCTGAGCACCGGGGTAGCAGCTTGAAAGGCACCAGTGACATACAGGGAGGAACTGAGGTGTCTGGCGTCAAGGCCAGAGCTGGGGGACAGCCTTCTCCCAAACAGAAAGGCAGGCAGAGGCCATTGTCCTTTTTCTGAGCCCTCCTCCCACAGAGCCCCAGAGCTGGCAGGTGGATGCCTTAAGACTCCATCAACCTGACTGCCACTGTTTGCCCCATGGGTCCTGGAGACCCCCTCAGGCTCCATCCCATCCAACTTAAAGCTGTTAACAGTGGCTTTTCCATGTGAATGGCTGGCCTTGGCTCATGCTTTGCAACTTCCTAAACCCTCTCAAAGAAGCAACAGCTGGTCTCAGCCCCAGGCAGGGCACTAGCAGCAACCAGCCTAGATTCACAGCTTGGCTTTGCCTGGGAATCTCCAAGCCCAGCACAAATAGCAGCCATCTCAGATTGCTTTATAGCTCAGGCAGGGTGGCCCCAGGCAAACCCAGGTGGAGACTGACCTTGGCCTGCACCACCTGGGAAACCCCGGGACTGGCACACCCAGCGGACAGCTGCTGACCATGTCGTCGGAGCGGCACCACCCTGCACAGCTGAATCTCCACATGAGCGTCCAGGGCTCGTGTGGGGTGGGATAAGGCTGGGGGTGGAAAGAGAAAGAACTAGGCTGTGGCGCCTCGTGCCACCTGAATTTGAACCAGGTCTCCGAAGTTTTTTGGAGGGGCACTTGTCAAGATAAGAGAAAATATTTTAATTTATCTTGACCGATAACTTGAAAATACTTAGGCCTGTACCGTTTAGGTCTATATTTGTACTCTCGTCCCAGGTCCTGCGGACACTCAGGGACAAACCCAACTTCCAAACAAAGCACCTGAGTCTTCGAACCGTCCTCCACGTGGCAGGGTTCAAAGTCCTCTCACCATCCGAGTGTTACAAGAGCGTGTGCAGAACTCGGAGTGGTATTTCCCAGGCAGTCCGCTCGCAGAGTCAGCTGCTCTCTCTTCTCGAGTTCCAAGGCAGGGCAGGGCGGGCCGACATTGTCAGTGTGTCCTTGAGTCTTCATCTGATGGGACTCGAGGCTCTACTGGAGCAGTCTTCTGCCCCGAGAGGATTTCTGCAGTTCTGTTCCTTTCTTTCTTGCTAAAAACCCATCCTTCTAAATTTTGCTTAATAAGTATCTCTACCGCAAATATAATGAGCATAGGCTTTCACGTTTTCTTTCCTGGCAGTCTTTTACTCATACAAAAAATACTGAGTTTGAAAAAATTAAGAAATACATTACTGTATTTTATCATGTATAATGTGCACCTTTTTTGCCCACATTTTTTAGGGAAAAATAAGGATGCACATTATACATGGGTAGTACCCAAAATACCTCGTATCTGTTTTTATAAGTATTTGTTACATAAAATTTCTTGTACCATGATATGTTCAAAAATAAGTGCTAAAATTCCTTTATAATATGAAAAACCAGGTCTCTAAATATAAATAAGTAAAAAATTAAATTAGAAAATTAAAATGAAAATTTTTTTCCTGGAAGTTTGGGCCAAAAACATGGGTGTGCGTTATACGTGGCACAATACGGTAACTTGTGGCCTGAATTGAGAACCGCTGCTTTCTTGAGTCAGGCGGTGACTTTCGCTGTTGTCTCTCTGACGGTTTAGATGCCAGTCTTCCCTTCGTGCAGGTGCAGTACAGCCGAAGGGGCTGGTGACAGTCCATTTGTAAAGCCAAAACGAGGATGGGGTCGATTTCAGTCGTGTCATTGTTATTATTTTAAAGTCATTAAAATGTTATGTAACTTATTAAATACAAAGAAAGTAAAGTATTGATCCAAGGTTTGAGAGGTTGTATATATAGAATGGTAATCTGTATAATGCATAATTTAAATTATTGGCTTCACTTACAATTTACTCAATTTCACATAAAATTAACTTTGTGTATGATATTTTATTATTTATTTTAAATTATCACTATTTCATGGTAGCCGAGTTGTTACAGAATTTATTCTTAGTGTTTGTGTTCTCCTTGGGTGATTATCTCTCTGCTCCTTCCCATTTCAGGCGACGCAGCAGACATGTCAGGTAAGGAGAGGCGTCGGTTTTTGCGCTTAGTTACGTTGTTCCGTAATGATGGTTGGGTTTGATGAGGAGATACTGGAACCTGTTCTGGGTTTTTTACAAAGGAAGAAGACAGCACCTTGATGTCATGCTACTGAGCCCAGTCCCCAACAGTAACAGTATTTAAGTGTGTGTACACACTTAAATGTGTACACACTTGTGTGTGTGTTCCTGGCCTCTTTAGTGTGCCCGGCACTGTTGTCAGCACTGGACACGTATTGCCTGTGTGGCGTCCCGAGACTTCCTCACGGTGGACATGAACTTGCCAGTGGCATCTGGCTGGTGAGAGTGGAGGTGGGGTTAGAACTTAAATATTCCTCAATAAGCTTTACTGCCTGAAAACAGATGTTTTAAATTTTATTTATTGTACCCATTTTGCCATATTAGGTCAACAGATCTAATTCTTTTATTTAAAGATAAAAGAATAACTTTTTATTCGTGATTTGACCAAGGCCTTGTGAGTTTAAAAAGCTGTTAGCCGAACGGTGTGTGTCCACTGTTTTCAGATACATACAACCAGGCTTTTCAGCTGAACTCAGTTTACTAATACAGTAGGAAGCAGTGGTCTGACCTGAAAACATTCCCCAGAAATTTGTTTGTTCCCCTGCCCTCTTCTCCTCCAGCAGAAAGCATGGTCTTGTGATTCGACTGTTCAGTTACAAATTCATTTAGCACAACTGGCGAGGGCCTTGCTCTCCTGGTCACACACTACAGCAGGCACCAGGGGTCACACACTGGAGCAGGCACAGGTGGACTTCAGCCCAGACTTTCGATTATAGTTGACCCTCTGTAGCCATGGTCTCTACCAATGGCAGATCAAAAATACCCAGAAAAAAGAACCCAGAAAAACCTCAAAAAGTAAAATTTGAGTCTACCACACACTGAGCACTATGCTGAATTCATGCAAAGGAAACAGCTTATGCAGACACTGCTGTAGCCTATATGCAAATGTAAGTTATATGCAATACTGTGCCATTTTGCACAAGGGACTAAGAACATCCCGGGTTTGGGTATAATCCCCCAGTGAAACCGAATGACACCTGTATAGGAGAAAATTAAATATACTTAATAAGCAGGACTTAATCCTCCTTTAGTGAGTTAGGCCTTGAACATTTCCAGTAATTGAAATCTTAACTGGTGCTGCACCCGGTGAGTTTGCAAGTCTGACTGTGGAGCGGTCCCATAACGGAGTCACAGTCACGCGTTTCAGAGCAGATTCCTGGTAGAGCCTCTTACCATCTTGTTTAATTCTCTGTAAATGTTGGAGAGGCTCAGTAATTTAACTTACCTAAGGTTACTTGCTATTTAAATTTTAGATTAACTGGAACTCTGTAATTTGTGTCATATTAAATTTGGAGATAAAAATAACTGTGTAATGTTCCTTGAAATTCCATTATCTACCTCGTAACATTTAGGCAAATAATAGTATATGAATTGCCCAGAGGTGCTGTTTGTAAACTAATAAAAATATTTTTATATTGTAGAAGAACCATGTAATACGTATGACTAGCAAGATATTTAGAGTGATCTACCAGTAAATATTTGCATTTTTTAAAAGATTTTATTTATTTTTTAGAGGGGAAGGGAAGGAGAAAGAGAGGGAGAGAAACATCAGTGTGTGGTTGCCTCTCATGTGGCCCCCACTGGGAACCTGGCCTACAAGCCAGGCATGTGCCCTGACTGGGAATCAAACTGGAGTCCCTTTGGTTCACAGCCCACACACAATCCACTGAACTACACCAGCCAGGACAATATTTGCATTTTAAATTTGAACCATGTAACACACCTTATTGGTATTAAGTTTACAGTCCTCATATCCTTTGACTGCTAACGAATGAGGAGCACTCAAATTTTAGTCCTGTACTTAAATTATCATCAGTTTTTAACACCCAAGTAGCTTGTTTTATAACACAGTAACCTTTTTTATGTCTATTTCCATAGAGTTTTGATTTTTTAAAGATTATTTTATTTATTTCTACAGAGAGGGGAGCAGGGGTGAAAAAGAGGAAGAGAAACATCAATGTGCAAGAGGAACATAGATCAATTGCCTCTCATGCATCCCCAACCAGGGACCTGGCCCACAACCCAGACTGGGAATAGAACCAGCGACCCTTCAGTTCACAGGCTGGCACTCAATCCACCAAGCCACACCAGCCAGGGCTAGTTTTTTTTTTTTTTTTTACATAAAATTGTATAAATTTTATATTACCTTCATTGAAAAAAATTTTTTTTAATAGCTTGAAAAGCTACCAACAGAGTTGCATAAATCTTTGAACAATTTCTACTTACTGGTGCTAAAATTTAAATCCATGGTTTAATGTATTGTAACTGCTTGGAGGAGCTATCAGATTTCATCTATCATTGTATGACATAAATTGCAGATGGTATACAATATAGTATAAATTTATCAGAATATTTTCTTTAGAGACCAAAATTTCTTTCTGCACCAAATGGTTGTAAGGTAACTTAAATTACTGAATATTTCTCTATTTTTGCAATACAGTATTTATAGTAGATTTATAATGTAAAGCAAATGTACATTAGTATTTTGGTTATTTTGTTACGAGTACTCACGATCTGAGACTGAATTAGCTGCTGAATTAGCTGCTGAATTCCTTAAAGGTGGCATTCGTAAGGAAAAGGACAATACAAGGCTATGGGTTTTTTTAACCTAGAAAATAAAACTGGGAAATTTTTTAGGCAGTAGAAACAGGCTATCACAAGATGAATAGCAACAAATGTAATTTTCTTCAAGATTCGTTTTGTTTCTCCCATAAAATCCTGTTTTAAAAACACTGTCCTGAAAAGTGATGTGCACGCAGCATCCCACCGGCTGTCTGCATGGTCCAGGGTTTCTTCCGAGATCCTTGCAGGGGGGTCACTGCCTGTTGCTTTTTGCAAGTTGTTTTTGCTTTTTATCTCTCCTTCAGGTAACCTGAGTACTGACTATACCCTGATATTTAATTGTGTAATATTTATACATTTCTTCACATAAGTATATAAAGATTTAACATGTGTCTAAAACATGCATTATTTTTGTGTTGTTTAAAGTTGTGATTCCCTAGCCCTGGCTGGTGTAGCTCAGTGGATTGAGCGTGGGCCTGCGAACCAGAGTATCTCCGTTCGATTCCCAGTCAGGGCACATGCCTGGGTTGCAGGCCAGTTCCCAGCAGGGGACCCATGAGAGGCAACCATGCATTGATACTCTCTCCCTCTCTCCTTCCCTTCCCCTCTAAAGATAAGTAAATAAAATATTTTTTAAAAAAGTTGTGATTCCCTAATTTGCTTATGTAATGCTTTTTTCTCAAAAGTACAATTTGGACTATAGACTAAAGAGTATTCTGTATTTTTTTCATTCCTCTTTCTTTTTAATTTAGTTATAGTTACACATTTTTAATTAGGTACACAGCCTTTCTTCGGTATATGTTTTTCCATGTTTCAGAGATGGGTAGGCCTCAGCTTTAGAAATGGAAACATTTATAAGAGGTGTATCACAGCTTTTGGACTTTATCTTTATTTAGCTACAGCTCCTTCTATCCACATCTGGGATGCAGTCAACAAGCAGACCTTATCTGTACTGAGATGCTACCATTCAAAGGGGGTGTGCTCAGTCAGCTTCAGTGCTACCGGCAAACTCCTGCTGTCTGTGGGACTAGACCCAGAACATACTGTTACCATCTGGAGATGGCAGGAAGGTAGGGTTCTTTCTTCTTTGTGCCTTCCTTTAAAAGATAAGGGTACTGTGGTACTACGAATTCTCTATTTAGTATTTTCCTTAATGTGGTGAATGAAGTCATTGTTCATACAGCCTTGCACGGTGCACAGTACACAGCTGGTGCCGTCGTAGGTGTGTCCCACTTAAAAAACCCAGTGAAATTATAAGCTCACAAAATGCAAATGAAAGTTACTAATATTATAAGTGATTTGCTGCTCTTTTAGTAAGTGTGTTGCTTATGTTTGATTAGTTACTGAGGATCTTAATCAAGAATGGAAACGGCCCTAGCCCTGGCTGGTGTAGCTCAGTGGATTGAGCGCGGGCCTGCGAACCAGAGTATCGAGGTTCGATTCCCAGTCAGGGCACATGCCTGGGTTGCAGGCCATTTCCCAGCAGGAGACAGATGAGAGGCAACCATGCATTGATATTTCTCTCCCTCTCTCCTTCCCTTCCCCTCTAAAGATAAATAAATAAAATCTTAAAAGAAAAAAAAATTTAAAAAAAAAGAATGGGAACGGCCCTGTCTGGGTAGCTCAGTTGTGTTGACCCAATAAGCCAAGGTTGTGGGTTCAGTCGCTGGTCAGGGCACGTGCAAGAGTCAGCCAGTGAGTGAGCGAAACAACAGATTGATGTTTCCCTCTCTCTCTGTCTTTCTCTCCTTTCCTCTTCTCTCTGTCTAAAGATCACTATTAAAAAATTAAGAAAGAATGGAAATGAAGTAACTGTAAGTGATGGTGGAAGATCAGTAGGTCTTCAGATACACAGCTCCTAGAGAAACTGAAATTCCCAGAGCTACGTGGAAGAGAGAGAAGGTGTGATCTGCAGGGTCTCAGATTCCCCCTAAACGATGGCAGCAGTCCGGCAGCCAGCCCATTACAGGCCGCTGGATGGATGCTCGTGGAATGAAAGAACAAGCAACTGTCCATGTTAATACATTTTTATGAACCATAAATAAATAAAGCACCCCTTAAATAATAATAAGCTCCCATACAGAGCACTTGCAAAACTGTGTTTCAAGGACCCTCTACACAAGTACGCAGTTGTATACCCTGTGATTGCTAGGTAGCGGAGCAGCGGGCACACCCTCTCTTTTTTAAATAAGTGTTTGCTGTTTGAACTATATATTTTGAGTAACTGATCCTATAAAATCTAGCTTAGTTCTCAGGTTAACCTTCATGATTTTGTCGTATCTTTTTTTATCAGGTGCCAAAATTGCCAGCAAAGCTGGTCACAACCAGCGTATCTTTGTGGCAGAGTTCCGACCAGACTCAGATTCCCAGTTTGTCTCTGTGGGGGTGAAACACGTGAAGTTCTGGACTCTGGCTGGGAGGGCTCTGCTGAGCAAGAAAGGGCTCCTGAGCACGCTGGAAGATGCCCGGATGCAGACCATGCTCGCTGTCGCGTTCGGTGCAGTATGTCTCTTAGACGCGTGTGGTCGTGTAGTTTGAGTTACCTGAACCTGACTGCTTTGAATTTGCTTGCCCTAGCTGAGTCACGTTAATGCTATTTAGATGGCACTGTAATCCGCTGGTCATTATATACGTCCTGGTCGCGCATGCATTTCATCTTTCCACATCTGATACTTTCAGAGATCAGGGAGCAGGAAAGTTAGTGAGGGAGGTGGGTTATAATGAAACATTTGAACCCCTGGACCATTGCCATCCTCAGAAGTCTTCGATAATTTTATAATTATCACCCTAAATCTTCTAGGTCCTAAAAATGGACCTTCTAAGTCAAAAGAGATAATCTAAGAAATGTAGCTTTCCAGTGTTTAAAGGGTAGTGCACAGATTCAGGATTTCCTCTGCTCTCTGTCATCGTGACTCAGCATGCGTCACACAGCTGGGAGTCCTCTGGGCCATGTCTCCCATCAGGGAAGAGCACAGCTCCCGGTCTCAACAGAACGCGGTCAGCAGCCACTTCCTCCCCCTCCCCCATACCATCTGGAAGTGTGTTTTACAGGCCACAAGGCTTTGCTTTTATAGCCTGTCCTGGCTTTGTAAATCCTTTGGTTCATCATAAACCTAAGTGGATTTCCTTACTAAAGTGTTTATGGGGGTATGAAATACTTGAAGAAAATTATAACTTTAGAACCTTTAAGCACACTTACAGTTTTGAGAGAAACACCATCGAAATGTTGACTAGGCCATGTCAAACTTAAGTTCGATTTTTTGGGAATTCTTAATATTAAGACTAATAATTTCTTTACAGGAGAAAGCCCACATTCAAATCCCTTTGGCATTTAATTTGCCCATTTAGATTAACTTTCTTCTTATATATAAAATTTCTTATGTAGTTAATTGCCCATTGCCAGTAGAAAATAAACTTGAAGATCACAGTGTTGCTCACACGTGACTTTTATGTTTGAAGCAGCAGTGAGTGCCCTCAGGGAGTGTCGGTTGTGTGGCCAGGCGGGTTTTACCCAGGTTAGGCCTCTGGCGCTGTACGCTAGGGGCTCCCGGACCAGCAGCAGTGAGACAGTGGTGTTCACACCAGAAGCATTTGCATTCGAGTGCAGATAAGACATGAATGAATGAGGCTCCTAGATGACAAATGCAGGTGTTACTCAGACATGAGCTACAGCCAGTAAGTGTGGATGCTGAGCAGTGCACAGTAGCATTAAGTTCTAGGGAAATTACACATACAATCTAGTATTCTCAGTGAGATTTTAGAAAAACCTCGTTCTCACTGAAAGAAATTTCAGTTTGTTATCATTTAAAGTCTTAATTCGTATTAGTTCTTTCCATATTGTTTTGGGTGAAAGATCTTACATGAGTTGCTCTTAGAGTGAAGCTAAAATGGGATGAAAGGAGCATTAGATCTCTCCAGTTTCCCCAGAGGGACCGTATCAGGGTTGCAGTTCTCAGTAACCTAAATAAGCTTTTGGTGCCTTGCCAAGTTTATCTTCCTTGGGATTGATTGCAGAAACCCATTAACTTTTGCCATCTTGATTTTAAGAAATGGCAAGTGTTATTTATGAGTTAATGAAATCTGAAAAACTCCAAGTTTGCTATATAGTTTTACTTTCTGTGACAAAATATCAAACATAATAAAGTCATTTTCACTTCCTATTTTTATTCTTTTTAACTGTTACTATTGGCCTTTATTTCTTGGGCAGTTATAAGGAAGCAATCCAAAAGGATGAGATGAACTAGAATTATAGTGTTTTATAGTTGGAAAACAGCTTAGAGAGTGAATTCCCTCATTTTGTACATGAAAAAACCAATACCCCTCCAGGTTAAGAGACTTGCCCATGGTTATTCCAGCTGATAAGCAGCAGAGCTGGGGAGGGGAAAAGCCCGGACAGAGCTGAGCCTCCGGTCCAGGCCTCCCACCTGCTGAGCCCGCTGCCCCTCCCGCCGCCCGCGGTGTGTCCGTGGTGAGACAGGTGCACACCGCTTAGAGAATTGCATGTTTGAACTCTGTCTGAACTGTTGATGAGTTTATCTTCCCCACTCCTTTTCAGAGTAACTTGACGTTTACAGGTACCATCAGCGGAGATGTGTGTGTGTGGAAAGAGCACGTACTGTGTCGAGTCGTGGCCGGGGCGCACACCGGGCCCGTGTTCGCCATGTACACCACCCTGCGAGACGGACTGATCGTGACTGGGGGCAAGGAAAGGCCGTGAGTCCTTCCTCTTTTCATAGCCTTTCTGAATCCGTACGCAGTGTGGTCCACCTGGTTCGCAGTTAAGTTATTCTGGTTCTTTCTAGGCCATATGGGCCATCTTCTCTGGCCTTGTTACTTGCTTCTCCTTTTATTGCCTAGACCTGCCCTCTTGTTGGTCCTTATTTCCGACTTTAAATGGCTTCCATTTTCATTTTGCATTGTAGAGAAACTCCAACAGCTGGGGTGATAACTTTCTGGAGGAATGGATAGGTAGTTACCCTGCAAATTAAGACCTGATCTCCGTGATGCCTGTATATGTATTTGCTGACTAACAGGCGACTCCTGGGTGAATCTTGCCGTTGAACCCAGGACCATCGTGACTGCTTGCTTTTTGTTCAGGCTGGACACTGAGGGGTAAAATACACACTGATGCATTAGAAAAGGCGGAGAGGATGCTAGAAGCAAACTCTGCCTTGTTTGTTTTCCTTAAGACAAACTTGTTAGATAAAATTGTTTGATACTGGACTTCAAAATTTAAGTCAAGGAGAGGCCTTTTTCTGAGTGATGTTCAGATCTTTCAGTGGAAACCAGATTGTCATTGATCTCCTACCAACATATTCATCTGTGTGTAAAGAGGTACCCGGTCAGGTGACCACAGAGGTAAGTACAGTAAGTCCCCTCAGTACAGGGTTGCAGGCACCCCACATCTACCAGTTAAACACAGGCAGCAGCTTTTGCCTTTCTCGTGAAGGAAGGTTGTATTGGGTGCCAGAGACAAGCAGTGCATCTAACAGAAAATACAGCAATACACCTCCAAGTTCTTCCAAGAGAAAAACCACAAATGGGCTATATGCTTTAAAGACTTTATTTTTAAAGAGAGGGGAAGGGAAGGACAAAGGGAGAGAAACACCAATGTGTGGTTGCCTATCGTGAGCCCCCTACCGTGGACTCGGCCTGCAACCCAGGCATGTGCCCTGACCAGGAGTTGAACCAGCAGCGTTTCAGTTCACACGCTGGTGGTCACTGAGCCGTAGCCCTTTGAGAGAGGGGAAGACATGGAGAAAGAGGGAGAGACATGATGTGTGAAGGGTAAATCGCCTGGTTGCCTCTTGTACACGCCCCCAACTGGGGACCTGGCCCCATAACCCAGGCATGTGCCCTCACCAGGAATGGAATCGTCAACCCTTTGATTCGCAGGCCGGCATGCAACCAGAGCTACACCAGCCAGGGCTATATTTTGAAAATGTCACTCTGACACTGTGTTTCCCACAAGTCATCAAGTCTTGCACACCCCTCCCTACTCATTAGTAGTCTATAAATTTGTTTCAGGATATTTTTTAAATCTTAAGAATAGTTTTATGACTAAGGTGATAGAGTGAACTTATTCAAATGCCAGAACATAGAACATTTCAGTGATGCCTCTAAATCAAATGAAAATGCCGTTGACTGAGTATTTTTAAATGTGTGTGTAGGTGACCTTGATAGAGGAGAAGTATGTTTATTCTTGGGTTTTGTTTTCAGTAGGATATTTGAAAAACGATGGTAGAGAAAAAATGTGCTTCTCTTTTCTTCCTTAAAATATACAGCATGACTGTAACCCCTTTCTCTAGCCTTACATTCCCCTCATCCTGTTCACATTAAAAATCATTTCATACATTTCCTTGATCCAGAGGTGGCGATATGAAAGAATACATGTTTGGGGATGGGGCTAAATAAAATTGTCAGAAAAAGGAATTTTCATAAGAAAAATTTGCTTAAACTGAATGTTTGCCTGAGAGCCAGTGTATCTTAAAATTACCATTAAAAGTTTAGAATCTATGAAGTAAATTAAACAACCAGGGCCATTTTTAGTATCTTGCTTATAATTTAGCATTCTAATAAAAATTCTTTTTAACGCCCAGTAATAAGTGCGTCTCTCTGGTTTGGGCTATCCAGGTCTAAGGAAGGAGGAGCAGTGAAACTGTGGGACCAGGAGCTGAGGCGGTGCCGCGCCTTCCGGCTGGAGACGGGACGAGTCACGGACTGCGTCCGTTCTGTGTGCAGAGGCAAAGTACGACACTCTGTGGGCCCTGGTGGGGCAGCAGCAGAGAGCGCTTCTGCCCGAGATTCCCCCACCCTCCGCGAGGCGAAGAGTGCAACACTCAAAGCCCACTTTGCTCGCAGGCCTTCTCTGCACAGGGGCATCTTGGCACCAGTGCTGTGTCGGGCAGGAAGCCCTTGGCCTCAGTGCCGTGTCCAAACCTCCGTTTTTCTGAGTCTGGTAATTCAACTCTGGTAGACAAGAGCTGAATTTCCTTCCAGTTGACTCATTTTGACTATGCAGCTATTTTATTTTCCTAACACACATTTCTATAAATATTTTCACCATGCATGCAAAAAGTGTATTTATAAGTCATCTACATGTATTCTATCCTGTCAGTCTGTGTATTAAATATTAGTTAAGCTTAATTAAAATCTATTATTTTCTTACAACATGTAAGTGTATTTGCACCTGTTTGGAGATCTTCAGACTAAAGGAACCTGAGTCAAAGCTTGGTGATTGGAGAAGCCAGGTGTATTGTCTTGCAAATGTGCCTCTAGTCATTAACGGAAAGCAGAAAATTCTCTGAAAGTAGATTCTGTGTCTGGAACCCATTCTAATGGGGGTGGGAGGGAACCCACACAGCCCCAAGCAGTTCTGTGACACCAGCAGGATGTGTGAAAATTCAACTCTGACCCTGAGCTCCCAGTCAGTCAGCATCAGGTGGTGAAGGGTTGTCCTAGGAGACCGCCCCACCCCCGCCAGACCCGTTCAAGTCCGGGTTGTTACCTGTAAGCCCTCCACACCCCACCCCAGACTTGTGCTAGAGCAGTGCACAGAACTTGGAAACATTCTTAGATCTCGGATCGCTGTAGAAGGATGTAACACCTGGACAGCCAGATGCAGAACCACACGGGGCAAGGTGTGCGGGAACCGGCCTAGAGCTCGCAGGCCCTCCCCTAGCCAGCCAGCCTCCCGTCTTGTCATCACCAACCAGAAGCTCTCCAAACCCTGCCCTTGGAGTCTCTGTGGAGGGCTTCATAGTTACTTACGACAGGTTACATCCGTAGCCGTTGACAGCTGATTGAACCTGGAGCCCCTCTGTCCCTTCTGGGGGTGGGTGGTCAGGACTCAAAGTTCCAACCCTCCAGTCACAAGGTTGGGTCTCCTAGCAACCAGCCCCATCCTTAGGTGGAGTCCAAGGGGCATCTCACTAACATGATAAACGACACCTTTGTGGCTCCCATCACTTAGTAAATTCCAAGGGTTTTAGGCTCTTTGCATCAAGTATATAGTTACTGTAAGCCACAGTATCACATAGGCCAAGAAAGTCATTCCTATACTTTTAAGAGCAACTGTAGTATTACATTAAATATACTGGTCCCACTGTTTCAGGGCAAGATACTAGTTGGGACAAAGAATGCTGAAATCATTGAAGTTGGAGAGAAAAATGCAGCGTGCAGTATTTTAGTTCATGGTCACGTGGATGGACCCATATGGGGACTGGCGACACATCCTTCCAGGGACTTTTTTCTCTCTGCTGCCGAAGATGGGACAGTGATCCTCTGGGATATTGCTGATAAAGTAAGTACAACTTTAAAAAGATGTTGCTATTCCTCAGATTTATGTTGAGAGTTTTGAGAAGAAATTGGTTTACTCTGTAAGTTCCCTACTTAACATAGTTCTCTCAACTCTCTTGGTTCCCACGCAGAAGATGTTAAACAAAGTGAATTTGGGGCATGCAGCTCGGACTGTGTGTTACAGCCCTGAAGGGGATATGGTGGCCATTGGAATGAAAAACGGAGAGTTTATTATTTTACTGGTGAGCTCTCTAAAAATATGGGGCAAGAAGAGAGACAGGCGATGTGCAATTCATGACATCAGGTTAGTCGGCAAACAGTAACATTTCTAGTGTACTCCTCTAAGCTCGTTTTTTAAATTGAATGTATTGGGGCAACGCTGGTTTGCAAAACCATGCAGGTGTCAAGTGTAAAGCCCAATAAAATACCGTCGGCACTCTGCATCGTGTGCCCACCCCCCTTTTACCCACCATCACCCCTTTTCCTCTAGCCTACCACTAACTACACTGTTGTCTGTTTGTTACATTGTTTTTTTGTCTAATCTCTAGGCTAATACTCTTAAATGACCCAGTTTAGATTTGAGGAAATGTCCTTGATTCATATAAATTGTACGCTGAAACATGGCTGTCTGTATACTTCTTGCTAAATTACGAATCCACAGGCACCAGCACCAGTGCCCTGTAAGAGCACGAGTGGTCAGGGAGTGTTTGCCAAGTGCAACACTGGACACGTCAGTGAGTTCCTCCTGCCAAGAATGACCTGTCAGCCAGGAAGACTAGTTACAACCCCAAACACCTCCTTTCCACTGGAATGTATAGTTCAGTACTCATTGAACATCTGCTGTGACCCAGAATCTGAATTCATTTCAACTCCTCTGGAACCTTTTTCAGTGCTTAAGCTTGTTTCAACAGTGGCTGCCTCATTAATTGAGCACTTGTGTGTGATTAAGATAGATTATCAAATCCAGGTCTGTCAAAATCCTCTTACAAGTGAACTCTCCAGCAGAACTTGAGTGCATGACGGTGACCGTGGCTTCCCTTAGCTCCCCCAGGTCCTTCGGGCACCCACCACAGCAACCCAGGGCCCTTTCAGACTGGAGCTCCGCCTCTGCGCTTTGTGTTTTAAAGGGTGGCAGCCCCCCAGTGACCTGCCCAAGTTACGCTGGTCTGTGTTTTTGCTGTGAAGATGCCATCTTTTCAGATGAGAAAATCTTATCTTAGGGAGTTACTTAAAACTTACATAATTGTGAGTGGTTTTTAAATTTTTAAAAAAGAAACTAGGAAATTAAAGTTCAGGAACAATTTAAAATTTAAATAAAATACAAGTTCTTTTGTTTCATGTAACATAAGTGCCTCAGTATACACAATCAGTTCTATTAGCTAAATCTACTTGAGGCCATGTTTTTTCCAAACTATTTTACATTGAAGCACTGATTTATCATCCTGCTCCTTTTCCATGACCCTTTAGTGCCCCATGCCCGCTTCCACCTCCACCCACCCTCCCCCCAGCAATCCCCCCACTGTTGTCCGTGTCTATGAGTGTTCGCTCTCTCCCTCCACGCCCACAACTGCCCCAGACACGGGAGCCTGCTCTGAGCCTGCGTGTCTGGCTTATTTCAGTTTGCTCACTCGAGTCCATGCATCAGTGAAATCCTGTGGTGAACTCAGTATACCACTTAACCTTCAAGATACATTATACATGAGAGGTATATAAGATTTCGCATGCATTTTGAAGTTAATCACATGGAAGCCGCTACTTTTTCAATGAAGTTGGCCGGCTGACCGCAGTCACGGGAGGCGAATGCTACCTGGACATCACTGCACACACCGCACCACTGCAGGTGGTGATTCGTTTCTGCTTTTAGAGCAACTTGGGATGTAAAGCCAAATGCCTGATTAAAATTTTTGAAGAACTCTTTGGAGATGGCACCTCTCTTAATTTTGACAGTCCTGTTCTCTGAGGTGAAGCATTCCCGGGTCCCTCCCCTGTTGTCAACAAGTGAGCGTCTGCCGACAGGGCTGTAAGGCCTGGCCTTGACCCTGCAGCACTGCCAACAAGCTTCCGCTCGGGCCCTGCACCCCCAGAACCACCCGTCACACACTCGAGCTAGAAAGTCACAGGTCTTCAAATAACCGTTCATACTGTTTCACGTCACCTAATTCATCTCTTACGTTTGTTTTTTTTATAACATACTCAGGTTTAGTCCCGATTCCCGGTTTCTGGCAGTGGGTTCTAGTGAGAACTCAGTGGATTTTTATGACCTGTCACTGGGCCCCACCCTGAGCCGAGTCGGCTACTGCAGGGACATTCCGAGCTTCGTCATCCAGATGGACTTCTCTGCAGACAGTAGGTACCTCCAGGTACAGTACCAGCGCCGTGCTCAGTCCCCAGTCCCCTCGCATCTCATTAGTGAACGTGTGTGTCCCACTCGGGTTCCAGATCGGACTTGCTGTGCAGTCTCCCACTCCCGAGCATCCCATTCTTCAGGCCTCTTCTCCCTCCTTATACGGGGCTCGTAGTGATCTTTTACACTCTAACGTTAGGAATGTAAACCAAATGGTCCTTCGCTAGTAGTGCACTGTACACTTCTGCAATTTCCCCCCTCGTAATGGAGCTCTTGTCCCACTTTCACCTGTGATGGAAGGTCTCCACTGGTTGCTATAAACGGCATGTCTACGAAGTGCCTTCGGGAAGACACCTGGTGGACCCGGCTGCCATTGACAGAATCACCTGGGCTACGTGGACTAGGTGAGCATCCCCTGTATCCAGAAGGACGTGCCTGATGGGCAGTTAGGAAAACCCTGTTTCTGAACAGGAGGTCCTTCCCATGAGGGAACAGTAATTGAATTTTACATTTTTGTTACCGTATCTTAAATTCCTCCCTTATGCTCGCTCTGAGACCACATTTGGTTGCCTGTATTTCCAGGCTCAATCAGTTCTTTTAAAGAAAGGAAGTCAAAGTTATGACCGAAGATGCCCTGGTATTTCCTTTAACTTGGTAGGTTTAATAAGAGGCAATAAAAACACACATTGGGTGCAGTTAGGCAGTTGCATTATTTCTCTATTTTAAATGAATACTATCTCGCAGCCGGTAGAAACGAAATCTTGTGAAATTTGTTCAGATTTTCTGGCTGTGTAACGGGTAACCATGCATATCCATCCTCAGTCAACATAAACAGCCAGCAAATTCCTATAGAACAAGCATCTGCTTTATAACCAGCTGTCATACAGTATTAATTATTGAAGCAGTATTTAGAGTATATACCCTTAAAATTATAAAATTTCCTTAAGGGGGACGGGCTAGCATCCCAGTTGAAACTCAGGCCTCCAGATAATTGACCTTACCACGGCCGACTCCCGTGTTTTTAGGTAGAGCTAGCCACTCAGAGGCCAGGGGTGGCACACCTGTCTGTGTCTGCCACGGTGGGTTCTCTCTCCCCCCTTCTTCCAGTATTCTAGGGAATGAAGTCCTGGGGATCTGGTCCAGACACGCCGAGAAAGCGGACGTCAACTGCGCGTGCGTGTCCCATTCAGGAATTAGCCTCGTCACGGGAGATGACTTTGGCATGGTTAAGTTATTTGACTTCCCATGTCCTGAAAAATTTGTAAGTGTTTGGTCTGGTATATAATTATACCCCCAATTTAGATGTCTGATCATTAGTAGTTTCCTAGCTAAAGAGTTGTCTCCTGCTTTAGCAGTACTTGTGTTCAAGTTTTTTCAAACTTCCTATTTACTCTGAAATAACAGCTATTAGAAATTCTATCCCCTGAAGTAGCCCCATATTTGCAAACTATTCTAATAAAGCTGCTATTTGCTGTTATTACAGAGGTTCAAATGCTTTTCCTCCGAGGAAAAGCCCTTGTCTATGTTCAGTACAGATCCACTAGTCACTCTGAAAAAGCCCTGGACCACCGGCCTGACCCTCACTGCTCCTCTCCACACCCCTGGTGATGGAAATCACGGTTCCTTACAGCAGCCTTTGAATTCTGTGTGTATCACACCCCTTGAGGCTTTTTTTGTTTTTGTCTTTTTTAGGCAAAGCACAAAAGGTTCTTGGGTCACTCACCCCATGTGACAAATATTCGATTTACCAGTGGTGATCGACATGTTATTAGCGCCGGAGGTGATGACTGCAGGTTAGTAGCTTTCTGAGCCCAAGAAGAGCCAAACGGCTTAACTGGTTATTCAGAGATTTAATTGTGCTTCTACAGCTTCATCAGTGACTGGACTCGGCCAGTGCTGTAAGGTGGCTCCCTAAAGTCACACACCATTTAAACACAGGCTAAGGAGGTGGCAAAGAAAGCTTTTATCCGTGTATGACTTGAAAGCTCAACTGAAGAACTGCAATGCACTCACTGCGGTTTCCCTCTGGTTGCAGTTTGTTTGTGTGGAGATGCGTGCACGTGCCTCACTAAGGACACGAACGCCGAGATGCCGGGAAACAGCCTTGAGAAGCCAGGATGGGGGGAGGGAGGAGTCCAGCGGTGCTCACTTGGAATGCTGACAGGGATTCACGCCAGAACCATCTGAACAGAAGACTGACGTTTTCAGGATATTTATTACATGCACTGGCCGACCATCTGTAATCCATCCACTGCCAGACAATTACATTTCAAGGAAGGACTGAATATGAATACATTACTCGATAGTGAGAGCCAACCCCCGTTTGGGGGGAGAGTGCAGATTTGGCAGACCTGCTAGGGAGGTTCAGGGTATATGTAGCACTCCTCAAAAAGAAAAACCAAAACCTTAAAAACCCAACTTGGATAATTTTCATCATCCTCTTAGCAAAACTCCTTTTAGAATTTATATTTTATTTTCAAGTGTCAAGGTTTAATGAAATAGTTTATCCTGTGTTTCCATAAGGAAAGAAACACACCATCACCCTAAAGACGTTTTGAACAGCAAATAAGGGTCTCCCCGGAGGACACACTGCCCCTCAGGCCTTACCGCAGCCCTCTGGGGAAGGGGCAGTTCTCTGGCAGTGTGGGGTTGCTACTTCTCAGTTTTGAGCTGTCAAGCTTTATGTTCAGAAGTCATCTCTGTATTGGAAAAATTAAAATCATTATAGCCTCATTAATGAAAAAGTGGTATGATGAACAATCATTTCCAGTTGTGTACAGCTTTTTAAGGTTTTAGGTAGCAATAGTATTTAATTGGGAGAGAATACTGAGTATTTAGAGATGTAGTCTCATAGAAACATTTGTTTAACATGTAAACTGAAGAGTTAAGTTCACATTTACGGAGTTACACAATTTAGTTAGTTCCTGACATAAAATTGTATAGTTTAGTTAGATGTGCGCCACCCCATAAGTCAACTTCCGAAAGGAACAAATACAAGTTCACTGGGAAGACCGGCCTGATTTCTTTCTGGTAGATGTAGGCCGAGCTCTTGGACCTTTATTCCTACTCACTTAAAATGCTGCCAAAGACCAGTATTTGCCATTCAGGAATTTGCTGTTGAGGCTGTCTGTAGTCTCCTGAAGACTGGAAATTATGTAGACTGATATTTAAAAATATATTTTTCTAAGTGTGAAGAAGTGTAAGATGCTCTGTTGGTCCTATGAATATTTATTTTAAAGTGTTTGTAGCATAACAGACCCCTTCAGTTTTCTACATCCAACACCTTGTAAATACTAAAAACAGAAATGGCTAAATTATGTTGCAGGAAGCCTGACCAGTGACTGAACCTGGTCAGTTTAAAGATTTGAATAACTGAGTCTGAAGGACTGATTTTTAAAGTGTTTAAGAAGCTTGAAACATAAGATCATATTCTTTCATTATTCACATCACTATATTCTCCTAAATAAAGCCAAATTTTAGAATATAGTAATGTTACATTTCTTTTCATGTGTGTTATAAAGAGACAGTCAATAAATTAAAGGAAAAAATCCCCCTGAAACACCCTGTCCCTCCATCTTTGAGACTGCGGGCAGTCAACTTCATTAGCTTTGGGGAAGAAAAGAGCTAGTTTAGTTAGCTGAAGAGAAATTCCATTCCTGTTACAGTGTAGGTACAATCTCTCCTAACCTTAAGCAAGTGAACTACTTGGGATAAAATTGTTTCCACTGCTTTTATTCCTCCAGGTAGCCACCTTCATAAGCTAGCCTTAATCATTTGTCAGTTTCACCAGTAAAGGTCTCCGTGAACCTAAGGAGTCATCGCACGACCACCTTGCTTTTCTGCCGCACAACAGGGAAAGTGAGTACCACACAGCTCTTTTCTGACCCAGAAGTTGGGGTGCAGTACCGCCCCGAGGCTCCCGATTTTGGGGCCTGCACGGAGCCGAGGTGCACTGCACTCCAACGCCCTTGCTTCTCCGTGACCCTTTCTGGTGGTGGTTCATTTTAGGCCAAGTTCCCCAACAGGTGTTTTAGAGTCAACTTTACCAACTGAAAAAAGAGATTAAACTCTTAAACATGTTTCCAGGCAATGTCTATTAAATAGCAAGAAACAATTTTAGCACGTTATTCCCTTGTTTTCTAATTTCTTTATAGTGTAATTATGACAATGCAGCTATACACCATGTACAAATGATACTAAAAGTCTTTTTAAATTTCTGGAAATACAATTTTAAAATGAGGTTCTCACGCAGAAATGTAAAGCATCTCTAGTAACTAACACTACAAGGAACAAATGCCTTACATTCGACGGAGCAGGTCTTAAGACGCAGTGGGACGGGCGTCTCACCCGAGTCTCACCTCACGACAACCCTCTGGGCTTTGTCCTTCCTCTAAGGGCACAGCCAGGTGCACCTTATGGCACTGTGTCGTGACTGGCTGAACTTCCTCCCAAAGGAAAAGCAACGCCACAGAAAACCAGACTCCTGCGTGGAGGCTTTCAGACATGGACTTGAACACACGTGGTTTAATTCTGTCGGTTGTATGTATATGACTGCAGAAGTCACTGAATTTTGTTTTACAGTTTAATTTGATCCTCAGAATGCTTGAGTCTTCATTATCCCTTTTGCATTCATCTTTTTTCTGAACTTCTAGCTTTACTTTTTTAAAAACTGTACATCAGGTCTTTAAAAATCAGTGATCTGTTTAATTCTGAAGTATTTGACACTTCTTGCCTTAAAAAATTTAAAAACCATACACATGGAACTCAACTTTTGGACTAATGAATTAAAATATAGTCCTATTTTGCAATTTATCCATCTGATCTCTGTAATTACAGTCATTTAAAATACACTATTGAAATCTAATTTATACATCTAAAAATTATCTTTACTAACCATATTTTTCTGTGGAGTTATTCTGAGAATGTTGTTTTTCAGAATGGGAGAATATATGTATCTATAATGGTGTGAGTTTCAAGTCTGTTCTCTGATACCCATCCTATGTATATATACTTGTAAAAAAATTTGTATAATTTTGTGATAATGTAATTCCCCAAAATACTTATTTTAAAAGCATATGGTGACAGTAAATGGAAACATTTTAAGGAATTGTTGTGTTTTTTTTGCCACTGCCATTCCAGCCCCGTGCACCCTCCCCACCCCTCACTCACCCTTACCCAGAAGGCGAAGGAAGCTGTTTGGGAATCACTGACCAAAGCAACATGCAACCTCGGGAGCCTGGACTGTCATGTTTTTAAGCTTAAATCACTTAAAATTAAAAAGCTGGATGGACTCCTGGCCACTCCTGTTTTCAGTAGATTGTGAACTTTCTATAATCCCTGGAAAAAGTGAAAGCGGCAATCCCACTTTAGGAGTAAGGACACTCCCCTCTCTCGGTACGCACTCTCTCAGTGCACACACTCTCTCAGTGCACACACTCTCAGTCCACACACTCTCTCAGGCACACACTGCCGTGTACAGCCCCAAACTGGATTCTCAGTACTAACAGTATAGTATCACCACACTGTACCATGCTGATACTTGAAACAGCAGCGTACAAACACTCCATGTATTTTAATAGAATTTAGTTTTTCCTTAAACTGTCTTTCCATAGTCAAAACAAGGCACACAACAACAGAACACCCAATGTTAAAACCACTTAATAAACTTACAAACTTGAAAAATTAGATACTTCAGAGAGGCAATAAACTTCATATTGTGAAAGCAATATATTCCAAGTTTCAAAGATTTGACAAGTTCTATAGAATCTCTTTCATCAGTAGATGGAAACTTTCAAACTTCACAATCTTCTGCCAGGTAGGACTGGGTGTTATTCACTGAATAAACAAAACCAACAATTTTAATTAACTGCTTTACATCCCTATATACCACATACCTTAACTAAGTATTTTCAGACAATGAATATTTGTTATACAGATTATTATACAAATATCAGATTTTAAAAGAAAATAAGGCACATAAAAGATGCCCTGTGTCTAAACCTACAGGCCACATGAACGTGCTCTGAAACTTCCTTTCAGTGTCTTACTACTATGCGTGAGAAGGTGGATGTGAGATTTGTGAGCGGTCTGTGTCTTGAAGGCCCTACTGTATGTTCAGAAGTTATAAAAGAAATCGGATCCGGAGATGATCTAGGTAAACAGCAACTGCTGCTAGATAAAACGAAAAGGGTCCTTTGGACCATTTTAAAATTAAACGTCAGTAAAAAAAAATCAAAGTGACAGTTTACTCCAAATTTGTATGCTTATAAATTTAAGAAATGACAGTTTAGAATAGTATCTGAGATGACACTTGGAAAACTCATTTTAACTGTACCTGGTTTGAGGCCGAATCCACTTCAAGGCATGTCGTGGCGGCACAGTAATGGTGGGATGATAGAACGTACAGTCAGGCCTTGTACATTGCGTGTTAAACCTACAGTGCTAAGGAGAGAGAACAGAGTCTTAACATGTGCAAAGCTATTAAGATAAAAACAGCAATCTGAAATGACAATGACCAGCCCACTCTAACATTAATGGGGCAAGAAACAGGGTATGTAACATTCATTTTACTACTGCTGAAACTTGAAAAAATTAACCCCCAACACACACAATCCTAAAATTCCAAAAAGAACATTAGCATATAATAAACTTCTAATCCATGCAATAATCACCCTGCACGTCCTGCCTTACATTCTCCACTGAGTGCCCTCTTCCGTGCCCAACTGAAGCTGGGGACGTGAAGGCCGCTGCATGGCCTTCAGGCTGCTATTTCAGAAGAAGATTCACTCTGAGCAACTGAACAGTTGGAGACACATCAACCAGCCTTTAGTACAGACAGTTAAAACCCTCAGCATAAGTCCGGGTGGCAGTAAGCAGTACACACAACCACTGGATCACATCATCTCAGTTCTGGAACTGAGGTAGAGAAAAAACCAAAAATCCTGCCCACGTGCTTAGGGGGCAGAGAACAATGGGAACCAACTAGCAAAAATGAGTTTTACTCTCCTGAGAGCTTAGGATACTGACATTCAATCGTTCACCACTTGGCCTAAGGAGACCTGGGCTGAGTGCCACTGAGGAATAACCTAACGGTCGTAACTGTCAAGTTCACTCTAACAAACAAGAAGCTGAAGGAGACAGAGGGGCAGAGGAGACATTCAATTTGCTTATGACCTTCCAGGTCTCAATCTGACAAGTGACTACTAAATTCTTACTTTCGGATGATAGAAGGGACATTCCATTTTCTTACAAGCAGGGAAGTACCGGCAGAGCTGACTACTGGAAGATGGTGATGGTGTCAGAACTGCTGACAAAAATAAGGGCAAACACTGGTCAGATTTACTTGGCACAATGATTTTTACTAAATTCTGATGTTTTTATGGGGACTTTAAAATTAAAATGCAATGAGGAGGCATACAGTTACTGAGTCAAGATAAATAAATACTTTAGAACAATATAGTATGTGTACACTTCCTCTTCTGAGACTGGTTACATGAACCGATACAGTCTTTAAACTATTCCTTTTTCCTGGCTGGTGTAGCTCAGTGGATTGAGCACGGGCCTGCGAACCAGACAATTGCAGTTCGACTCCCAGTCAGGGCACATGCCTGGGTTGCAGGCCGGTTCCCTGCAGGCCAGTTCTCAGCAGGGGACGCGCAAAAGGCAACCATACATTGATGTTTCTCTCCCTCTCTCCTTCCCTTCCCCTCTAAAGATAAATAAATAAAATCTTTTTAAAAAAAAACTATTTCTTTTTCTTTTTAACTCAGTTTATACTCACAAAATGTCATATTTAATTTTTTACCCAAACGCAGTAGTGCGCAGAGTCACTAACCTGGTTTTGGAGGCAGTATTGGAATTCTTCTGCTCACGTGAGTGAAGGGACAATCTGGCTTAGTACATTTTGCATCGTATTTACAATTTGGATGGACAAACAAACATTTTTCAGCAAATTTACAATTGGGGAAAGCTCTAAAAAAAAGCATAGTCGCATTTAATATTCTCAATGAATTATTTTTAAAAACAATTAAAAAATCCTTAGTTATCAGGAACAACTATAAAGGACACATGGGCAAAAAACCAAGGGGGGTCAGAAGCAGGGGAGGGAGGGGGGATGGCTAGGGTGGGGGGGTCAATGCAGACAACTGTACTTGAACAACAATAAAATAATTTTTACAAAAAATCCTCACCCGAGGATTTTTTTTTACTGACTAGGGGGTGGGGGTTGGGGAGTGGAGAAAGACTGATGTGAGAGAGAAAAACACTGACTGGCTGCCTACCATACACACCCCGGCTGGGGATTGAACCCGCCACCTTTTTATTGTGCAACAACAATGCTCTGAGCCCCCGGGCAACCTGGCCAGGGCTGCATCTGGTTTTTGTAGAGGGGATCCTTATATTCTACCACTTCTTATTTTGAGACAAAGAAGTAACAAAAAAAAACCCAGTTTTAAATGAGGCCATATAACAAAATAGGACACAATTATCTGTTCCAACGCCTGGGGTTGTTAATAGCTTTTCAACTGAAACGTGATGAGAATCACACCACTCACTCCATTATTAAGGTGTTTACAATACTTCATGAAGTAAACTCTACAGTTAGCACAATACATGTGCGAGGCACTGCTACCAAAAACAAGACCCACCCCTGATCCCCTATACATGAGACTGTCCTATCCAAATTTCCTGTCTTGTCAAATGTCATCAAAAAGCATGGAGAGATGCCACCAACAGGACAAAAAAAATCTAAAAGCCACCTCTCAAAGCTCATTCCACTGATCAGCCAGCTGGTAAGGAAAAATTATGCCCAAGCCCAAAATGTCTGCTCACTTCCTGTCACGCATTTCCCCGCTGCTTTAAATGTGCGTGCATGAATAACATACACAAACTGGGCATCAACATACACTCATCTCCTTAATGTACAGAATCCTAAGGAAGCCCCGAGTTTCCGTACATCCTGAGTCTGAGGCACAGAGACTCCAGCTGCCGCGTCCCCACCCTCTACGACACACTGGCACACTGTTTGGGGACGGGCCCCAGCCACTGCCACTGTATTCTAGACCGTAAAAAGCAAAGAGAATAAGTTATCAGGTAACGGAATGACGCTGCGAACCAGAATCTGTTTGCTGCTACTCACTTGCAAGGCGACACGGGGTGGTGGTACGCACACTCGTCCCCGTTCTTACAGGCGGGCCAGTACTTGCAGCGCTCTAGAAGTTTCTCTGGCTTCTGTGCCACGCTCGGTTCACTCGTCTCAGCTACCAGGGGAGAGAAATCGGAAGTATCTCATTATCTGCAAATTTCCCTAAAAACCCAGCCTTAAAATCTTATCTTCTATGTGTGGTCTCATGAAATAAATGCGTCCAAATACTCAGACCAGCACCGGCACCAGAAGCCCGTGCACGACGCCCAGGATGGACGGCGGTGCCCACTGTGAAGGAAGGAGGGCGGGGACGCAGCGGCCAGGGCAGCCTGGGCTCACAAAGAACGCCCAGCTCTCCAAGCCACTTCAGGGCTGAAGTAAACACGGGAGAGGGAAGGATGTTAACTAGCGAGCCAAAAAAATGAAAGGCAAATGGAAAACACAAAAGCTGATAAAGAATATGAACTAATTCTCATCCAGGCAAGATGACCAGTGGTCCAGACACAAAGTCTCCTCGTTCACCGAGGCACACACAGTTTTCTAAGTCCGGGTGGTAAACCAACACCAATGTCTACAGAGCGAGGAAAAGACTTTTGCCTGACAAGGGTCACAAATGCCCCTACCCTCAGATCACCTGACCGAGTGCGCCGCCTGGGGTAAAGATGACCAGGTGCAGACAGCCCGGGCGTGGAGCAAGCAGACGTGGGGAGAGCCGCCTGGAGAGGAAGCCCACACCACCGGGCTCACTGACACCCACTGGTCAGGTCCCACGCACTGTAATGTCAATGACTACAACTTTGGAAAGTGGGACCCCTGTTGCCAGATTGTCTCCTGACTCATAGAAAGCCAAAAAACCTTTTTCACATCTAAATTTTAAATGCTGGCAACCAATTCAAATTTAAAACACAGAATAACCCAAATAATGTGATACCTGATAGGCCTAAGGA